CTGCGCGTCGTGCTCTGCCCTTTTCCAGAGGGCCGCCGACTTTAAAAAATAAAATTCTATTATTAAGTATCTATAGTGGCTTAAGGAAAGGGAAAGAAAAGTAGGGAAGGAAGGGAAGAAGGAAGAAAGGAAGACAAGAAAGGAAGGAAGGAGGGGAAAGAAAAGAAAGAAATGCATGAAGCCCTACTATGTGCCAATCTCTTAGGATGCAGAGCGGAAGCGGAAGCAGGGCACTAAATAAAATGTCTGCAGTTTTTTTAGTCCTCAGGGTCCCAATGTCCTCATGCAGTCATCACATTTATACCTTTCCTGCATCTACCTGCTGTCTGCCTTCTCCAGAATTGTATTTTCCCTTCCAGGGACTACTTTCCTTTCCAAAAGTCCCATTTCTACAATGCCTGGTCTTTAGCAATTGGATTAAAGCAATTGTCTATGGCATAATGGTTAGAAAATTAACCTTGGAATGAATAAGACCCGGATTAAAGTCCCACCTCCAACAGCTAGGTGATAATGGCGGATAGAATGCAGGGCCTGGAGCCAAGAAGACTCATCTTCTGGAGTTCAAATACAGCCTGTAACACTTACAAGCTGTGTGACCAAGGGCAAGTCACTTAACCCTGTTTGCTTCAGTTTCCTCTATAAAATGAGCTGGAGAAGGATATGGCAAAGTACTCCAGTATCTTTGCCAAGAAATCTTTAGATTGGGTCACAAAGAAGAAGATACAAATCAAAAAACAACTGAACAACTGTCTCACCTTGGACAGACACATATTGGCTGTGCAACTCTGAAAAAGTCACTTAACCTTTTATCACCATAGGAAACTCTCTAAGACACTAAGTAGCTGAGAAGATGCAGATCTGAGTTGGAAGAAGTTTCCACATAGGAAATTCCCAACACTATTTCTAAAAACAAACAAAACAAAACGGCAGAAGAGATATTTGCATTTTAAATGATAGTTAATCTAAAGGAATCTTTGTTGGAATGTGTGTGGGAGATATTTTCAAGGTGAAAAGACTCTCCTGTAACTTTGCCTACTCCAAGTCCACCAAGTCACCCTTTTATACTTCTATGGCAAATGCTATGATAAAAATGTGAAGATTCAGATTTATAAATCAAAAGCTTCCCTTCGCAAGCCTAACCTTTACCCTATATCCAACTATTCATTAAATCATTTCTTGTATTGGTTTCTTCCATTTTGCTACAGTCTTCCCAATTACTATCACCTTAAATTACTCCTGGTTATAATTTCTGTGTAATATTTTAACTATCAGAACATATCTTTCTCCATTTGCTTTATGCTCAAAGTAAAGTAGTAGGAGACATTAGAAAATGAAAGGGGGCAGCTAGATGGCCCAGTGGATAGAGCACTGGCCCTGAATTCAGGAGGACCTGAGTTCAAATCCAGCCTTAGACACATAACACTTACTAGCTATGTGACCCTGGGCAAGTCACTTAACCTCACTGCCCAACAAAAAAAGAAAATGAAAGAAGCATCCAAGATTTTAGTCCAGTTTTATTGAACTTCATGAAAATCAGGGCCACACAAACAACTGGAAACAAAGCAGATATTCACTGATTAGAGATTGGCTAAATAAGTTCTGGTACTTAAATGTAATGGAATATTGTGCAATAAGAAATACTGAATATGAAGGATTCAGAGAAGCACGGGTTTTATATGAACTGATGCAGAGTGAAGTAAGCACAACCCAAAAATAAAAAGCCACATTACAACAAAAGAAAGAACAGAAAATGAATATGATGTAACTAAGATGACCAAATTTGGAACTGTAAAGGAAATTTTAAAATATGCCTTCCTCCCTTCTATTCAAAGATTAGGGCCCATTGATATGGAGCATTATATATATGTACTATCAGACTCTCTTGATGGGTTAGTTGGTTTGGCTAAATTTTTTTTCTCTTCCTTTTAAATTTTTTTTACTACAAAAGGCAATCTACTAACTAGAGGAGAAGAGAAAATGCATTCAGGAAAAAAAAGTGACATAGAAAAGGTAACAAAAATGTAAAAAAGAAAATTATAGCCTCATTAACACCTTGCTAGGAAATTCTGTGACAAATATGTGTCATCTGCATCTTTTAAGGTTTGAGGAAAGAGTCATTTTTCCCCCATTTTGTATACATTCCTGATTAAACCATAATATTGAGTTTTACTAAAGGACACAGAAATCTGATGTTTCATGATGTCACAGAATCAAAGAATCACATTTTTATAACAATACTCAGTTTAAGTGGACCATTTTCTACATCTCTGATCACATTTTTCTCCCAAATATATCTGTATTTACATCAAAAAAAAAACATTAATGGGTCTGTTACTGGTAGAATTGATACATCTTACATAAGAGTTTAGCTTCTTTGCAGAAAAAGCTTTTATAAGCTTGTGAACTCCGGTCCAGACCTAGCAAGATCACAAACTAGTTGGGTGACCTCTTTGTCTCAGTCTTCTGATCTGTTTAAATGATGGGATTGAACAAGACAATTCCTTAGCTTCAGTCCTTTTCTAGAGCTTACAATATTAAGAAATAATTTGAGAATAAGACAGTATGTAGCAAATGCTAAGTTGCATTATCAGAAATTAAAGAAAGGAGAAACCAATGTTTGCTAAAAACTGCCTGAGAAAGTTTCATGGAAGAACTGGGACCTGAGTGAGGCCTTAGAGAATAGCTAAGTGGAATTAGAAATGGAAGGATTGCCCACCATTTGGGGAACAGTTGAACAAGTTGTGGTATATGACAGTGAGAGAATATTACTGTGGTGTAAAAAATGACAAGCAGGATGGCTTCAGAAAAACCTGGGAAGACTCATATGAACTGATGCAAAGTGAAGTAAGCAAAACCAGAACAATGTACACAGTAACAGCAATATTGTAATGAAGATCAACTGTGAAAGACATAGCTACTCTGATCAAGACGATGATCCAAACAAACTATGCCCAAAGGGCTATAAAAATGTGCATACCCTTTGATCCAGCAATAGCACTTTTAGGGCTATATCCCAGAGAGATCAAACAAACGGGAAAAGGACTCACATGTACAAAAATATTCATAGCAGCTCTTTTTGTGGTGGCAAAGAACTGGAAATTGAGAGGATGCCCATCAATTGGGGAATGGCTGAGCAAGTTGTGGTATATGAATGTAATGGAATACAATATTGTGCTCTAAGAAATGATGAACAGGCTGACTTCAGAGAAACCTGGAAAGACTTGTATGGTCTGATGCTGAGTGAAGTGAGCAGAACCAAGAGAACATTGTACACAATAACAGCCATGTTGTGAGATGACTAATATTGATAAATTTAACCCTTCTCAGCATTACAAGGATCTAAGACATTCCAGAGGCCTCGTGATGGAAAATGCCACCCTCATCCAAAGAAAGAACTATGGAAGTTGAATCGCTATCATTTTTTTTCTCTTCTGTTGAGTTTTGTTTCCTCTTTCTGATGGTTACTCTTATTGGTTTTAATTTTTACTTACAACTTCACCAATGTGAAAATATGTTTAATAGGAATGTAAATGTATAGCCTATATCAGATTGTGCGCCGTCTTGGAGAGGGTGGTGGGGAGGAAGGGGGAGAAAAATTTTAAACTCAAAAGCATATGGAAGTGATTATTGATAAATCAAAATAAATTAATAAAATTTTTTTAAAAAGACAATTCCAAAGCACCCATGATGGAAAATACTATCCACCTCCAGAGATCCAACTGATGAACTCTGAGTACAGATTGAAGTATAATTTTTTAACTTCCTTTATTTTTCTTGTTTTTTTTTTTTCCAACATGGGTAACGTGGAAATGTTTAGCATGATTTCCCATGTACAACTGATATATTGCTAGGCTTCTCAATGGGTTAAGGAGGGGCTGGAGGGAAGGAGAGAATTTGGAACTCAAAATATATTTTTTAAAAATGTTAAAAATAAATTAACAAAATTTAAAAAGTGGAAGAGAGAGAACAGTTAGGTGGAGATGTGTGCCTCAAGAGGCTGAAAAAAGGGAATGAGTTGGCCTCATTCAGGAGCCAGGAGGATTGAATCTGCATCCTGCCTAGGACACTCAATAGCTTTGCCGCCCTGGACAAGTCTCATCACCTTGGTTAGTGAGTTTTCTCATTTGTAAAATCCAGATATGATAATAGCACCTAACTCACAAGGTAGTTGTAAGCACAAGTAGCCGCTATATTGAAAAGGCTTTGCAAACCATAGCAACAGCTAAGATTTATATAGTGCTTACTATGTGTCAGAAACTGTGCTAAAATCTTTATAAATATCATCTCATTTGAGCCCTACATCAACCCTGGAAGGTAGGTGCCATTATTATCCCCATTTTACAGATGAGGAAACTGAGGCAAATAGGAGTTTAAGCAACTTACCCATGATCACACACCTAGGAAGTATCTGAGGGCAGATTTGAACTACCTAGCTGTCCAACAAAGTCATACGAATGTTAGCTACTAGGCTTTCCTCACCCTCTCAATGGGGTCATTTCCCCAAAATTATATTCCATTTACTTTCTCCCCTACTCTTTCCTTCTCTCTCCTTCCCTCCCCTTCTCTCCTTTTCCTTTCTTCCTCTCTCCCTCACCCCTTCCTCCTTCCTCTCCCTCCTTCCCCTTCATCCTGTCTCCTCATCCTCCATTACCCACACATGGAACACACACACACACACACACAGATATATATATACAGTACACAAAAGTCTTCGTGTAGTTTTAAGGTTTAATAGCTGAAACACCGTGTGTGTGTGTGTGTGTGCACATATGTGTGTGTTTGTGTGTGTGCCCATGCACATGTCTGTATACACATGTATATGTATATATACATAAATACACACATATGTGTATATATATATATATATATATATACACACTTCTACATATAGACATTTACTTGTCTCTCTCATTAGACTAAGTTCCTTAACGTCAGTGACTGTTTTTGCCCTTCTCTGTATCTTCCTGTATTCAGTAGAATCTTAAATGACTCAGAGAACAAAGATTTAACTTTTTTAATAAAAGGGAATTAAAAGTTCAAGTAGTAAATAAACCATTTTTTTAAAAAATCTTAGAAACATGAAAATAAATTTAAAAAAAAACGACAGGAATTCATTTTTTGACAGAAAGAACTCCCGTAGGGAGACATCTGTCTATAGTTCACATCTGTTCTCACTCATTTCTACCTTCTAGGATTTCTACAATCCTAGAAATCTTCACACCAGATTCCAACCAACATACATAACAGCCAGTGTTTTTTACAGTGTGAAGCACAATGCTAATGCATAAACAAGTTATTCTGTATTGAAAATCCTCTACCTCCTCGACTTCTACCAAGTGTCAAAAGTACACAGCTCTGGTGAGAGTGGACTCCATGACCAGTACTACCTTTATAGGATTCTTATTCATGTAAAAGTCTGTGTGCACCACTCTGTTGTTCACCTACAAGATAAAAAGCACAAATTACACAAAGGATGAGTAAAATTCAATTCAACAATTAGATAGTTGAGTAGGGCAGGGCTGGCTTTTGCCTCTTTCTTTCACAAAGTTTAGCAAGGTGTCTGGCTTATGGGACGTGCTTAAGAAATGTCTATTGATTATTAAACAAGCATTAATTAAGCACTCAGGGTACAGTAAGTTTGCCTCCTAAATCTAGACAAGGAAGAAACAAAGACAAAAAGGAAACAGTGCCTGCTTTCAAGGAGTTAACATTCTAAGGCCAGATATAATAGGCACATATAAATATAAACAGAATATATACAAAATAAAGACAAAGTAATGGGGGAAGGGAGAGATTAAGGCAGAGTTTCAAAAACCGTAGGCAAAAACCTTCGCATAGCATCTCATCTATTTAGTGCTGTCCAATGTATAATGGCATGTAGATATAAATACTAATGGAGAAAGCACACTGCCTTGGGGAACACTCACATGATAAGTAACTAAGTGCTTTATGAAGCAATTTTATATCTTTAAAAAGGCACCAACATCCACCATTTTCTAATTGACCAAAATGTCATGTCCTCTTCTAGGAAATACAGGTTTAGAATATTCTTTAAGAATAACAAAAAGCAACCCCAACTAGCCTCACTCAAGTCACAGTGCCCTGCAACCTGGGTTAAAAGAAATCCTAAGGCCGAGTATCCATGCTTCTGTTCACTGTCTTCTATGGTTGGGTGATTTTATTTCACTTAATGCCTAACCTTTTATTATATTTATTCCAACCAGAAGGGATAATGATATGAGCAATGCTGAACTGAATGTAATTTATATGGATGAATAAATGTTGAAACATGACTTCTCTGGTCTACATGAAATTGGTATTCATAATAACAAAAAACAAAAACCTTAGAAATTAATTTAGAACTAAAACTAGTAGTAGAGCTAGAGATTCCAAGAGGCAGAAGTGAGGACAGAGTGAAATCCAGGTATTACATAAAGGCAGGGTCTGAGGATACAAAACCAGAGAGTAGGCCAGTGTGGCTGAAATGTACATTCTGTGTGTGTGTAGATAACTAGATTGAAAAGGATTTTAAGTGTCAAACAAAGCAATAGGGAGCCATTGCCTTGAGCAGGGGCATGACATGGTGAAATCAATGCTTCAGGTAGATTACTGTGGTAACTGTGTAGAAGATAGACTAGCAAGGGGGAGACCACTTGGGGTATGGCAGCCTCCTGTCATGAGTGGAGGAGGGTCCTAACTAGGTGCCTGTAGCATGAGTGGACAGAAGAGGACAGATGGTAGAGATAGCATCTTACAACTCACAATCTTGATGTGGGGCCTGGGAGGATTTTCTGGAATTATCTGGGGACAATTCTCCTGCAGAGCACAATAGCAATGTAAATTATTATTATAATGATGATGATGATGAAGAAAATATTTGTAACAAACTTGACACTGATTTCCCTTCATTCAGCCCAAAAAACATGGGGGCTGAGTTGTTCCTACTTCCAGGCTGATCCATTCTCATTACTGGACAATAACTTTAAAATTATGGGAAAGAGGGGAATGAGAGAGTGAAAAAGTGAAAAATGACTATTTAAATGAACACCTCAGCCCCTTGTTTACTAACAACACCAATAGCTGCACACTCCTGCCCTAAGAGAAGTTTAAAATCTACCAAGTAAGTAAAACAACATGAGAAAAGAGTTCAGAGAAAGAAGACATCATCTCAGCAGGAGAAAGACTTCAGGTAAGAGTGCAGGCACCCAGCATACATACACACACACATACACAAATCCTACATAGGGAATTCTAGGGAATGTGCTGATAGAATGAAGTAAATGCTTGTTAACTGGTAGAGGAAAAACAGCATAACATGGAGCATGAATCGATTTACTGATAACTCACTTGAGTAAAAAAATCCGCAATATGCAACTTCTTGCCATGTTGACGAAAGACTTCATCTATTGCTTGAATCATCACAGAACCATCTTTTGGGTGGCGTAAAGCAACATGATCTACCAGTGGAGAAATAAGAATATTGCTTATATTTTTTAATAACGTGTTATAAAAATACATATATATATACATACACACACATACATACACAGAATCTAAAAAAAATTTTACTAAGCAAGATACCCTTTCATTCTATAAACACTAGGATATTCCTCAATTTTCATCGAGGTGTCCAGCATTTACACTTTTGCTGCTTCCGAAATCTCTTGGGCCCTTAATCCTAGCAGTCCACGAACCAGACAGTCTCAATGCCTAGCACATAAAGAACTCATGGCAGACGAGGTCAGTAACTAATTTATAGTGGGCCAAGAACCAGGAAAAACCTCTGTCTATCCAGCAAAATAATCTGAAGAACACCAGATATTATCTGAAGCCTAGGCTGTGTTTTCCCAGTGATGCTTCAGCCAAGAACTTGCAACTTTCAGAGTCTCCAATAGACCCTGTAAAGTAGCTGGCCAGTCCCTAGAGCATCCTGCTCATAGTCAGAAGGGATTCCATACCCAAAGAATGTCCCCTACAACATTCTCAAGCATATGGTCAGTTACCCTTCACCTAAAGACTTCAAGTAAGGAAAAACATACCATGTACCAAGGTAGCCAATTCCACTTTGGACAGCAATAATTATTAAGTGAGCTTTACTGATAATAAGCCCAAACATGCTTCTCTGTAGTTTATACCTTATTCTATTGGTCCTAGTGAGGGTCTAGTAGACCAAACACAGTATCTGAATTTGCAGAGTTTGAAAGGACATCATAACCACCTGCCCCAACCTATCCCTAAACAAGAATCTTCTCTACAATATGGCCAACAATTCAATGGTCATTGGGGCTTTGCTCCAAGGTCTCTAGTGTAAAGGCTCCCACCAATTAAATCCCAAACGAGTCTACTCTGTGAATGGCTCTAAATATGGGGAAATTTTCCCCATCATCAAACCTATACCTGCTCCTCTGCAGCTTTCACCCACTCTTCCTATTTCTGACCTTTAGGGCAAGCCAAATAAATCTGAGCACTCTTACATGTGGTAGTTCTTCAAATGCTTGACAACAATTATCATGTCACCCCTAACCTTCTCTTGTCCAAACCAAATGTCTCCAGATAATCTCCAAAACACATCACCATTCTAGTCCCCCTACTCCTATTTCTTCTAGCTTATCAATGTCTTTCCTAAAACGAGGTGGTTGTTGTTGAATTGTTCTGGTCCTGTCTAAACCCCACTGGGGTTTTCTTGGCAAAGATATTGGAGTGATTTACCATTTCCTTCTCCAGCTCATTTTACAGATAAGGAAACAGAGGCAAACAGAGTGAAGTGACTTGCCTGGGGTCACACAACTAGTAAGCATCTGAGGCCAGATTTGAACTCAGAAAGATGAGTCTTCCTGACTGCAGGCCTGGTACTGTGCCACCTAGGAACCCCTTGAGGTACTCAACACTGAATATAATATTCCAGTTGTGGTATGACTATAGAAGAGGACAATAGAATGATCGGGCAATTTCTGAACATATTCTATTAACGCATTTTCTACCATATCACACAATGTTGGCTTATGTTTGGCCTGTAGTTCATTAAAAACCCCAGATATTTTTTTAAATGTATTGCTCTCTAGCCATATCTCCCCTATATTTTAATTATGTAGTTGAATTAAGACTTTGTATATATCCCTGTTAAATTATATCTCACTAACTTTTGACCAAAATTCTGGCCTGTTGAGATCTTTCTAGATTATGACTCTGACATCCAACTTAGTAGCTCTCTGTTTGGTGACATCTGAAAATTTTATAATTAAGCCATCTTTGCTTTCATCTAAATGAGGGATTGAAATGTTAAACACAGAGCCAATGGGAGTCTGCAAATGGTTGACCAAAAGGCCAAAACCCTACTGGGTTAAACCAATTCTGTGTCAGAAAAATATATTGTGTGGAATTAGTCATTTTAGTCTTTGGTGATCTATGTTTACATGGTGATGCAAAAGAACAGTTTTATGACAAATGTGAAACCTAAATAATCACAACTGGATTTTGAACAATCACGATCACTTTCACTTCACATGCCTTCACAAAGCATTGCCTTACCTTCTTGGGTAGGATAGATGATATAGTAATCACTGAATGTGGGAAGTCGCTTTTTCTGTGAATCATCCACTTCCATTGGTTCGTCATCGGCTTGAACAACACCACCATCTCTTCGACCTGTTTTTGTGAGGGAAGATGTGAATAGACAGTGAGATAAACAATCGTTCAGTAAACCTCCACGAATGCCAAATGAACCCATCAGAAACTATGTATACATTGGTGAGGGTAATTCACAATCATGGGTCACAATAGCTCCAGAAAAGCCAGGCAAGCCAGATCCCAGTCTAAGAAGCAAACTGCACACATACGAACCGTAACATGTCTTGGAATTGATAGGCCAGGGACTAGCAATTTCACCATGTTAGAGGCTAGTAGGATCATAGCATCATAAAGTTATAGCTGGAAAAGACCTTAGAGATAATCCAGCCCAGCCCCTTATTTTAAAAACGAGGAAACTGAACCCAGAGAGGTTATATGACTTGCCCAAAGTCACAAAGTGTGTTAGTATGAATAACATAAGTAAAGCACTTTGCAAAATTCATATCTTTATAAAAATGCCAGTTATTATTAGTAGTATTTTAAATGACAGAACCAGGATTCAAAGCTAGGTCGTCTGCTTCCAAATACAGTACCTTTTCCACTGTATTTCGCGGGGCCCTAAGGAACCACAGAAAATTTTCCCACAGTGAGTGAGGAAGATACAGCCATAGGGGAAGACCCATAAAACAGTGGAAGAGAGAATATCATAATGGAAAAACAGTAAATTATTGGATTTATAAATACTAAGATCTTGAATCCATTTATTTAAAAAGAACCAAGAACCCTAACTTGCAGGATGCTAACATTATGGTAGCTTGGGGCTAGAAATATACAAAATTTGACATCTTTATGGATCTCAAGGGGTGGCTAATGAGGATGTCTTATCGTAATGTGACAAGCAGCAGTAGAAAAAGGAAATTCTTTCTGGGACAAAAATCAGGGTCAGAATGGCCTAGGGACAAGGAGAAAATGCTTACAGTGAAGTCTAAAAATCCCCTGCCACTCGTGATGTGTTCTTCCTTCTACTCACCTCCTCTACAAGCCTGGATTACAAAGATTTTTGGTTTCTCTTGAAGCGCTGGACAGTTTTCATTGTTGAACATTTCAAAAATGTCTGATAAGTTGACTCTTTCATCCAATACTGTTTTTATAAAGCCTTTTCCTCCATGGGCCATGAGAGTAACAAGGCAGCAACTAACATCATCTTTTATTCCAATTATTCCATCTCGAAACTCTGTTAATTTCTCCATTAATTCCTGTGGCAAACAGCATTGCAAAATGGATTTGTTCAGACGGTGGACTTAACTATTTGTCTTATCTACAGTGTCTCTCAGAACTCCCTCATTTTGCCAGGTTGTGACACTGACTGCTTATCTTCTAACATAAATTATAGACCCTTAAAAGGAAGTGAGTATCTAAGATGGCATCATCATCATTTTTGTAGGTAATTTTGAAAAGAAACCTGGCCCTCAGGAAGGCTTCAAGAAGGTGTAAGAAGCAAAAGAAAATTGGAAGAGTAAAACATTTTTTTTTATTACAACTGGGACTCTGGGATCATTTTATATGATTGCATATAGGATCTAACGTAAATTTCATCATGAATCTTCAAGTTACATGTGGGAAATTCAATCTCCAAATTCTGTTCACAAAAATAAAACTGAATGAATGAAGAGACTAAAATCCAATATTAATCATTGTTGGGAGAGTGGGACCAGTGATGGCCCCCAGGGCAAGGGGATTGACATCCCTGGGCTGTTTTTCCCAGTCAGGAAGGGTATCAGCCAGGGTCATGGGGAACAACAGGGAGAGAACAGGAGGGGGGGACTCTGTAGTGGCCTGTCCACCTGGTCATGAATCTCAAATTCTGCTCAGCTCAGTAAACTTGGTAGAATCAAAGCAACTAATGGAGCATTCATTTTCTTGAAACTCTAGGCCCTCAAATACCACTGAAATACTTAAAAGGCTTAAAAAGTCCATGAGAATGTAGTTGAATTCATTAACTCCCTGACACTGATCCCTCAATAGCAGTATTAGGATTCTTTTATCAGGGTTTAGAAAGGAAGAAGACCTTGCTGCTCAGATAGTATTCATGATGACCTCATGAAAAAGGAAGAAGTGGGGGCAGCTAGGTGGCAGAGTGGACAGAGCACCAGCCCTGGAGTCAGGAGGACCTGAGTTCAAATCCGGCCTCAGACCAAACACTTGACATTTACTAACTATGTGACCCTGGGCACTTAACCCCAAGTGCCTAAAAATTAAAAAAAGAAAAACTTTTAAAAAGAAAAAGGAAGCAGGCTATAAAAGTCAGTTATCAATGTTGTTGTCTCAACGCTTACCTTTTCATCAGGATCGATGCATGATGTACATTCAAACTTGCACTCTTCAAGCCAGTTTCTTATTATGTTTCGATCCTGCTCAGCCCCTGGTCTGCCTGTCTTCACACACATCACAAAAGCCTTACGAGGTTTTTCCATGTTATAGCGTTCCTGTTTGTAAGTAAAATTAATAAGCACAATTTAATCCCACGTATCAGACAATATAACACCCTAGACACATATGCTACCTGTCCACCTTCTGGGGTGAGGGATGGGGTTTACCTGAGAACTCAAAGCTGACCATCTCTCTTTGGGGGATGGGTGTGTGTGCATGTGTGTATAAATAGATTTCTTTCATCTATAAGTTCCTGACAATCTCCATTTCAGAGTAGTTCTAACAATACAAATCACTCATTCTGAAATACTTAGAACTAGTAAAGCAGGGCCAGTCTAACAAAACTAGCATGAAGGAGTCACTACCACATACAAAACACCACCAGTTAAAATCATACCACTCTGAGGTAAGGCAGGGCTTGGGTTTGAGTTTATCTGGGGAACAGGTAACCCTGTGAGGGAACAGGAATGAGAGCAGCATGGATTCCCCAGGGGCTGGAGCCTTCTCATCCTTTCTACAACTCAGGAACTTCAGCAGATTTCAGTGGATTAGACATACACTACAAAGTCCCCCAAATCTCCCCAACCCAGAGCTATGGCCCCAAGAATTCCAATGAGAACATGACACTTAAGTCCCTGGACAGGCGTGGCCCTATTCTTTCCTGCTCCCAGAAGTTAGTCCAGAGGCTCCCACCACCAAAAGGAAGAGATGCAGAAACAGCTGGAGGGGCACAAGACAGCAACCTGGCATTCCTTGACATTTTAGCTTTGGGAGCTGAGTGGGGAGCTCCCATAAAGTATCAACAAGCCCCTCAGCCCTGTGCTAGGAGGACAAATATGGCCCAACTGGTTAGGTCTTAGGGGCTAGATGGTGGGTGTCCTAGGATCAGTTAGCTGGTTTAACACCACCCCTTGGCCTCTTGGGGGCAGGGAGCCATTTTAGTGGTTGGGGATGCCTCTAGGATGATCTGGGTGACTGAGACTCAGGAGGACATACTCTTTAGAGATGCCATGCCTCAGTTCCACCACTCTCTTCCATTTTTTTCCCTAAGTTTTCCCTCAGCCTCTTTCTGGAATGCAGCAGGGACTCCCCAGTTCTTCCCCTTTTCTAGGAGCTCTGGTGGGATGTGGGTGCCTTGCTTCCAGATGGGGGAGATAACAAAGTCGTAATGAGGGGACAAATAAAGTAAAGCTAGAAATGAGGGTAGGTTTAGGAAGAAGAAGGAAAAGGAGAAGGAGAAGGAGAAGGAGAAGGAGAAGGAGAAGGAGAAGGAGAAGGAGAAGGAGAAGAAGAAGAAGAAGAAGAAGAAGAAGAAGAAGAAGAAGAAGAAGAAGAAGAAGAAGAAGAAGAAGAAGAAGGAAAGACCATAGGATTTGGGAGGAATGGGAGACAGTCTGGTGGAATGCTAATTCTGGAGAAAATCAAGAAGTCCAATTTGACTTGACTAGAGAATGTATGAAAGGGTGCAATACGAAATCACTTTGAAAAGTTAGATTGGAGCCAGATTTTGAAGGGCTCTAAATGCCAAACAGAGGAGTTTAGTTTTTTATCCCAGAGGGAACAGACAGCCAATGGAGTTTTTTGAACAATGGAGTGAAATAACATACAAATCTCCCCTTTTACAGCTATGGTAAGGAGCCAGTTCAATTGCCTGAATGAGACCCCATGCAATTGTTAGATACAGTACCTAACGATTGCATGGGGTCTCATTCAGGCAATTGATAGATACTTACATTACTCAGGCTTAGATAAAAATTAAGAATTTACCAATCCAGGGCCATCATTTTCATATGGTCTCTTCAAATTCATCCTTGAAGCAGTTTCTATTTTCAGGGAAAATGAATAAAAAAAACAAAGAATAGGGTTACTCATTTATTGCTTTCCCACATCTTCTTTCTGTATCTCTCACACATTTCCTTAACCCCATTCCCTCCTGTGTTCTCCCCCAGATCACTCCTATAGTCATTTCCCCTCCTCCTCTGTCCTCTAACCTCTCCCTATCTGTGGCTTCCTTTCCTACAGTCTATAAACAGGCCCCAGTCTTTCCCACCTTCCACAAACCTTCACCTTCCCTGCTAGCTATTGCTCTCTATCTCTCCTTTTTTTCAGCCACACTCCTGTCTTCAATCATCCCCTCTACTTCCTCTCCTCTCACTCATTCTTCAAATCCTTGTAATCTGGCTTTGGGCCTCATCACTCAACAAAAACTGGTCTCTGCAGATTTACCAATGACCTCTTCATTGTCAAATAGGATGACCTTTTCTCAATCCTCACCTTATGTACCATTCAGCAGCGTCTGACACTGATGACCCTCCCACATTCTCCTCCTAGATACTCTCTCCTCAGTGGTATTTTGTGATACTGGAGAAAGGAAATAAGGATCTACATAGTGCTACTCTGCACTTTTTACAAATATTATCTCACTGAATCCTCACAAAAGTCCTGCAAGGGAGGTGCTATTTTATCCCCATCTTTCAGTTGACAAAACTGAGGCAAACAAGTTAAGTAACTTCTCCAGGGTCATACAGCTAGTAAGTGCCTGAGGCTGGATTTAAATTCCAGGCTCAGGGCTCTGTCTACTCTGCCACCAGCTGCCTGTCTTGGCTATCCTCTCTCTGGCTGCTTTCTCTCAGCATCCTTTGCTTCACCATCATCCATATTCATGTTCCCTTACAGCTGGGATATCCCAAGGCTCTGTACTGGAGGAACTTCTCTGCTCTCCCTCTGCAATTGGTAGATCAGCCCAGATACTATTCTCTCATTTGGTAACTTCACTAGCCTCTATGGATTTAATCATGGGACTGGCGCAGATGATGCCCAGATCTACTTATATGGCCCTAGCCTCCCTCCTCACTTCAAGTCCCATATCACCAATTGCTTCTGAACTGGATGTACCACAGAAATCTCTTAAGAGATATGTCCAAGGAACAACTCATTCTCTTTCCTCTTAAACATACCTGTCTTCCAAACTTCCTTATCTATGGTGAGGCTACCACCATCCTTCCAATCACTCAATACCTTTGGAATGATGCTCAACTCTCACTCCTCAAGTCCAATCTGCTGTCAAATGTTATCATTTCTATCTTCATGACATCTCTTCTACATGCCCCCTTCTCTTCCACACTAGTTCACCCTCTCCCTTAGCCTATTACAACAGCCTCCTTATCAAATCTCCCTTCCTTAAGTCCCTCCCACTCCCACCCATTGCCCACATACCAGCCAGAGTGATTTTCCTAAAGTACAGGTCCGACCAAGTCACTCTCTTTCTCAATAAAGTCTAGTGACCCCTATCACCTCTAGGATCAAATACAAAACCATATTATTTAAAGCTCTCTCCTTCCAGGCCTACTACACAGTATTTCCCTTCATGTTCCCTCCAATCCAGCTAAATTGACCTTCCTCCTGCTTCTCATACATAACCTTCTATTTCTCAACTCTCTGTCCACCACACTGGCATATACTGTCCTCATCTCTGCCTCTTAGCATCCTGGGTCTCCCTCAAGATTCAGTTCAAGAACAGGATTCTCAGAAGAGGGTGGGATAGGTCATAAAATTCCAAACTCTCCAGATTTCCTCCACAAACAAGATAAAATAATGCCTCAGGGGAAACGTAGAGTGGTAATAATAAACAAGAGTTGGGGCAGAACACTGGTCCTCCTGGGACAATCACAGAAAATTGGAAGAAAATCCCAGGACTGAGGTTTGGTCCCAGTGAAGAATAAACACCTCCAGGCTAGTTCTGCTGAAACACCCAGCAGCAAGTCCTAAGGCTAGCTGTGTTGGGAGGTAGCCTAGGCCCCAGCTACAGGAACTTTCACTTCCAGGACAGTGTTGGGAGTCCCAGAGTCCTGTGTCTGAGCCAGGGAAGATTGAGGGAACCCGTGCTGATAAGGACGGCCAGACCCAGCTGTGCTGCCGAGATTCATCCTGGGTGAGAAAGAACTGGCACATACCAGGCAAGCATAGAAGCCATGGGGCAGGGATGGGCTGGCTGTCGGTACTTACAGGATAGAGTTCTTAGTTTCAGTTCCAAGCTAGAGGAGAATACTGACAGAGGACCTGAGGCCAGAGGCACCACCTCCCATACCCCAAGACTAATGGTGACTACAAAAAATGAGCTGCTACAATTAAAAAAATGAGCAGGCAAAGGATAAAGAATCCAACCATAGAGAGTTACTATGGGAATAGAGAAGACCAGGGTTTGTCTTCAGAGGAGGATATTAAAGCCAAAAAAGCCTCTCCTACCCCAAAGAGTAACGTCAGATGGTCACCTACTCAAAAAGAATTCATAGAAGAACTTTAAAAAGACTTTAAAAATCAAATGAGAGAGATTAAGGGAAAAAATTTTTTAAAAATAAAAACAATCCAAGAAAAAGAAGAAGATAATGAAAAGAAAGTCAACCAATTAGAAAAGCAGATGCAGAATCTTAAGGAAGAAAATGACTCCTTGAAAATTAGAATTGGGCAAGGGGAAGCCAGTGAAGTTATAAGATACCAAGAAACAATAAAAGAAAATACAAAAAATGAAAAAATAGGAGAAAATGTGAAACATAACACAACTAATCTGGAGAAGAGATCAAGAAGAGAAAATATAAGAATAATTGGACTACCTGAAAGCTACAATCAAGAAAAGAATCTTGATATAATAACACAAGAAAAAATTAAAGAAAATTGTCTTGAAGCATTAAAACAAGAGAGGAAAGTAGAAATACAAATAGAAAAAAGTCACCAATCACCACCTTACGGAGATTCTATGAGGAAAACCTATAGGAATATAATAGTCAAATTCTGAAAACCCCAGCTCACGGATAAAATATTACGAGCAACAAGAAAAAAACAATTTAAATATGGTGGTGTCACAATTAGAATCACACAAAGCCTAGCACTGGTGACACTAAAAGTCTGCAGGTCTTGGAACACTATATATCAAAGAGCAAAAGAACTAGGGCTGTGGCTGAAAATATCATACCTAGCAAAATCCTAAACAACAGCAAAAAAAAAAAAAGACATTTAATGGATTGTCAGACTTTCAGGATTTTGTTTTTAAAAAACACTGAATTTAATAGAAGATCTGACATATAAGATCTAAGAGAAATATAAGGTATATATCAAAGACTAATTACAAGGGACTCAATAAAGACCAACTGTTTACTTTTTATATGAGGAAATGTAAAACATATGTCTAAGGTTGTTATTAGTAACTGGATAGTTCATAAGAAAGATTGGGGTAGACCTGAGTATGATATGATTTTAAAAAGTAAAACCATTTAGGAACAGGTGAAAAGAGTAATTATCTTATACAAATGAGGTGTGAGAGGAAGAACTGACGCAGAGGAATTAAATGTGGGAGGGGGACTGGTAGTTCTGCAGCCCTCCTTTCATTGGGAATGGGTTTAAGAGGGAACAATACATATATATATATATATCTAGAACAACATAAAAATCTTCTAAATTCAGAATAAAAGACTAAGAGAATAGGGAGGAGGGAGAGGATAAGGAAGGGATTTTTAGAGGGATGGGAGGGTGGTAATTAAAGGGTATTTAGATTAATGGGAATGGGAGTGTAAGGAGGGATCCTTGGAGGGGGAATAGGTTAAGTAATATGAAGTCATGATAGCAGGTAGAAGCAAAGTAGAGGAGACAGGACAGATAAGAAATAAGAGATACACACAAACATAAAATAAAGATCGGGAGCAGAATTTATTACAGAAAAAAAGCAGGGGTAGTAATAATGATCTCAGACAAAGTTAAAGCTAAAATAGATTTATTCATAAGAGAAAAATAGGGAAAGTACACTATATGTCAGCCATATTAATCAAGATTATTTTAGATTATTTAGAATAGGGGCAGCTAGGTGGTACAGTGAATAGAGTACTGGCCCTGGATTCAGAAAGACCTGAGTTCAAATCCAGCCTCAGACACATAACACTTACTAGCTGTGTGACCCTGGGCAAGTCACTTAACCCCATTGCCTAACCAAAAAAAAATAATTAATAATTAATACTAATAGATTATTTAGAATAACTAGACAGTACAAGGTTGGAATATTGCTGTGGTATAGAAAATGATGAGTTAGTAGACTTAGAAAAATATTGAAAGACTTGGACTTATGAAGGAAGATGTTAAACACCTTCAGAGAAACAGAGGACAAATAAGTATAGTATGGTCTTACATAGATGCATATAAATGTACGTGTCTATATATGAGTATGATTATAGATATCTAAATATATGTATGTGTATGTAAGTGTATGTATGTGTATATGCAGGTATATATCTTTTCTGTGTCTATGTAAATATGTATGTATGTGTATATATCTGGTATACATAAATACATACATACACATATATACGTGTGTATATATATATATATATATATATATATCTTAGTTTTATTATCCCTTCGGGGGTGGGAGTAAAGGGGAAAAAAAGAACAAAGTAAAAAGTGCACAGCAGAGAACAAAAGAAAACTTGCAAGAAAGCAAAGAAAAGGTGGACTGCTCTGAACACAATGCATAGTATTTATTCTACAGGCTTTCTTGAAAAGGAAAAGGCAATTTATTGCTATATATTTTGAATCTTCTTTTACATTCTGCTGTGCACAGAGCAATGCTTTTTTTTCTTTTCTTATTCAGTATTTAAGTTTTAATATTTTAGCTTATGTTGCTTTTTCTTTTCTTATTGTGTATTTAAGTTTAAAATAAATTTAAAAATAAAGAGATTCAGTTCAAGCTCCACCTGTACATGAGGCCTTTCCTGATTCCTACAACTGCAACTGCCCTACTTCCAAAAATCACTGTGTGTGTGGATTCTGATTGCATTTTGTATATATACTTCTGTGTGCATGTCTCCTTTAACAGAATGTAAGCTCCTTGAGGGCAGGAATGATTTTAATTTTGTCTTCGTAGCCTCAGCATCTAGTACAGTGCCTGGCACACAGCCTGTGCTTAGTAAATGCTTGCTGATTGATTTTTAAGTTCTGGGTTTGTTCATTTGTTCGTTTGTTTAATTTCTGCGAATGTTTTCATGCTTTTGTCTATTTGCTGGATGCTCTATGTAAATCATGAGGGACGAGGGAAGAGAGAGGGGCAGAAGGTAACCAAAAATGTAAATGCAAAAAGTCTGTGGGAGAGAGGGAGAAGTTAAGGATAGAAGGAGTCAGCCATCATGAATTGGGAAAAGTATAGGTAGAGTCAGAGCTTTTCGTCCAAAAGTTTTGCTTGACTATATAGGATGGTAATAGGAAAAAAAAAATAGGTGGATAGATAGACTGACAAACAGTAGACAGACATAAATGAATGAATGAATGAATGAATGAATGAATGAATGAATGGACAAATAAATAAATGAATGTATATTGTTAGGTACAAATTTAATGTTTACTCTAGCTTCCTTTAAATTGACAAAGGAATATTCTAAAACTGGGGTCAAATCAGCCACCATTTATTAAGTGCCTACCACGTGCCAGGCACTGGGCTAAGTGCTAAGATACAAAGAAAGGTAAAAAACAGTCTCTGTCCTCAAGGAGCTCATATCTGCTAGAGAAGACAAGATGCAAATAGCTGTGAACAAACTAGATATAACCAGGCTACCTTAAAGCTTCCGTCAAGGACAAAGCAAGGGAGGGGCTTCTTGTAGAAGGAGAGACTTGAGCTGACACTTAGAGAAAGCCAAGAGGTGGAGATGAGGAGGGAGAACTGGAGGTTGGAAACACAGTCCAGCTGGGCTCATTCATAACTGTCTTTGCTGCCATGACACATACTGATTACAGTTCCTCAAGATGGGGAATGTTTCTTGCTACAGAATCTACAGGGATCACCCCCTCCCCAGTAAAGTGGGGGTGAAGAAGGGACAGGGAGAGAACACCAAAGACATAAATCAGGAGGTAAAAGGGAAAATAAGGTTCCCATCAAAAAGTTTTCTACTCCCATAATGTAATCCTAGTTCGATTCCTAATGTTTAAAGCTCAGAGCCTAATGTTCACTGGACTCTTTTCTTATATGCCAATGCCCGACTTAGTCTTTTCCCAAAACTGCAAAGTTGGATAGCAGCTAAGAAGTCCTCTACTACAATCAAACCTGACCAAGAATCTCTTTCTACAACAGAGGTTCCCAAACTTAATTGACCTATTTCCCCCTTTAAAAAAAATTACTCAGCACCCCCCTATAAATCTACTTTCTTTAAACCTTTAATGTTTTTTTAATTTGCATCATTTCAAAATAATACAATTTTTTAAGTGATGCATCTTAAATGTAATAATTTATTGTAAATTTGTGGGGTTTTTCCTGCATTGAAATTCTGATGATGCAATATTACATCATGTAACCATATAGTATCATACTGGAAACAAGTCATTACACACACATATTCTTGCCAATGAGTGCTGGACTTCCCAACAACATACAACATGCTCACCTGCCAATGCTTGCTTGTTAAGACCTGTTGGCAGACTTGACCTTTGATGGTCTATAACTTACATTTTGTGTGTTTATTTCAAAAATAATGTAATCATTATAACTTTACCTCTGTTACCAACAGAGGAAACATGTACAAAATTTTTCAAAACTTTTTTATCTTCTTTATGTTTCCACTGCCCCCTTGTTTTTATTCACTGTCCCCCAGTTGCACACAAGGCTACTACTGACCCCATGGATAGTTCCAGCACTCCCCAGGGAGTAGTATCATCTACTTTGGGAACCTCTGTCTCCCACTGAAGACCACCCCCTCAATACCTCCCAACGAGGGGAAGCATCATTGAGGCTGTTCATGCCACTTTTGGACAGCTCTAATTGTTAGGAAATTTCCCCTCATACCAAGCCTAAATTTGGTTTTTTGGGACCCCCACCCGATAGCCTTGTTTTGCCCCCCGGGACCAAGCAGAATAAGGATTGGCTCCTCTCCCACAAGTATTCTGATGAAGTTGGGTTTACTAAGTCTACGTATACTGCTGCATCTCCAACCTGAGAAAATCTAAAGTCTGCTGTGGAAAGGGCATGTTTGGAATGAAAAGATCTGAGTTCAAGTGGCATGCTGGGAAATCTGAACCAGCTTGGGGAGGGGGTGAGGAGAGGCTGGAAATGATTCTACCATGGGCCTCACTTTCAAGTTTAATCTACATTACTAATATTTTCTCCATCACTTTCCTAAGTCCAGACAGCCAACAAATACTTAATCAAGTCCCCATTTGACAGTGACAATGTAACAGCCCCCCCCCCCCCCCCCGAGCAGGCTCTGCTACTTAGCATTATTGACTCTGGGCTAGTGACGTGACTCCTGGGATGCTCACTTCTCAGAAGGAAAGGATAATATTTCTACTATCAGAGTTATAGAGAGAAAAGCCCTTTGTAAACCTGGAAGTGCTTTGAACATGTGGGCTGCTAAATGTGGGCACAAAGCTCCTCTGACTTCTTTCAGCAAGCTAGGACTCCAGGATCCCACAGTCCTGAGGGCTAATGACAGGTCCCTGAAACAGTCTCCCTTAGACCCTGCAACCCTGACTGACCTTGCTCAGACAGCTCAGCAGCATGTCCTTAAACAACACGTTTCTGCCCAGACCTGTTGATAACTCCAAAAGGGAAACCCCTTCAAAAACAGAGTCCACCAACACTAATCTGAGTTTTGAGACACAATCCTCTTCCACAATCTGGCCCCTTTCCAGCTCCAGCTCCTGGCTCTGGGGTTGGACCCTGCATCACACACTCATTGGGCCATTCTCTGCAAACCCTGCTACACTCTACCACCTCCATGCTTTTGTTCATGCTGTTACCTAAACCTGAGACATCTTCCCACCTGCTCCTCTTCTACTCGGTTTCTATCTTTTGAAGCCCAACCCAAATGCTTACCCAAGTGGCGGCATGGTACATTGTCTAGACTATTGGACTTGGAGTCAGGACCAACTCACTTTGAATCCCACCACTGGCAATTATTAGCTGGATTATCACAAGTCCCTTCCCCTGAGACTCAGTTTCTTCCCATATAAAATGAAGACAATAACCCCTTTAGCACGTCCTACTCTACTACAGCCATTCTGGCCTGCTTGGCCTTTATATGTGATTCCATCTCCTCTCTGGGTCTTTGCACAGGCTTTCTTCCCAGGCCTATGGAGCCCTTCTGCTTAATAGAATCCCTGCCTTGCTTAGCTGACCAAAGTGAATTTCATTTATTGCTCTGTAAGTGAGGGAGAAGGAGGGAAAAGTCCCTGAATAACACCACCCCTCCCTATCCTGATCTCCCAGTTGCCAGTGTCACCTCAGAAATGACTCTGTATATATTGTTATTTAATTTTCTGTGTATATGTTGTTTTCCCTAGAACGTAAACTCCTAGAAAGCAAGAGCTAAATTGGTTTTAGCTTTGTATCCCCAGCACCTAGCATATAGTAAGTGCATACTGAATGAATGAAGCAAGCTGGCAGGGACCACTTATTTTGTCAAAGTCCTTCCTTATGGTCAGCAAGCAGGAAGCCCTTCCCTAGTGCCAAGCACTGTGCTAAGCACCCAAGATATAAGGGAAGGCAAAAACAGAGTCCCTGCCTGCCCTCAACAAGCTCCCATTCTAACAGGGGACACAACATACAAACAACAATTTGCAGTGCTGGAATTCATATTACATGCCAAATACATGTAATATATGCCACACACTTGACCTGTCTCAACCAGCATTGTAAATATTGTTGGTGATCTTTCATGCTAATGATCTCAAAAGATTAGGGATAAACTCCAAGGATCAGATAGATTATAAAGTCCTTCGGGTATCTAGCACCCTGCCTAGCATGTAGCTCAACAAAGGGAATCTCACTAAATACCTGTTGGTTTGGAATGGAAAGGGGGGGGGGATGTCCCCTGAATAATCTCTTATAGAGTTATCAAAATGAATCTTCAATCTATTGATGTTTTGGGGCCCAGCACTTGGGAGTCATGGTATTCTAAAAAGGGCCCTGGTTTAGAAGTCAGAAGGCCCCATTTATTAGCTAAGTGACCTTGGACAAGTCTAGTACTCTGTATAATAAATAGCAGTTTCCCATTCTGGCTTCCTGTTTATCTCCTGGTTATTTCAAGTCCTCATCTTTTCAACTGAAGCTCCAAACGCCCATCTGGGCCCCTGATCTTTTTAAACTCTCTCCATCTTTTCTACGTGGGTGACAGGTGGGGGGCAGCAAGGTGATGGGGGACATGTAAAGCTCTAGCATCCAGCACTGCATCTGACTCTCTCACTACCTGTGCAAATTACGTTGCTTGGTAGCTCACTAGCCGGGTGACCAAACATAGGGAAGTCACTTACCCTCTAAGCCTCGGTTTGGTCCTCTGTAAAATGGAGCTAAGAATACCTGGAGCAGTAGCTTAGCTTACCAGGGGTCTCGTGGGACACACCCATGAGATGATCTGAAGAGCTTGGGGACGGTCAAACCTGATGATTCTTCAGGGGGTGGGGAGTGGAGGTGGGAGTAGGAGGGCTTCGGCGCGAGATAAACCCAGAGGGCGGGAACCGCCCCCGCCCCCCCTTAGGAGAGCCCCGAGCTTGCACCCCACCTTACCCCACTCGGCTACCAGGTCGTTCCGGCGCATCCGCTGGAACACCCGGACCAAGACCCTGGGGGTCCCGGACACGACGTAGCGCTTGACCAGCAGATCGGCCAGAGCCGAGGTCGTGGGGGCCCTGTCCAGGTCCTGCATCGTGATCCTAGGCTCCTCCCCGGAGTTCCTCAGGTAAAACTTGAACTCTTTCAGCTCCGGCTGGCTCATGCTGTCCAGCGTGCTCACCACCCGGGCTCTGAGCGCCTCCATGGCCCCGGAGGGAGCGCCGGGGGCTGTGGGGGAAGGCTGCGGGGCGGGGAGGGGACACAGCCCGAGCTAGGGGGCGGCGAAGGCGAAAGTGAAAGCAGTTGCCCGCGGAATCGGGAACCGCGCTCGCCAGCCCGACAAAGACCCGGGGCTGGCGGTCCAGGGGCGGGGAGGAGGAGCGCGCCCGCGCGGACCCCGCCCCGGGGTGGGGATGGGCTGCGAGGAGTCCTTACCCTTCTGCCCTCCGCTTTCCTCGGAGGGTCTAGCCTTCTGTCCTGCGCCCCTGCTTCCCATGCGGTTCTGGCTCTCTGTCTGTCTCTGTCTGTGTCTCTGTCTCCATCTCTCTCCCTCCCCTCCCTTCTCTCCTCCTTCTCTTTCTCCTCTTTTCTCCCCATCCTCTCCTCTCTCCCTCTTCCACTCCTGTCTCCTCCATTCTTCTCTCCCTTTCCTCTCCTCTCCTCTCTCCCCTTCTTCATCTTTCCATCCCTTTTCCTTCCCTACCTCCTCTCTCCCCCTCCACTCTCCTCCTCTAAACCCACCCCGCTGTCTCTCATTCTAAAGTCCAGTGTTTCTAACCCTTTATTGCACTGAGGGTTTGAGACAAAGCTGCAGAATGAATCTCTGTCACTGAGCGGGCCATTCAGTGATTCCCTGATGCTCAGAATGTCCCAATTTTACCCACTCTTCAAATCCTAACTACTCACGTGCCCTGATTTTTCTCAGCTTGCTTTACCCTTGTGGTCACAGAGCATTTTGGAAAATAAATTTTTACTGACATCTTCAGCGTCTTACATCATCAGAGTTGTCCCAAACAACCATCTCTCTGAAACGCCTCCCATTTTTTTAATTGGAAAAGAAATTAACCCAGGAACTCTATGAACACAATTACAAAACACTTTTCACACAAATAAAATCAGATCCAAATAATTGGAAAAACATCAGTTGCTCATGGGTAGGCCGAGCTAATATAATAAAAATGACAATCCTACCTAAGCTAATTTAATTATTCAGTGCCATACCAATCAAACTACCAAGAAATTATTTTATAGAGTTAGAAAAAATAATAACAAGATTCATGGAAAAACAAAAGGCCAGAATATCAAAGGAACTAATGAAAAGAAATGCAGGGGAAGGTGGCCTAGCCATTCCAGATCTTAAATTGTATTATAAAGCAGCAGTCATCAAAACTGCTTGGTACTGGCTAAGAAATAGGGAGGTGGATCAGTGGAATAGGTTAAATATGCAAGACACAGTAGTCAATGACTATAGTAATCTATTATTTGATAAACCCAAAGACCCCAGCTTCTGGGATAAGAACCCACTCTTTGAAAAAAACTGCTGGGAAAACTGAAAAAAGTATGGCAGAAACTAGGCATAGACCCAAATCTCACACCATATACCAAAATAAAGTCAAAATGGGTTCATGACTTAGATATAAAGGCTGATACCATAAGTAAACTGGGAGAACAAGGAATAGTTTACCTATCAGATCTATGGAGAACAGAAGAATTCATGACCAAACAGGAGATAACAGAACATTATGAAAAGCAAAATGGATAACTTTGATTACATTAAATTGAAAAGTTTCTGCACAAACAAAGCCAATGCAACTAAGATTAGAAGGAAGGTAGAAAATTGGGAAAGAATTTTTACAACCAGTCTTTCTGATAAAGGGCTCATTTCTAAAATTTATAGAGAATTAAGACAAATTTATAAGAACACAAGCCATTCCCCAATTGATAAATGGTCAAAGGATATGAACAGACAGTTCTCAGATGAAGAAATTAAAGCCATCTATAGTCATATGAAAAAATGCTCTAAATCATTATTGATTAGAGAAATGCAAATCAAAACAACTCTGAGGTACCACGTCACACCTATCAGATTAGCCAACATGGCAAAACAGGAAAATGATAAATGTTGGAGAGGATGTGGGAAAACTGGAATGCTAATACATTTTTGGCGGAGTTGTGAAATGATCCAACCATTTTGGAGAACAATTTGGAACTATGCCCAAAGGGCTATCAAAAGGTGCATACACTTTGACCCAGCAATAGCCCTTCTAGGGCTGTATCCCAAAGAGATCATACAAATGGGAAAAGGACCCACATGTACAAAAATATTCATAGCAGCTCTTTTTGTGGTGGCAAAGAATTGGAAATTGAGAGGATGCCCATCAATTGGGGAATGGCTGAGCAAGTTGTGGTATATGAATGTAATGGAATACCATTGTGCTACAAGAAATGATGAACAGGCTGACTTCAGAAAAACCTGGAAAGACCTATATGGTCTGACGCTGAGTGAAGTGAGCAGAACGAAGAGGACTTTGTACACAATAACAGCCACATTATGCAATGACTAAGCATGTTAAACTGAACCCTTCTCAGCATTATGAGGATCTAAGACATCTCCGGAGGCCTCGGGGTGGAAAATGCTGTCCACATCCAAAGAAAGAACTATGGAAGTCGAATTGCTCTCGCTTATTTTTACCTTCAGTTGAGTTTTGTTTCATGTTTCTGATGGTTCCTCCTATTGGTTCTAATTTTTACTTACAACTTCACTAATGTGAAAATATGTTTAATGGGTATGTAAATGTAAAGCCTGTGTCAGATTGTGCGCCATCTTGGGGAGGGTGGGGGGAGGAAAAGGGAGAAAAATTTTCAACTCAAAAGCATATGGAAAAAATAAAATAAAAAAAAATTATAAAATGGAAAAAAAAAGAATGTCAATTCAAAAAGGGTGGATGGGAGAGATGGGGATCAGGGGCAAATCTCTTGGCCTTTCTGTACCCCACTTTCCTCAACTGTGAAGTGGAAAGTCAATAATAACAGTGCTACCTACCTCAGTGACCATGACAGCTATCCCTAGAGTGCAGAATAACAGCTGCAGTTCAATTCTACAAGCAAAAATGTGCATACCCTTTGATCCAGCAATAGCCCTAGAAGTGCTATATCCCAAAGAGATCAAACAAATGGGAAAAGGACCCACATGTACAAAAATGTTCATAGCAGCTCTTTTTGTGGTGGCAAAGAATTGTCTGCTATGTGCCAGGCACAGGAATCACACGGTCTCCAATCTACACAGTCACACACTTGTACGCAGGTGAGAATCAAACGAAAATGAACATCGGGGAAATGAGAACCAGGAGAACAACATAAACGATGCCTATGAGAAGTTAACAACATGGCCTGAGGCCGACCTCATTCCAGGAAAACAGAGGATGAAGCAGTCTTCCCTCAGTCTGCAGGGCTGAGGGCACTGCAGGCGGGGGATGCAACAAGCTGGTAGATGCCATTGATGCTCAATTGCTTTTTCTCAACTGTTTTTCCATTATAAGGGTGGGTGGCCTAGAAGGCCACATGTGACAATAAAGCTGCAGGTTCCTGACCCATGCCTAGGGCAAAGTTACTTGAACTTCCTTATCCTCAGTTTCCCCATCTGTAAAATGAATGGGCTGGACTATACTACCTTTTAACACGAAATCTATGGTCCCAGAAACAGTACTCTACTCACGGTTTCCTGACTGCATAGACATGGCCCTTTCCCTTTTTAACCAGCCCCCTCTCCCTTAGGGCATTTGGGAGGGCAAAACCAGATGTTTAAAAAACTCTCTTTGCATAACATCAAATTCTGACTGGTATTATTGGGCCCCCAAGTACCCCTCATCCTTGCACTGCCCATCCCATTAGCCCTCCACATTCCATGGATAGAAGCAGCTGAATGAGAAATTAAGGTTATGTTTCATATTCCTAGATGTCTTAATAACAGACTATCCCTTGAGATTACCCGTCCTTCATCCAAATATTGGTGTGCTTCCAAACATAATGTTCCTTCCAATCATAGCCATGTTCTTCATGAATTATCTTCCTAAACAATGTACAATGCTGTCAGAAATAGAAACAGTTAAATTAAATTAACAATTAAATCTGAGCTGGAAGGTGAAGGATACACTGGGACTCCCAGCTAGCCTCAGTTTGGAAAGCAGAAAGGGAGAAGAATCATGTAGCTGAGAAGGAGTCTAGTTCTGGCTAGAGCCTGGATTATTAGGGGAGGGAAAAACATGGCAAGATGGGTGGTAGCAGCTCAGGCCTTTACCTGTTGCCTGACTCCTAGATCCAGAGTGAACTCTCCAAAGAGGCAAAATATTGCTGATGCATCTGCTAATCATTTCTCCTTTCCTTTCCCTACAAGCCTTCTCCCCCTAGTGACAGCCCTCTCTTCTGACTGATGAGATCCTGGCCTTGACCACCAGGCCATTCCCAATCCCATTCCTTGTTCTCCACAATTTTCTCCCTTCCAGCCCCTTGGTATGGATTGTCTCTCCTCTTCCCCAACTCCATTAGGATGGAAGCTCGTTGAAGGTAGGGATTGTCTTCATTTTTTTTTTTTGCTTCTACTAATATCCTGGACACTTATCACAGTGCCTGGCACACAGTAAGTACTAAATAAGTGTTTTGTCTATCTATCCACCTGGCCACATGCCCTTACCAATAGAGGGATCTTCTATAACAACAAGGCTCTATTACCAATCCACAATGGGCTCAGAATTGAGGAGCATAGGAACAGGAATCGAGGTTATTACAAACGAAACACATCCATTTTCCTGCCCTCAAGAAGTTTAACATCTCCTCAGGGAAACCAGGCACAAAGGTGGAACAGGTGATCTGAGACAATGAGCATGATTAAGGGCTAAAATGATTTGTACAGGAGGAATATGAGAAGGAAGAGATACCTGGGTTGGGTTGGAAGGAGTTGGCTGAAGGAGCGGGCCACTGAAGGCTGGCCTGGTGCTGGATAGCTGGGGTGGGGAGTGGAGACTGAGTCTAAGCTTAGAGGGGGCATAGTGTGAGGATGAGACCAGTCTGACTGGAAGGAGAGGCTCACAATGAGAACGGGAGTAAATCAGATGAAATGTGGTAGGCAGAGACCAGATTTCAGACTATAGAATACAATTGTAGAATTATAGAATCTTAGAGATGGAAGGGACTTTTCAGATCACCTAGTCCAGTCTCTTCTCTTTATAAACAGAGAGTTATTTTAACAAGGACAACTGGCCAGAAAGTTGAGATTAGAGCCCAGAACCCCTAAGCCCTGACCAACGTGCTTTCCTCTTAATGCCTTAAATGTGGTGTAATAGAAAGAGCACTGGATTTAGAGTCAAGATCTGAGTACACATCCTGGCTTTGTTGCTCACTGATCGTGTGATTTTGGTCAAGTTATTCTTTCAGAGCCGTGGTTTTATCTTGTGTAAAGGGGATAGGGGGAGTTGGACTGAACTCTCTTCTGGTTCAGAACCTCTGATCCTGTGGGCTGCAAACTCCCTTGAGGGGTGTGACATAACAGGGGTACTTTCCAAAGGTCGAATACAGGGCCAGTGACTGGAAGGCAGACTAGGACGTAAGGCCATTGGGATCATCCAGGTGCACCACGGGAAGGAGCCACACTACAGTGAGATCTGGGGGAATATCTTCAATCACATCCTCCCTTAAAACTGGTAAAGTGCATTACTTCCATTACCTTCCTTTGACTCTGACAACCCTATGCTATAAGTACTATAGCTGTTACTGTTTCCATTTTACAGATGATCTAGGAGATAGGAGTCAAATTCAGGCCTTCCTCCTGACTTCGTGTCCATCACTCTTTGCTAAACCATATGGCACCACACTCTTTAAGGAAAGGATTGATGTGAGAAATGAGAGACAGGAGTTAATGACTGATCAAATGAGACAGAAAATATAGAAAAGCCAAGGATGGCTGAGGATTTGAGTGTAGGTGACTGGAAGGTAGAAATAGGCACAGTGAAAGGCAAACTGTTTTCCAACAAGGTTGGTTTGGGGCAGTAGAGGGGCCCAGGGCAGACAGCTCCAGGCTTGGAATGAGAAAGACCTGAGTGACCTCAGCTGTTGATGATTCTTAAAAGGGATCATTCTTGCACTGCCTACCTAAGAGGTTCTTTTCAGGATCAGATGAGATAATGGAAGCCTTTTTTAAGCTGGGTTGCCTTAGGTGATGAACTCCTTGAAACTTAGGGTGTATTCATGTCCAGAGGTGAATCTTCTGGGATGGAGAGGATTAGGGCACACATACTGAGGGCAGCCTGTGCAAGCATCCTAAATCTCTAAGTAGGAAAAAAATGCTACAGATGTGGGTAAGGAATATGAGAGAGAGAAGAGAATCAATGACAGAAACAACCCACCAGCCCTTTCCTATGTGACTGAATAAGTAGATATTAAAAGACCTGTGTTATCATTATTATAATGAGGATGTGTCATCTCCAAACATCCACAACCTGTCCGGGAATTTATTTATCAGGAACTTTACTCCTGTTTCATCTACCTAACGAAGCCTATTTCATACAAAGGCCTGGCATTGATGATAGCAGCCAAGGGAGAAGGTTCTGCTGTCAGAAGCTCCTTATGAGCCAGCACTGTGTTGAGCAGTCAAGGAAGGTAACTAACACTGTGCCCTAGGAGAGGCAGAGCTTAGAGGGATAATTTGAGATTCCCATTAACTCTTCTTGGTCAGGCTGCTCTGGAGTATCATGGTCAGCTCTGGGAGGCACAATTCAAAAAGGAAATTGATAAACAGGAGTGTGCAGGAAGGCAATGAGGATGGTGAAGGGAGTTTCAAGTTCAGGCCATAGGAACTTTGGGATCAGGAATGCTTCGGGAGACATTGGGCATGGTCAGGGAGAAGGCACATCTAAAAAGCTGTCAAGGGGCCAGGCGATTCCTATGTTTAGGGTTGGCCCCTGGGGGAAGAATTAGGTGCAAAGGGTGCAATTGCAAAAAGGGAATTTGAGACTTCACAGAAGTCTATTTTCTGGCTTTTCACATTGAGCTCTGCTCCTGGAGCACAGGGGGCACTGTCCCAAGTTTCTAGTGCTGGGAACCTGGGGCCTGGTCACTGGCCTTGTGCTCTGGGGCCTCAGGTGCAGGTGGTTTGCTTGCTGCACTGGGTTGTAGGCTGGGTTCTGGGGCTGCAGGCCTGACAGCTGGCCTGCTGTGCCACTGGCCTGCTGAGCCAGGAACAAGGGGCCTTGCTTGCTGATCTCTGCTGTGGCTCAGAGCCTCCTGCTGGCTCCCAGACACTGGCTGTGCTGGGCTGCACTTCCCTTTTACCCAGGTGAGACAGAGCTTTCCTGAAATCCTTCTAAATTAGCTTCAGCTGGAAAACTGTTTGACTCCATCCTTTTGTGGGTTCTGTCCCTCCAGAATCTGTTTTGGGGTTTGATTTAACATTGTTTCCTAGGGAAACTGGGAAGAGCTCCAGCAGCTTCCTGACTTCTCTTCACCATCTCAGCTCCATGCCTGATATCTACTTTTCTACATAAATGCTGTATTTCCTTAGTAGAATGTAAGCTCCCAGAAGGGAAGAATTAGTTTGTTGTTTTTCTATCTGCTAAGTTGTATGCTTAACAAATTATTACTAAATTGGTCTTAAAACTATAATAGACAATTAGGTCTATTACAGATGCACAACTTCTATTTCCAAATCCAGCTTGTCACAGGCTAATGGCCAAGTCTGATTTTTTTCAGTATCTACGTGTTCCATGAAAATCGTGGTTAGGTTTTATTCCCTCAAGACTGAGTCTGAAGTATGGAAGAAGTGAAGAGCTGACATTTTCTGCCTACCCTTCAGGTACAGTCCCTTGATACCAAGTCAAGTCTGCTTTCTAGAGCAGACATCCTGGGGCCTAAGTACTTTAAACACATTTTTTTTTGATAACTGTATTTTGGTAGAATTGGTTTCCTTTGTAATCCTACAAGGTTTATTTTATGCATTTAAACAATATGATTCTGAGGAGGAGCCCATGGGTCTCAGCAGCCTACCTAAGAGATCTGTGACACCAATAAAGGTGAAGTCACTGGGTCCCAACCCAATAGATCTCTCCCAAGCCACCCTTCCCCCAACTCTTTCACTATTTCTTTCCCTTATCTTTTTGGCCACAGGACTCCACAAGCTACCTCTGGAATGACCTGAACCCTTCTGAACCGTGTTCCTGTTTCTTGACAGAATCTCTGAATTCCTTCCTAATTTCCCCCACACTCTAGCCATGTCTTGTCCTGCTTTACAACTGGCCTTCTTCTTTCCTGGGGCTAATCAATCCATTTTTGAACACTGTCACTAAACCTCTGACTCAGTATAAAATTAACATCCCCAAATTTCACATTCCAGATAATAGTGCAGCGGGGTAGATGTGCACAGCAAATGAGTATAATAACATTACATTCCCTCCCTGGCAAGAGAGGTTGTGGGGAGGGGGAAGTGTTACATGCTGAGGGTGTGCGAGGCCATCAGATACTGGGAAGGCTCCAACGGCAGCCAAGGGCTGGGGGAGATGACAGTGATGGCTAATCTTGGACCAGCACTGGGAGGAGGGAGAGAGATGTTAAATTTGTCAACCAGATTTCTTCTGAGACTCAAGTGCTGCTCAACTGAAAAGAATTTAACAAGGCTCCAGGTAGGAGCAAAGGGCTAGGGAGAAGGCAAAAGAGATTAAGAACAAGCAGGCTCCCTACCCACAGCTCCACACTCCCTCTCCTCTGTTAAATGTGTCTGATGACACTTGTACTACCACCGCCCAAAGCTGTTTCAAGAGTCATGTTGCAGGAGATATCATAGAAAGCCTGCTCCAGAATCACAAAGCCCCACGTAATTGTTGTTACCTCTATTAAAACTATTGTTATTAAAATATTATAATTCTTAAAACTATTGTTATTATTTAGATTGTAAAGTTTTCCAGAAGGATGTGAGCAACATAGGGGCAGCTAGGTGGCACAGTTGATACAGCACTGGCCTTGGAGTCAGGAAGACCTGAGTTCAAATCCAGCCTCAGACATTTACTAGCTGTGTGACCTTGGGCAAGTCACTTAAGCCCGACTGCCTCACCAAAAGAGCATAAAACAAAAAAGAATGTGAGCAAATGGAGGGTAGGCCTGCTTTGCCTCTGTATCCCCAGTGCTTAGCACAAAGTAGGCACATACCAGGTATGGTTGTTTCCATACCTCATATCAAGCTCTGAAGGTAAGCCTGGGATGGGGAAGTTTATGGAAATTCAGCTAAGTCCTACCATGCTGGCTACTCATGTACCCAGGAATTGACCATATAACTTCTGCCTGAGAAGCAGCCTAGCCAGCTTTGGAGAGGCTCCTCCCTCAAGGATTTCCAGTCACAGTAACTCATGAAGCTGTCTAGCAAAGGAGGGATGGAGATCTGCATTGGTGGAAGAAGCCGCCACGTTAACAAAATCACAGCTCCAGAAGAGCTGCCTGAAACCATGAAGGGAGATTTGAGAGCTGACTGCCATCATCATCATCATCTTCATCATCGTGTCCTTTCCTACCTCCATATCCAACTGGTCACTAAATCCTCTCAATCTCATATTGCTTCCTTCCTTTCTGGTACAGTCTCCCCAATCACTACCACTATAGAATAGTCCTGGTTAGAATTTCTGCATAATATTTTAACTCTCAGAACGTGTCTTTCTCCATTTGCCCGGATGCTCAATAACTCTGTGGCCCTGGAGAGCCTCATCACATTGGTTAGCGAATTTTCTCATTCCTAAAATCCAGATATGGTAATAGCACCTAACTCACATGCTGGCTGTAATGATTAAATGAGCTACTGTATCAAAAAGGCTTTGCAAACCATTGCAAAAGCTACGATTTACATAGTTTTTACTATGTGCCAGGCACTGTGCTAAGCTCTTTACAAACATCATCTCATTTGAGCCTTCCATCAACCCTGAAGGTAGGTGCCACTAGTATACCCATTTTACAGATGAGGAAACTGAGGCAAACACAGATTTGAAGTGACTTGCCCATGATCACACAGCTAGGAAGTATCTGAGGGCAGATGGGAACTCAGATCTTTCTGACTCCAGGCCTGGTGCTCTATTCACTACTACCTCACTGTCCAACAAAGTGCCATATCAATGTTACCTATTGGGCTTTTCTCATCCCCTCATTAGTGCCTTTCCTCTAAGATTACATTCCATTTACTTTCTCCTCTCTCTCTTTCCCTCCCCTTCTCTCCCTGTCATTTCTCTCTCTCTCCTTTACTCCTCCCCTCCCTCCCCTTCATTTTGTCTCCTCATCCTCCATTACCCACATATGTGTGGGTTACACACACACACACACACACACACACACAGAGCAGTGCACCCAAAAGTGAGGGCAGTTTTAAGGTTTAATACCCGAAGCCCCCAGTGTGTATACAGGTGAATGTGTGTATAAAAATGTGTGTATGTATACACATACACATATCAACAAAGGAATATACACATACATATATCTACATAAACATGATCATTTACTTGTCCTTGCCATTAGATTGTCGGTTCCTTGACTTCAGGGACTGTCTTTCCCTTCTCTGTAGCTCTGTGGCTAGTAAAATCTAAAATGAATCAGGGAACAAAGGTTTGTCAAAGGTAGAGGAACAGATTTCTAGCCTCTGGGTAGCTGGAGCCAAATGAAGCGGGTAGAGACAGAAGAGTCAGGAATTAAACAAAAGTTTAATTTCACAGTGAGGAAAACAGGTTTGCAAATCAACATCCTACTGAAGAGACCTTGTGATTCGTGGCAGGGGGAGGGTTATTAAGTATGAAACCCACAAAAAGGCAGGACCCAACACAATCCTTCTTCGGTGTTGAGTAAACACTTCCCACAGCAGGGTCACATGTGCAGGTGTCTTTTGCACAACACAGGAGTTCTTGGGCCCTATGGGCACCCATGAGTGCAGGGATCTTTGGGAAAACACAGGAGTTCCTGGGCCCTGTGGGAATACTTTCTAACTGTGTAGGGTCTTTGAGGCTTGTGAGCATTTAGCAGGGTACTGAACCAGAGTCAGTGTGGTGGGAACAGGAGTGCAGCACCTGGTTCAGTTCACTTAGCAATGACAACTGCAGGGATTGTCCAGAGTGTCAGGATATAAGACTGACTGCTTTGTGCTGCAGTTTCTGATGAAACCTTCACAACACATTACATCCAACATACATAAGAGCCAGTATTTGATACAGTGTAAAGCACAGTGCTAATGCATAAACAAATTATTCTGTACTGAAAATCTTCCACCACCTCCACCTCTGCCTCCACCAAGTGTCAAAAGTACACAGCTTTGGTGAGAGTGGACTCCATGACCAACACCATTTTGACAGGATCCTCGTCCATGTAAAAGTCTGTGTGCACCACTCTGTTGTTCACCTATAAGACAAAAGGCCCAAATTACACAAGGAAATGAATAAAATTCAATTCCAGAATTAGATAGCTGAGCAGGGCTGTCTTTAGCCTCTTTTTGTATCTCCAAAGTTTAGTTAGATGTCTGGCATGTAGGAGGTGCTTAAGAAATGTTTCATGATTATTAAACAAGTATTTATTAGGCACTCAGGGTGCTCTAAGCCACATTCTAGGTGAGGAAGAAACAAAGACCAAGGAGTTAACTTTCTAAGGCCAGATACAATACATACATCAATAAGCAATAAGTATATGCAAAATACAGACAAGGTAATGGGGAAGGGAGAGATTAAAGCAGAGTTCTCAGAACCCAGTAGAGGAGGCAAAAACCTTTGTATAGGAAGTAACCCAGAGCTAAAATTAGTAGAAGAGCTAGAGATTCCAAGAGGCAGACGTGAGGAGAGAGTGAAATCCAGGCATTAGACAAAGACAGGGTCTGAGTCTGCAGAACCAGAGAGTAGGCCAGTTTCACCGAAATGCAGAGTTGGGGGTGGGGTGCAGACTGTAGAGGATTTTAAATGTCAAATAAAGCAATAGGGAATCATTAACACTTCTTGAGCAGGGGCCTGACATGGTGAAATCTGGGACATGTGAATGTCTGGGACAGGACAACTCTCTTGTAAAGTGCAATAGCAATGTACAGTATTATTATAACAATGATGATGAAGAAGATATCTGTAATAAACTTGACACTGATTTCTCTTCATTCAGCCCAAAGAGCATGGGGGCTGTGAGTTGTTCCTACTTCCAGGCTGATCCATTCTCATTACTGGACGATAACTTAGAACTGATGGGATAGAGAGGGATGAGAGAGAGAAAAAGAGAAAATGACTATTTAAATGAACACCTCAGCCCCTTGTTTGCTAACAACACTGATAGCAGCACAGTCCTGCCCTAAGAGCTTACAATCTACTGAGGAAGGGCAACAACCATGAGAGAAGAGTTCAAAGAAAGAAGGAAGACATCATCCCAGGAGGAGAAAGACTGCAGGTAAGAGTGCAGGCACCCGGCCTACATGCACACACACATGCACAAATGCTGCCCAGGGAATTCCAGGCAATGTGCTGACAGGAAGAAATAGATGCTTGTTAACTAGTGGAGGAAAAATAGCAGAACATGGAGCATGAATCCATTTATTGATAACTCACTCGAGTAAAAAAATCCACAATATGCAACTTCTTGCCATGTTTCTGAAAGACTTCATCCATTGCTTGAATCATCACAGAACCATCTTCTGGGTGGCGTAAAGCAATGTGACCTACCAGTGGAGAAATGAGAATATTGTTTAAATTTTTGACTAAAGTGTTCTAAAAATGCACACACACACATGTGGAATCTAGAAAAACACTTACTAAGCAAGATATCCCTTTATTCGGTGCAACAGTAGAACATGTCTACATTTTGATTAAGCTGTCCAGTATTTACACTTGTGCTACTTCCCAAATCTGTTCCTTGGGCCCTTAACTCTACCAGTACACTAACTAGGCAGTCTAAATGCACAGCCCATAAAGAATCCATGGCAGATGAGGTCAGTAACTAATTTACAGTGGGCCATGAACCAGGAAAAGCCTCGTCTGCCCAGCAAACTCATATGAAGGACACGAGATATTATCTGAAGCCAAGGCTATGTTTTCCCAGTGATGCTTTACTCAAGAACCTACAACTTTCAGTCTCCAATACACCGTGTAAAGTAGCTGGGAGTCCCTAGAGCATTCTGCTCATAATCAGAAGGGAATCCATACCCAAAGAACGTTCCATACAACATTCTCAAGGATATGGTCAGTTTCCTTTGACCTAAAGACTTTAAGTAAGGGAACACTTACCATCTATCAAGATGCCAATTACACTTTGGACAGCTATAATTATTTGTTGGGCTTTACTGACAGGAAGCCCAAATATGCCTCTCTGCACTTTATACCTTATTCTATTGGTCCTAGTGAGGGTCTAGTAGACCAAGCACAGTATCTGAATTGCAGAGGTTCAAAGGACGTCATAACCATCTGCTCCCACCCATCCCTGAACAACAATCTACTCTACAATATGGTCAACAATTCAATGGTCATTGGGGCTTTCCTCCAACCAATTCCCAAACCAGTCCACTCTGCAAATGGCTCTAAATATGGGGAAATTTTCCCCATCATTAAACCTATACCTTCTCCTCTGCAGCTTTCACCCACTCTTCCTATTTCTCAACTTTAGGGCAAGCCAAATAAATGGCCTCACCCTTAAATCTGGTAGTCCTTCAGATACTTGACAACAGTTATCACCTCCCTCCTAATCTTCTCTTGTCCAAACCAAACATTCTCAAACAATCTCCAAAACACCATCCAACATCACCATTCTAGTCACCCTACTCCTACGTGTTCCAGTTTGTATCTGTCTTTCCTAAAATAAAGCGGTTGTTGAATTGTTCTAGAACTATCTAGACCCTACGGGGGTTTTCTTGGCAAAGACAGTGGAGTGACTTTCCATTTCCTTCTCCAGCTCATCTTAAAGATGAGGAAACTGAGGTAAACATGGTGGCATGACCTGCCCAGAGTCACATAGCTAAAAAGGTTCCGAGGCTACATTTGAACTCAGGAAGATGACTTGCCTGGCACTCTATCCATGGCACCAAGCAGCTGCTTTTTGAGGTATTCAACACTGAATACAATATTCCAGGGGTGGCCTCAGCCTGGCAGAGGACAGTGAGATGATCAGCCAATTTCTGAACATATTCTCTTAATGCATTTTCTACTACCACATCGCCAATGCTGATTTATGTTTGGCCTCTAGCTCCTTAACAACCCCCAGATATTTTTCAAATGTATTGTTCTCTAGCCATCTCTCCCCTATATTTAAATTGAGCACTTGAATTAAGACTTAGTATTTATCCTCATTAAATTACATCTTACTACATTTTGACAAAAATTCTGGCCTGCTGAGAGCTTTCTAGATTATGATTCTGACATCCAAATTTCTAGCTCTCTCAGTTTGGTGACTTCTGAAAATTTTAGAATCATGCTATCTCTGCTTTCCTCTAAATGAGGGATTGAGATGTTAAACATAGAGCCAATGGGAGTCTGCCTAACTGCAAATGGCTGACCAGAAGGCCAAAACCCTGCTGGGTTGAACAAATTCTGCCTTAGGAAAAAATATTGTATGGAATTAGTCATTTTAGTTTTTGGTAATCTATGTTTACAGGGTGATGCACAAGAAGAGTTTTACTACAAATCTGAAACGTAAATAATCAGAACTGGATTTTGAACAGTCATTATCACTTTCATTCAATATGCCTTGACAACGCATAAATTCACTGCCTTACCTTCATGGGTGGATAGAGGATAAAGTAATCACTGAATGTGGGAAGTCGCTTTTTCTCTGAATCATTTACTTCCATTGGTTCACCATCGGCTTGAACAACACCACCATCTCTTCGACTGTTTTTGTGGGAGAAGATGTGAAGCCAGTGAGATAAACAATTATCCAGCAATCTGATATTAATGCCAAATGAACCTATCATAAGTGAGCCCATGTCACTGCATATACACTGAAGGGAGTAGTTCACAGTCATGGGCCCCAATAGCTCCAGAAAAGCTAGGCAAGCCAGATCCCAGTCTAAGGAGCAAACAGCACACATACCAACAGTAACATTCCTCAGAATTGGTAGGCCAAGGATTAACAATTTCATCATGTCAGAGGCTAGTAGGATCACAGCATCATAAATTTATGGCTGGAAAGGACCTTAGAGATAATCCAGCCCACTCTCTCATTGTACAAATAAGAAAACCAAGCCCCAGAGAGGTTACATGACTTGCCCAAAGTCACTGAGAAAGACAGTATGAATAATATAAGTAAAGCATGTTGAAAAACTGAATTATCTACTTTAAAATGCCAGTTATTTCTAGGAGTATTTTAAGCAACAAAATGAGGATTCAAACCCAAATGCAATCTCTATTCAAATGCATTTCACTGGGCCCTGAGAAATGACAGAAACTTATCCCAAAATGAGTGAGGAAGAGAGGGCCACAGGGAAACACCCATAAAAAAGTAGAAGAGGGAATATCACAGTGGAAAAACCGCAAAACCTTGGATTTATAAATAATAAGATCTTGAATCTACTTGCTTAAAAGGACCTAAGATACTCTAACTTGTAGGATGCTAACATTATGGATCCTTCCGGCTGGAAATATACAAAATTTGGCATCTTTATGGATGTCAAGGGGCAGCTAATGAGTATTTCTTCTTGTAAGATAAGGAGAAGCAGTAGAGAAAGGAAATTCTTTCTGGGATGAAAATCAGAGTCAGGATTTCCTAAAGAGAAGAAGAAAATACTTACAGTGAAGCCTAAGAATTCCCTGCCACTGCTGAGGTGTTCTTTTTCCTTCTACTTACCTCCTCTACAAGCCTGGATTATAAAGATTTTTGGTTTCTTTTGAAGTGCTGGACAGTTTTTATTGTTGAACATTTCAAAGATGTCTGATAAGTTGATTCTTTCATCCAGTACTGTTTTTATAACGCCTTTTCCTCCATGGGCCATGAGAGTAACAAGGCAGCAGCTCACATCATCTTTTCTTTTATTTATTCCATCTCGAAACTCTCGTAATTTCTCCATTAACCCCTGTGGCAAATAGCATTGCAAAACCGATTTATCCAAAGGGTGGACTTAGAACCATTTGTATTATCTACAGTAATTCTCAGAATTCCCTCATTTTAGAGGCAGCGAGGTGACGCAGTGAATAGAGTACTGGCCTTGGAATCAGGACAACGCGAGTTCAAATCCAGCCTGAGACACATAACACTCACTAACTGCGTGACTCTGGGCAAGTCACTTAACTCCAAATGCCTCACCAAAAAAAAAAAGAGGAAATCCCCCATTTTACCCAGGTTGTGACATTAATTGCTTAGCTTCTAACATGAAATATTGACTGTTAAAAGGAAGTGAAGGTCTAAGATGGCATCATCATCATCACCTTTGTAGACAGTTTTGAAAAGAAACCTGGTCCTCAGGAAGACAGAAAGTTTAAGAAGGAAAAGTAAAACACTTCATTTTTATTACAACTGTGGGACTCTGGGATCATTTTATATGATTACATAGGGCACCTCATGCAAATTTCATCTTGAATCTTCAAGTTACATGTGAGAAACCCAATCTCCAAATTCTGTAGACAAAGATAAAATTGAATGAATGAATGAATGGACTAAAATCCAATACTAATCATTGTTGGGAGAGTGGGACCAGTGATGGCCCCCAGGGCAAGGGCACTGACATCCCTGGGCTGTTTTTCCCAGTCGGGAAGGGTATCAGCCAGGGTCATGGGCAACAAGACAGAGACGACAGGAGGGGGACGCTGTAGGGGCCCGTCCACCTGGCCATAGATCTCAAATTTGTTTTCATTTAATAGTATTTGGTTTCAATTACGTGCAATGATAGGTTTGAACATTCACTTATGAGACTTTGAGTTCCAGTTTTTTGTTCCTTCCTGGACTCCTCCCGAATTGGTAGGCAATCTGATATAGCTTATACATGTGTAATCATATTAAACATATCTGCATACTGGTCATGTTGTGGAAGAAGAATAAGAACAAAAGGGGAAAAGCACGAGAAAGAAAACACAGAAAAAAGAAAATAGTATGCTTTCATCTGCATTCAAACTCCACAGGTTTTCTGTGCATGTGGATAGCATTTTCCAAAATAAGCCTTTTAGAATTGTTGTAGATTCCTGCATTGCTGACAAGAGCTAAGTCTATCATAGTTGATCATCTCATAACATGGCTGCTACTGTGTACAATATTCTCCTGTTTCTGCTCCCTTCACTCAGCATCGGTTCTTGTAAGTCTTTCCAGGTGTTCTTGAAATCAGCCTGCTCATCATTTCTGTTTTTTTCGTGGTTTCTTTGCTTTTGGCTTGGTGATGGGGTTAAGTGACTTGTCCAGGGTCACACAGCTAGTAAGTGTCAAGTGTCAGAGGCTGGATTTGAACTGAAGTTCCTGACTCCAGGGCTGGTGCTCTATCCACTAGGCCACCTAGTGGCCCCCTGGCTCATCATTTCTGATAGCACAACAGTATTCCACTACATAAATAACACAACTTGTTCAGCCATTTCCCCAACTGATGGGCATCCCCTCAGTTTCCAATTCTTCACCACCACAAAAAGAGCTGCTATAAATATTTGTCTACATGTCATTTCCATTTTTTTATGAGCTCTTTGGAATACAGACCTAGTAGTGGCATTGCTGGATCAATGAGTATGCACAGTTTTGCAGCCTTTTATAATTCCAAATTGCTCTCCAGAATGGTTGGATCGGTTCACAACTCCACCAACAAAGCATAAGAGTTCTAATTTTCCCACATCTTCTCCAACATTTATCATTTTCCTTTTCCGTCATATTATCCAATCTGATATATGGGAGATGTAACTCACAATTTTTTAATTTGCATTTCTCTAATCAATAGTGATTTAGAGCATTTTTTATAGGAGTACAGATAGCTTCAATTTCTTTATCTGAAAACTGCCTGTTCATCTTCCTTGACCATTTGTGAATTGGGCAATGACTTGTACTGAATCTCAAATCCTACTCAGCTCTGGAATCAAAGCAACTAATGGAGCAATTCTTGAAACATAAAAAGGCTTTCCTTTACAGGAGAAGAATTCATTAATTCCCTGACACTTGTCCCTTGAGAGAAGTACCAAGATTCTTTTATCAGGGTTTAGAAAGGAAGAAGACCTTGCTGCTCAGATTGTATTCATGATGACCTCATGAAAGAAAGCAGGCTATAAAAGTCAGTTACCAATGCTGTTGTCTCAACGTTACCTTTTCATCAGGATTGATGCAAGATGTACATTCAAACTTGCACGCTTTAAGCCAGTTTCTCATTCTCTTCATATCCTGCTCAGCCCCTGGTCTGCCTGTCTTCACACACATCACAAAAGCCTTACGAGTTTGTTCCATGTTATAGCGTTCCTGTTTGTAAGTAAAATTAATAAGCACAATGTATTCCCATGTATCAGAAAATATAACACCCTAGACATATTGGCCCATATGCTGCCTGCGAACCTCCTGGGGTCCGGGATGGGGTTTATCTGAGAGCTCAAAGCTGACCATCTCTCTTTGGGGGAGGGGTGTGTGTGCATGTGTGTATAAATAGATTTCTTTCATCTATAAGTTCCTGACAATCTCCATTTCAGAGTAGTTCTAACAATACAAATCACTCCTTCTGAAATACTTAGAACCAGCAAAGTAGGGCTATTGTAACAAAACTGGCAGCATGGTGTCACTACCACATACAAAACACCACCAGTTAAAATCATACCACTCTGAGGTAAGGCAGGGCTTGGGTTTGAGTTTATCTGGGGAACAGGTAGCCCTGTGAGGGAACAGGAATGAGAGCAGCATGGATTCCCCAGGGGCTGGAGCCTTCTCATCCTTTCTACAAGTCAGGAACTTCAACAGATTTTAGTGGATTAGACATACACTACAAAGTCCCCCAAATCTCCCCAACCCAGAGCTATGGCCCCAAGAATTCCAATGAGAACATGACACTTAAGTCCCTGGACAGGCGTGGCCCTATTCTTTCCTGCTCCCAGGAGTTAGTCCAGAGGCTCCCACCACCAAAAGGAAGAGATGCAGAAACAGCTGGAGGGGCACAAGACAGCAACCTGGCTTTCCTTGACATTTTAGCTTTGGGAGCTGAGTGGGGAGCAGGAGAGACCCTTCCTCCCAGAAAGCATCAGCAAGCCCCTCAGCCTTGCTAAGAGGACAAATATGGCCCAACTGGTTAGGTCTTAGGGGCTGGGTGTTGGTTGCCCTACCATAAAGTAGCTGGTTTAGCACCACCTCTTGGATTCTTGGGGGCAGGGAGCCATTTTACTGCCTCTAAGATGATCTGTGTGACTGACACTGAGGAAGACACACTCTTTAGAGATACCATGCCTCAGTTCCAGTCTCTTCCATTTCTTTCCCTAAGTTTTCCCTCAGCCTCTTTCTGGAATGCAGCAGGGATTTCCCAATCCTTCCCCGTTCCTAGGAGCTCTGGTGGGATGTGGGTGCCTTGCTTCCACATGGGGGAGATAACAAAGTAGTAATGAGGGGACAAAGAAGGTAAAGGTAGAAATGAGGGTGGTTCTAGGAAAACAGAAAGACAACAGGATTTGGATTCAACAGAACTGGGTTTAGCTCTGGGGTCTAGCACTTCCTAACTGCGTCCTTGATCAAATCAGGTAACTTCTCAACCTGTTTTCTCAGCTATAAAAGGGGTACAGGACTGTTGACATCTAATACTTATATAGCATTGTAAGATTTGCACAGTACTTAAAGAGGCTCTTATTTGATCATTGCAAAAACTCAGAAAGGTAGGTGTTATTATCATCATTTTACACATGAAAGGCCTGAGGCATAGACAGATTTGAATGCCCAAGGGTCATGTAGCTAGCAAGTGTTGAGAATGGATTTGAACTCTGGTCTTCCTTGGGTCTTCAGGTCCAGCATTCTGTCCTAGGCACCACCTAGCTGCCTGCAGGAGGAATGGGAATACTAACTGTTCTTCTCTTCCCAGTTTAAGTAGCTAATGAGATAAATGGATTGAACAAGCATTTATTAAGTCCTTACTCTACATTAGGCACTGTGCTGACACTGTACATACAAAGACCAAAACATCACAGTCTTTGCCACCCATGGAGTTTACGTTATACTGGGACAGCTCCAACCACTGGGGTGAAGGGGGTGGCCTTAGGTACAAGGTGGCAGCTAAGCTGAGTTTTGAATGAAATCCAGGGATTCCTTGAGGTGCAGGTGAAGAGAGAGAGTACTCCAGGAATGGGAGACAGTCTGGTGGAATTCTGCTGATTCTGTAGAACATCTAGCAGCGGAATTGACTTAACTAGAGAATGTATGAAGGGGTGGGACATGAAATCAGTTTGAAGAGTTAGATCGGAGGCAGATTTCAAACGGCTCCAAATGCCAAACAGGGAAGTCTATGTTATCTCAAAGGGAATAAACAGATAGTGGAGTTTTTTTGAACAAGGGAGTGAAACAACATACAAATCTCCCTTTTTACACCTACAGGAAGGAGCCAGTTGCCTGAATGAGAAGCCATGTGGTCGTTAGTTACATTATCAAGGCTTAGATAAAAAGTTACCATTTTAGGGCCATCATTTTCATACTGTCTCTTCAAAGTCATTGTCAAAACGCTCAGTATTTTCAGGGAAAATGGACCACCAAAAAAGAACAAAGAATAGGGTTATTTATTTATTGCTTTCCCACAACTTCTTTCTCTATCTCTCACCCATTTCCTTAACTCCATTCCCTCCAACGTCCTCCTACAATCATTAATCCTCCTCTGTCCTCTAACCTCTTCCTATCTGTGGGTTCCTTCCCTATAGCCTATAAATAGGCCCCACCTTCCACAGATCTCCACCTTCCCTGCTAGCTATTGTGCTCTCATTCTCTCTCTCTCTCTCTCTCTCTCTCTCTCTCTCTCTCTCTCTTCCTTTTTTTTTCAGCCACACAGTTGTCTTCAATCATCCTCTCTACTTTCTCTCCTCTCTCACTAACTCTTCAACCCCTTGTAATCTGGCTTTGGGCCTCATCATTCAACAAAAACTGCTCTCTACAGATTTACCAGTGACCTCTTCATTGCTAAATAGGATGGCATTTTCTTAATCCTCACCTTTTTTACCTCTCTGCAATATCTGATGCTGATAATTGCGAGGAATCCATCCACACCAACACAGTATGTCCAACACGATGTTTTGTAATACTAGAGAAAAGGAAAAAGTATTTATATAGTGCCTACTGTATGCTAGGCACTTTTTACAAATATTACTCCTCAATCCTCTCAAAAAACGCGGCAAGGGAGCTGCTATTTTATCCCCATCTTTCAGTTGACAAAGTTGAGGTAAACAGGTTAAATAACTTCCCCAGGGTCACACAACTAGTAAGTGTCTCAAGCTGGATTTGAACTCCAGGCTCAGGGCTCTATCTACTGTGTCACTAGCTGCCTGTCTTGGTTCTCCTCTCTCTGGCTGCTCTTTCTCAGCATCATTTGCTTCACCATCATCCATATTCATGTTTCCTTAAAGTTGGGATACCCCAAGGCTCTGTTCTGGAGGAGCTTCTCTGCTCTCCCTCTGCAATTGATAGATCAGCCGAGCTACTATTCTCTTATTTGGTAACTTCATTAGCCTCTATGGATTTAATCATGGGACTGGTGCAGATGACTCCCAGACCTACTTATATGGCCCTGGCCTCTCTCCTCACCTCCAGTCCCATATCATCAATTGCTTCTGAACTGGACATACCACAGACATCTCCTAAGAGGCTACTATGTGCCAGGCATGGGGTAAGCTCTGAGGATACAAAGAAAGGTAAAAGACAATCCCTGCCTTCAAGGAGCTCACATCTAATACAGGAGGCAACATGCAAACAGCTGGGAACAAATCAGGCTACATTAAAGCTCTGATCAAAGAGAAAGCACTAGGATTAAGGGGGATAGGCAGGGGCTTCTTGTAGAAGAGGAGACTTGAGCTGACACTTAAAGGAAGCCAGGAGGTAGAGATGAGGAGGGAGAACTGGAGGTTGGAAACACAATCCAGCTGGGCTCACCCATAACTGTCTGTGCTGCCATGACACATACTGTTTATGGTTCCCAAGATGGGAAATGTTTCTTGTTACAGAGTCTACAGGGATCACCCCCTCCCTAGGAAAGTGGGGGGGGGGGAATTAAAGGCATAAATCAGGAGGGAAAAGGGAAAACAAGGTTCCTGTCAAAAGGTTTTCTACTCCTCTGTAGTCCTAGTTTGATTTAGCGTTAAAGCTCTGAGCCTAATATTCACTTGACTCTTTTCTCATATGCCCACCAGGCACTTAGCCTACAGCAGCTAAAAAGCTCTCTACTACAATCCTAACCTGAGTAAGAATCTCCTTCTACAATATCCCTCATAGGAGGCTAGTCTCCCACTGAAGATGCTGCCCCCACACACACACATACTGCCCCCCCAGTGAGGGGAAGCCTCATTGAGGACATTCATGACACTTCTGGACAGCTCTAATTGCTAGGAAATTTCCCCTTACATCAAGCCTAACTTTTCTTTTTGGGACTCCCACCTGATAGTCTTCTTTGCCCCCCAGGACCAAGCAGAATAAGGATTGGCTCCTCTCCCACAAGTATTCTGATGAAGTTGAGTTTACTAAGTCTACTTATACTGCTGCATCTCCAACCTAAGAAAGTCAGCTGTGGAAAGGGCATGTTTGGAATTAAAAGATCTGAATTCAAGTGGCATGCTGGGAAATATGAACCAGCTTGGGGAGGTGGTATAGAGTGGGTGGGATGATTATACCCTGCACTCCTATATAACTTCTATATAATCAGAATTACTAATATGTTCTCCATCACTTTCTTAACTCTAGACAACCAACAAACCATAAATGAAGCCCCATTTGAAGTGTAAATATTTGTACTGACAATGTAACAAATCCCCACCAAGGGAGCAGGTTCTGCTACTTAGCATTATTGACCCTGGGCTAGTGACTTGAACCCTGAGATGCTCAGGGGTCAAATGGAAATGACAATATTTGTATCATCGGGGTTGCTGTGAGAAAAGCCCTTTGTAAATGAGGAAGTGCTTTGAACACGACAGCTGCTGAATGAGGGCACAAAGCTCCTCTGACTTCTTTCATCAAGCTGGGACTCCAGGATCCCACAGTCCTGAGGGCTAATGACAGGTCCCTGAAACAGTCTCCCTTAGACCCTGCAACCCTGACTGACCTTGCTCAGACAGCTCAGCAGCATGTCCTCAAACAAAATGTTTCTGCCCAGACCTGTTGATAACTCCAAAAGGGAAACCCCTTCAAAAACAGAGTCCACCAACACTAATCTGAGTTTTGAGACACAATCCTCTTCCACAATCTGGCCCTTTCCAGCTCCATCTCCTGGCTCTGGGGTTGGACCCTGCATCACACACTCATTGGGCCATTCTCTGCAAACCCTGCTACACTCTACCACCTCCATGCTTTTGTTCATGCTGTTACCTAAACCTGAGACATCTTCCCACCTGCTCCTCTTCTACTCGGTTTCTATCTTTTGAAGCCCAACCCAAATGCTTACCCAACTGGTGGCATGGTACATTGTCTAGACTATTGGACTTGGAGTCAGGACAAACTCACTTCAATCCCACCAGTAGAAGTTATTAGCTGGATGATCACAAGTCCCTTCCCCTGAGACTCAGTTTCTTCCCATATAAAATGAAGACAATAACCCCTTTAGCACGTCCTACTCTACTACAGCCATTCTAGCCTGCTTGGCCTTTATATGTGATTCCATCTCCTCTCTGGGTCTTTGCACAGGCTTTCTCCCCAGGCCTATGGAGCCCTTCTGCTTAATAGAATCCCTGCCTTGCTTAGCTGACCAAAGTGAATTTCATTTATTGCTCTGTAAGTGAGGGAGGAGGGGAAAATCCCCTGAATAACACCACCCCTTCCTATCCTGATCCCCAGTTGCTACTGTCACCTCAGAAATGACTTTGCATATATTTTTATTTAATTTTCTCTGTATGTGTTGTTTTCCCTAGAATGTAAGCCCCTTGAAGGCAAGAGCTAAATTGGTTTTAGCTTTGTATCCCCAGCACCTAGCACACAGTAAGTGCATACTGAATAAATGAAGCAAGCTGGCAGGGACCACTTATTTTGTCTAAGTCCTTCCTTGTGGTCAGCAAGCAGGAAGCCCCTTTTATGTGCCAAGCACTGTGCCGAGCACCAAATAGATAAAGGAAGGCAAAAATGGAGTCCCTGCCTGTCCTCAACAAGCTCCCATTCTAATAGAGCGGACAACATAAAAACAACTATATGCAGTCCTGGAATCCATATTATAGGCCAACCACACACTTCATCATATTGGATGGATTGTTGGCCATCTTTCACTCCAATGATCTCAAAACATTAGAGACAAACTCCAAGGATCAGATAGATTATAACATCCTTCAGGTATCTAGCACCCTACCTACCATGTAGCTGAATAAAAGGAATCTCGCTAAATACCTGTTGGTTTGGAATGAAAAGGGGATGTGGGAGATGTCCCCCGAATAACCATTTATGGAGTTATCAGAATGAATCTTCAGTCTATTGATGATTTTGGTCTCAGCACTTCGGAGGCCTGGTACTCTAAAAAGGCTCTGCTTTAGAAGTCAGAAGACCTCAGATCTGGTCCTACCTCCCCAGGTGACCTTGGACAAGTCAAGTAACTTCTATAAGTATCAATTTCCTCATCTGGATTCCTGTTTATCTCCTGGTTGGTTGAAGTCCTCATCTTTTCAACCAAAGGTCCAAATGCCCATCTAGGCCCGTGATCTTTTTTAAACTCTCTCCACCTTTTCTTTGTGGGTGACAGCTGGGAGTGAAGTAGCAAGGAGATGTGGGACCAGTACAACTCTGGGTTCCAACACAGCGTGTGACTCTCACTAGCTGTGCACAGTCAGCTGGCTGGCATAGGAGCTGGGCGACCACAAATAGGAAAGTCTTTCACCTCTAAGCCTTGGTTCGCTCCTCTGTTAAAAAAAAAAATGGAGCAAAGAATACCTGGAGCAGTAGCTTAGCTTACCAGGGGTCTAGTGGGACTGGCAATTGAGATGATTTGAAGAGCTTAAACACTGTCAAATTTGCTTGATTATTCTTATGGGCCTGTGGGGTGGAGTAGGAAGTAGTGCAGTGGAAGCCTGAAGGGTGGGACCCTCCTCCCCAGGAGGGTCCGCGCAGTCCCACCTTACCCCACTCTTCTAGCACGTTCTTACCACCACCTTCTTGCAGGGACCTCAGCAAGTAGAGCTGAGACTCAAGACGCGCATCTATGTCATTGCCTATCTTCATGAGCACGGAGGCTGTGCTCGCCACAAGCTCCAAGTCTCCGGGCTCCTCCGCGCAGGCCTTCAGGGAAAAACTTCAGCCGTTCGAGCTCGATCGGGGTCACCTTGTCCTGTTTGTTCACCACCCTGTTCTTGAGGATCTCCATGGTCAGGAAGGGACCGCCGTGTCCGCGGGCTAGGGCCGGAAGACGGGAAGTGGGCGCAGCGCAGAACTAGCGGGACGCGGCAGCGAAAGTGAAACGAGTCTTCCGGGAACTTCCTGGACCTACGCATTAGCCAAAGACCTGGGGGTGGTCCTCCAGGGGCGGGGAAGAGGAGCAGGCCAGCAGGGACCCCGCCTCTGGGTGGGAATGGAGCGCAATGAATCCTTTCTCTTCTCCCTCTGCTTTCCTCTGAGGGGCTATCCTTCCGTCACTGCGCCCATGCTTCTGCCGCGCCTCTCTCTCCATCTCCCTCTCTCTTTGTCTTCGTCTCTCCATCTCTGTCTCTGTCTCTGTCTCTGTCTCCCGTCGTGTTTCTCCCCCCTTTCTCCTCTTTTCTCCTCACCCTTTCTTTCCTCTTTCCCCCTTCTGTCTTACTCTCCTCTCCTCTCTCTCCTTCATCCTCCTATCCCTTTTCTTTCTCTCCCTCCTCTCTCTCCCCCTCCACTCTCCTCTTCTACCCTCTGTCTCTCCTTCTAAAGTCCAGTATTTCTAACCCTTTATTGCACTGAAGGTTTGAGACAAAGCTGCAGAACGAATCCTTGGCATTCATCTGGCCATTCAGTGATTCCCTGATGCCTCAGATTATCCCAATTTCACCCACTCTTCAAATTCTAACTCAGCCGGCTTCTGCTCACTTGCCCTGATTTTTCTCAGCTTGCTTTACCCATATGGTCACAGAGCATTTCGAAAAATAAATTACTACTGACATCTTCAGCTTCTTACATCATCACAGTTGTCCCAAGTACCCAACTCCCTGAAACACCACCCATTTAAAAAAAATATTTATTTTTAGTTTACAATATTCACTTCCATAAGATTTTGGGTTTTAAATTTTCTCCCCCTCCCTCTCCTCCCTCTTCGGCAAGATGGTGGGTAATCTGATACAGGCTCTACTTACACATTCATATTAAGCATATTTTCACATTAGTCATGATGTACAGAAGAATTAAAACTAATGGAAGGAACCTCGAGAAAGAAGAAATAAAACAAAACGACAAAAGAAAAGGAGTGCAAATACTAAGCTTCCATCTGCATTCAGACTCCATGGTACTTTTTCTGCATGTGGATAGCATTTTCCATCATGAGTCTTTTGGAGTTGTCTTACATCCTTGCATTGCTGAGAAGAGCTAAGCCTATCAAAGTCAGTCATCTCACAAGGTGGCTGTTACTGTGTACAACATTCTCCTGGTTCTGCTCATTTCACTCAGCATAAGTTCATATAAATCTTTCCAAGATTTTCTGAAGTCCCACCCGCTCATAATTCCATATAGGGCAATAGTATTCCATTACATTCATATACCATCACTTGTTCAGCCATTCCTCAACTTCTGGGCATCCCCTCAATTTCCAATTCTTTGCCACCACAAAAGAGCTCCTATAAATATGTTTGTACATGTGGGTCTTTCCCCCCTTTGTATGCTCTCTTTAGGACACAGATGTAGAAGTGGCATTGCTGGGTCCCCATCTTTTTAATCGAAAAAAATTATATTTTGGAAGAACTCACAGCACAAGTTGACAAAAGTCTAAAATCAAATTGCAGAATCTGGCAGACAAAATGAACAAATATCATGAAGTGAGGCATAAAACTGGGAATTGGAGCTCACCAGTGTCATCAAGGGATGCTCTGTGCAAAGGAGATCCGAAGTTATGAGATGACCTCTCAGGTCCCTTACCCTCTGAGATGATCACTTGCAGGAATTTGGAGAGAACCCTGGGTTTGAATTCTCAGTTGAAAGAAATACCTGAAGGGACAGCTAGGTGGTGCAGTGGTTACAGCACCAGCCCTCCAATCAGGAGGATCTGAGATCACATTCCTGAGTTCAAGTCCTAGTAGCTGTGTGACTCTGGGCAAGTCACTTAACCCCATTGCATCAAACAAACAAACAAACAAAAAAACCCCTCTGTGATCCAGGGCAAGTCATTTGATATGTTTGGGATTCATCTGCAAAATGAGTAAAATTGTGAGGTTAGGACTATCCCTAATAACCATCTCATGGCTCCTAGAACAAAGTCTAAACTCCCCAACCTGGCTTCAAAGGCCTTCTATAATACGGGTCCTCCCTACCTGTTCAACCTCATCTTTCATTAGTCTGAGTCAGATCCTTTTTCTGTGGACAGTTAGCAAATGATTGCCTGTTGTTCCTGCCTGCACCATTCAATGAGGTCCCCACCTAGGTTCTTGACTTTCTATTCTAGTGGGATATAGTCTGTGGAAGGTTCTACCCACTCAGAAAGGCCCTAAGTATGGGCAGGGAGATGGGGCTGTAAGACGCCAGGTGATGGACTTTCTGGCCACAATATCTCTCAAAAACCTTTCAAGGGGGCTGTGATCTGTGAGAGAAGAGGGATTATATGTAAAGTGGGAGGGAATTACAGACCCCTGAAATGAAGGCTTGCAGAATACTTTTTTCACTATAACCCTCTGATACCAGTAGTGGGGGGCTTATTATCCAGTTTTTGTAACCTCCTTGAGGGAGGCAGAGGAGCACTTGGAAAAGACCTTCAGCTCTGGAATCAGAGTACCCGTGTTTAAATCACACCTATGTCATATACTACCTTTGAGGCCTCAGTTTCCCCATCTGTAAAATGAGCAAGCCTTCCAACACTAGATCTGTGATCCCCAAAATAGTAGTCTACTCCAGATTTCCTGACTGCATATCCACTGCTCTTTCCTTTTGTTACAAACGGGCCCTCCTGTCCCTTAGAGCAGTTGGGAGAGCAAAACCAGATGTTTAAGAAAACCTCTTTGCATAACACCAAGTTCAAATTGGTCAAACTCAGCCCTTCCTCCTGACTTCATGTCCATCACTGTTTGCTACACCATATGGCATGACACTTTTTAAAGGAAGGACAGAATGGATTTGAGAACTGTTTAAGAAATGAAAGACATCAGCTTTTGAGTCAGGAGGATCTGAGTTCAAATTCCACCTCAGATACTTGACACTTACTAGCTGTGTGACCCTGGGCAAGTCACTTAACCACTAATGCCTCCCCCTTAAAAAAAAAAAGTAAAGAAATGAAAGACAGGAGTTAGTGACTTCAAATGAGACAGGAAATACAGAGAAGCCAAGGATGGCTGAGGATGTGAGTCTAGGTGACAAGAAGGTAGAAATAGGCAGAGTGAAACAAATTTCTTTCCAGCAAGGTTAGTTTGAGGCAGTGAGGGGGCCCAAGGCAGACAGCTCTAGGCTTGGAGTGAGAAAAACCTGAATGATCTCAGCTCTTGACGACTCTTCAAAAGGATCAATCTTGCACTGCTTACCTAAGAGATTTTCTTGAGGGTCACATGAGATAATGGAAGCCTTTTTTAAGCTGGGTTGCCTTAGGTGATGAACTCCTTGAAACTTAGGGTGTATTCATGTCCAGAGGTGAATCTTCTGGGATGGAGAGGATTATGGCACACATACTGAGGGCAGCCTGTGCAAGCATCCTAAATCTCTAAGTAGGAAAAAAATGCTACAGATGTGGGTAAGGAATATGAGAGAGAGAAGAGAATCAATGACAGAAACAACCCACCAGCCCTTTCCTATGTGACTGAATAAGTAGATATTAAAAGACCTGTGTTATCATTATTATAATGAGGATGTGTCATCTCCAAACATCCACAACCTGTCCGGGAATTTATTTATCAGGAACTTTACTCCTGTTTCATCTACCTAACGAAGCCTATTTCATACAAAGGCCTGGCATTGATGATAGCAGCCAAGGGAGAAGGTTCTGCTGTCAGAAGCTCCTTATGAGCCAGCACTGTGTTGAGCAGTCAAGGAAGGTAACTAACACAGTGCCCTAGGAGAGGCAGAGCTTAGAGGGATAATTTGAGATTCCCATTAACTCCTCTTGGTCAGGCTGCTCTGGAGTATCATGGTCAGCTCTGGGAGGCACATTTCAGAAAGGAAATTGATAAACTGGAGGGTGCAGGAAGGCAATGAGGATGGTGAAGGGAGTTTCAATTTCAGGCCATAGGAACTTTGGGATCAGGATCGCTTGGGAAGGCATTGGGCATGGTCAGGAGAAGGCACAACTAAAAAGCTGTCAAGGGGCCAGGCGATTCCTATGTTTAGGGTTGGCCCCTGGGGGAAGAATTAGGTGCAAAGGGTGCAATTGCAAAAAGGGAATTTGAGACTTCACAGAAGTCTATTTTCTGGCTTTTCACATTGAGCTCTGCTCCTGGAGCACAGCGGGCACTATCCCAAGCTTCTAGTGCTGGGAACCTGGGGCCTGGTCCCTGGCTTTGTGCTCTGGGGCCTCAGGTGCAGGTGGTTTGCTTGCTGCACTGGGTTGTAGGCTGGGTTCTGGGGCTGCAGGCCTGACAGCTGGCCTGCTGTGCCACTGGCCTGCTGAGCCAGGAACAAGGGGCCTTGCTTGCTGATCTCTGCTGTGGCTCAGAGCCTCCTGCTGGCTCCCAGACACTGGCTGTGCTGGGCTGCACTTCCCTTTTACCCAGGTGAGACAGAGCTTTCCTGATATCCTTCTAAATTAGCTTCAGCTGAAAAACTGTTTCACTCCATCCTTTTGTGGGTTCTGTCCCTCCAGAATCCGTTTTGGGGTTTGATTTAACATTGTTTCCTAGGGAAACTGGGAAGAGCTCCAGCAGCTTCCTGACTTCTCTTCACCATCTCAGCTCCATGCCTGATATCTACTTTTCTACATAAATGCTGTATTTCCTTAGTAGAATGTAAGCTCCCAGAGGGGAAGAATTATTTTGTTCTGTTTTTCTATCTGCTGAGTTGTATGCTTAACAAATTATTACTAAATTGGTCTTAAAACTATAATAGACAATTGGGTCTATTACAGATGCACAACTTCTATTTCCAAATCCAGCTTGTCACAGGCTAATGGCCAAGTCTGATTTTTTTCAGTATCTACGTGTTCCATGAAAATCGTGGTTAGGTTTTATTCCCTCAAGACTGAGTCTGAAGTATGGAAGAAGTGAAGAGCTGACATTTTCTGCCTACCCGTCAGGTACAGTCCCTTGATACAAAGTCAAGTCTGCTTTCTAGAGCAGACATCCTGGGGCCTAAGTACTTTAAACACATTTTTTTTTTGATAACTGTATTTTGGTAGAATTGGTTTCCTTTGTAATCCTACATGTTTTATTTCATGCATTGAATAAACATGATTCTGAGGAGAAGCCCATGGGTCTCAGCAGCCTACCTAAGAGATCTGTGACACCAATAAAGGTGAAGTCACTGGGTCCCAACCCAATAGATCTCTCCCAAGCCACCCTTCCCCCAACTCTTTCACTATTTCTTTCCCTTATCTTTTTGGCCACAGGACTCCACAAGCTACCTCTGGAATGACCTGAACCCTTCTGAACCGTGTTCCTGTTTCTTGACAGAATCTCTGAATTCCTTCCTAATTTCCCCCACACTCTAGCCATGTCTTGTCCTGCTTTACAACTGGCCTTCTTCTTTCCTGGGGCTAATCAATCCATTTTTGAACACTGTCACTAAACCTCTGACTCAGTATAAAATTAACATCCCCAAAATTCACATTCCAGATAATAGTGCAGCAGGGTAGATGTGCACAGCAAATGAGTATAATAACATTACATTCCCTCCCTGGGAAGAGAGGTTGTGGGGAGGGGGAAGTGTTACATGCTGAGGGTGTGCAGAGGCCATCAGATACTGGGACAGTCTCCAACGGCAGCCAAGGGCTGGGGGAGATGACAGTGATGGCTAATCTTGGACCAGTGCTGGGAGGAGGGAGAGAGATGTTAAATTTGTCAACCAGAGTTCTTCTGAGACTCAAGTGCTGCTCAACTGAAAAGAATTTAAAAAGGCTCCAGGTAGGAGCAAAGGGCTAGGGAGAAGGCAGAAGAGATTAAGAACAAGCAGGCTCCCTACCCACAGCTCCACACTCCCTCTCCTCTGCTAAATGTGTCTGATGATCCTTGAACTACCACCTCCCCATGCTGTTTCAAGAGTCATGTTGTAAGAGAGATCATAGAAAGCCTGCTCCAGAATCACAAAGCCCCACGTAAATGTTGTTACCTCTATTAAAACTATTATAAGTTATTAAAATATTATTATTCTTAAATCTATTGTTATTATTTAGATTGTAAAGTTTTCCAGAAGAATGTGAGCAACATAGGGAAAGCTAGGTGGCACAGTTGATACAGCACTGGCCTTGGAGTCAGGAAGACCTGAGTTCAAATCCAGCCTCAGACACTTCCTAGCTGTGAGACATTGGACAAGTCACTTAACCCCGACAGCCTCACCAAAAAAGCATAAAACAAAAAAGAATGTGAGCAAATGGAGGGTAGGCCCTGCTTTGCCTCTGTATCCCCAGTGCATGGCATGAAGGAGAGGCACATACCAAGTACGGTTGATTCCATACCTCATATCAAGCACTGAAGGTAAGCATGGGATAGGGAAGTTTATGGAAATTCAGCTAAGTCCTACCATGCTGGCTACTCATGTACCCAGGAATTGACCATATAACTTCTGCCTGAGAAGCAGCCTAGCCAGCTTTGGAGAGGCTCCTCCCTCAAGGATTTCCAGTCACAGTAACTCATGAAGCTGTCCAGCAAAGGAGGGATGGAGATCTGCATTGGTGGAAGAAGCCGCCACATTAACAAAATCACAGCTCCAGAAGAGCTGCCTGAAACCATGAAGGGAGATTTGAGAGCTGACTGCCATCATCATCATCATCTTCATCATCGTGTCCTTTCCTACCTCCATATCCAACTGGTCACTAAATCCTCTCAATCTCATATTGCTTCCTTCCTTTCTGGTACAGTCTCCCCAATCACTACCACTATAGAATAGTCCTGGTTAGAATTTCTGCATAATATTTTAACTCTCAGAACGTGTCTTTCTCCATTTGCCCGGATGCTCAATAACTCTGTGGCCCTGGAGAGCCTCATCACATTGGTTAGCGAATTTTCTCATTCCTAAAATCCAGATATGGTAATAGCACCTAACTCACATGCTGGCTGTAATGATTAAATGAGCTACTGTATCAAAAAGGCTTTGCAAACCATTGCAAAAGCTACGATTTACATAGTTTTTACTATGTGCCAGGCACTGTGCTAAGCTCTTTACAAACATCATCTCATTTGAGCCTTCCATCAACCCTGGAAGGTAGGTGCCACTAGTATACCCATTTTACAGATGAGGAAACTGAGGCAAACACAGGTTGAAGTGACTTCCCCATGATCACACAACTAGGAAGTATCTGAGGGTAGATGGGAACTCAGATCTTTTTGACTCCAGGCCTGGTGCTCTATCCACTGCTACGCCTCAATGTCCAACAAAGTGCCATATCAATGTTACCTATTAGGCTTTCTCACCCCCTCATTAGTGCTCTTCCTCTAAGATTACATTCCATTTACCTTCTCCTCTAGTCTATCCCTCTCTCTCTTTCCCTCCCTTTCTCTCCTTTTCCTTTCTCCCTCTCTCCTTCACTCCTCCCCTCCCTCCCCTTCATTCTGTCTCCTTATCCTCCATTACCCACATATGTGTGGGTCTACACACACACACACACACACACACACACACACACACACACACAGCAGGGTATCCAAAAAGTATTGGGGAAGTTTTAAGGTTCCATACCTGCAATTCCCTGTGTGGATATATATGCATGTGTTTCAAAATATGTGTGTATGTATACATATATACATATACACATATGGATATACACATACACATTACTATACAAACATAGTCATTTCCTTGTCCTTCCCATTACACTATCGGTTCCTTGACTTCAGGGACTGTCTTTGCCCTTCCCTGTAGCTCTGTGGCTGCTAGAATCTGAAATGACTGAGGGACCAAAGCTTTGTCAAAGGTAGAGGAACAGATCTCTAACCTGTGGGTGGCTGGAGCCAAATGAAGCAGGTAGAGACAGAAGAGTCAGGAATCAAACAAAAGTTTATTTTCAGAGTGAGGAAAACAGGTTTGCAAATTAATGTCCTACTGAAGAGAGCTTGTGATTTGTGGCAGGGTGAGGGTTATTAAGCATGAAACCCACAAAAAGGCAGGACCCAACACAATCATTCTTGGGGTCTTGAGTAAACAGTTCCCACAGCAGGGTCACATGTGCAGGTATCTTCAGCACAACAGAGGAGTTCTTGGGTCCTTTGGTAACAGTCTCTAACTTTGCAGGGTCTTTGAGGCTTGTGAGCATTTAGCAGGGTACAGAACCAGAGTCAGTGTGGTGGGAACAGGAGTGCAGCACCTGGTTCAGTTCACTTAGCAATGACAACTGCAGGAATTGTCCAGAGTGTCAGGATATAAGACTGACTGCTTTGTGCTGCAGTTTCTGATGAAACCTTCACAACACATTACATCCAACATACATAAGAGCCAGTATTTGATACAATGTAAAGCACAGTGCTAATGCATAAACAAATTATTCTGTACTGAAAATCTTCCACCTCCTCCACCTCTGCCTCCACCAAGTGTCAAAAGTACACAGCTTTGGTGAGAGTGGACTCCATGACCAACACCACTTTGACAGGATCCTCGTCCATGTAAAAGTCTGTGTGCACCACTCTGTTGTTCACCTACAAGACAAAAGGCCCAAATTACACAAGGAAATGAATAACATTCAATTCCACAATTAGATAGCTGAGCAGGGCTGTCTTTAGCCTCTTTTTGTATCTCCAAAGTTTAGTTAGATGTCTGGCATGTAGGAGGTGCTTAAGAAATGTTTCATGATTATTAAACAAGTGTTTATTAGGCACTCAGGGTGCTCTAAGCCACATTCTAGGTGAGGAAGAAACAAAGACCAAAAAGAAACAGTGCCTGCCCTCAAGGAGTTAACTTTCTAAGGCCAGATACAATACATACATCAATAAGCAATAAGTATATGCAAAATACAGACAAGGTAATGGGGAAGGGAGAGATTAAAGCAGAGTTCTCAGAACCCAGTAGATGAGGCAAAAACCTTTGTATAGGAAGTAACCCAGAGCTAAAATTAGTAGAAGAGCTAGAGATTCCAAGAGGCAGACGTGAGGAGAGAGTGAAATCCAGGCATTAGACAAAGACAGGGTCTGAGTCTGCAGAACCAGAGAGTAGGCCAGTTTCACTGAAATGCAGAGTTGGGGGTGGGGTGCAGACAGTAGAGGATTTTAAATGTCAAATAAAGCAATAGGGAATCATTAACACTTCTTGAGCAGGGGCCTGACATGGTGAAATCTGGGACATGTGAATGTCTGGGACAGGACAACTCTCTTGTAAAGTGCAATAGCAATGTACAGCATTATTATAACAATGATGATGAAGAAGATATCTGTAATAAACTTGACACTGATTTCTCTTCATTCAGCCCAAAGAGCATGGGGGCTGTGAGTTGTTCCTACTTCCAGGCTGATCCATTCTCATTACTGGACCATAACTTAGAACTGATGGGATAGAGAGGGATGAGAGAGAGAAACAGAGAAAATGACTATTTAAATGAACACCTCAGCCCCTTGTTTGCTAACAACACTGATAGCAGCACAATCCTGCCCTAAGAGCTTACAATCTACTGAGGAAGGGCAACAACCATGAGAGAAGAGTTCAAAGAAAGAAGGAAGACATCATCTCAGGAGGAGAAAGACTGCAGGTAAGAGTGCAGGCACCCGGCCTACATGCACACACACATGCACAAATGCTGCCCAGGGAATTCCAGGCAATGTGCTGACAGGAAGAAATAGATGCTTGTTAACTAGTGGAGGAAAAATAGCAGAACATGGAGCATGAATCCATTTATTGATAACTCACTTGAGTAAAAAAATCCACAATATGCAACTTCTTGCCATGTTTCTGAAAGACTTCATCCATTGCTTGAATCATCACAGAACCATCTTCTGGGTGGCGTAAAGCAATGTGACCTACCAGTGGAGAAATGAGAATATTGTTTAAATTTTTGACTAAAGTGTTCTAAAAACGCACACACACACATGTGGAATCTAGAAAAACACTTACTAAGCAAGATATCCCTTTATTCGGTGCAACAGTAGGACATGTCTACATTTTGATTAAGCTGTCCAGTATTTACACTTGTGCTACTTCCCAAATCTGTTCCTTGGGCCCTTAACTCTACCAGTACACTAACTAGGCAGTCTAAATGCACAGCCCATAAAGAATCCATGGCAGATGAGGTCAGTAACTAATTTACAGTGGGCCATGAACCAGGAAAAGCCTCTGTCTGCCCAGCAAACTCATATGAAGGACACGAGATATTATCTGAAGCCAAGGCTATGTTTTCCCAGTGATGCTTTACTCAAGAACCTACAACTTTCAGTCTCCAATACACCGTGTAAAGTAGCTGGCAGTCCCTAGAGCATTCTGCTCATAATCAGAAGGGAATCCATACCCAAAGAACGTTCCATACAACATTCTCAAGGATATGGTCAGTTTCCTTTGACCTAAAGACTTTAAGTAAGGGAACACTTACCATCTATCAAGATGCCAATTACACTTTGGACAGCTATAATTATTTGTTGGGCTTTACTGACAGGAAGCCCAAATATGCCTCTCTGCACTTTATACCTTATTCTATTGGTCCTAGTGAGGGTCTAGTAGACCAAGCACAGTATCTGAATTGCAGAGGTTCAAAGGACATCATAACCATCTACTCCCACCCATGCCTGAACAACAATCTACTCTACAATATGGCCAACAATTCAATGGTCATTGGGGCTTTGCTCCAACCAATTCCCAAACCAGTCTACTCTGCAAATGGCTCTAAATATGGGGAAATTTTCCCCATCATTAAACCTATACCTTCTCCTCTGCAGCTTTCACCCACTCTTCCTATTTCTCAACTTTAGGGCAAGCCAAATAAATGGCCTCACCCTTAAATCTGGTAGTCCTTCAGATACTTGACAACAGTTATCACCTCCCTCCTAATCTTCTCTTGTCCAAACCAAACATTCTCAAACAATCTCCAAAACACCATCCAACATCACCATTCTAGTCACCCTACTCCTACGTGTTCCAGTTTGTATCTGTCTTTCCTAAAATAAAGCGGTTGTTGAATTGTTCTAGAACTATCTAGACCCTACGGGGGTTTTCTTGGCAAAGACAGTGGAGTGACTTTCCATTTCCTTCTCCAGCTCATCTTAAAGATGAGGAAACTGAGGTAAACATGGTGGCATGACCTGCCCAGAGTCACATAGCTAAAAAGGTTCCGAGGCTACATTTGAACTCAGGAAGATGACTTGCCTGGCACTCTATCCATGGCACCAAGCAGCTGCTTTTTGAGGTATTCAACACTGAATACAATATTCCAGGGGTGGCCTCAGCATGGCAGAGGACGGTGAGATGATCAGCCAATTTCTGAACATACGCTCTTAATGCATTTTCTACTACCACATCGCCCAATGCTGATTTATGTTTGGCCTCTAGCTCCTTAACAACCCCCAGATATTTTTCAAATATATTGTTCTCTAGCCATCTCTCCCCTATATTTAAATTGAGCACTTGAATTAAGACTTAGTATTTATCCTCATTAAATTACATCTTACTACATTTTGACAAAAATTCTGGCCTGCTGAGAGCTTTCTAGATTATGATTCTGACATCCAAATTTCTAGCTCTCTCAGTTTGGTGACTTCTGAAAATTTTAGAATCATGCTATCTCTGCTTTCCTCTAAATGAGGGATTGAGATGTTAAACATAGAGCCAATGGGAGTCTGCCTAACTGCAAATGGCTGACCAGAAGGCCAAAACCCTGCTGGGTTGAACAAATTCTGCCTTAGGAAAAAATATTGTATGGAATTAGTCATTTTAGTTTTTGGTAATCTATGTTTACAGGGTGATGCACAAGAAGAGTTTTACCACAAATCTGAAACGTAAATAATCAGAACTGGATTTTGAACAGTCATTATCACTTTCATTCAATATGCCTTGACAACGCATAAATTCACTGCCTTACCTTCATGGGTGGGATAGATGATAAAGTAATCACTGAATGTGGGAAGTCGCTTTTTCTCTGAATCATTTACTTCCATTGGTTCACCATCGGCTTGAACAACACCACCATCTCTTCGAACTGTTTTTGTGGGAGAAGATGTGAATAGCCAGCGAGATAAACAATTATCCAGCAATCTGATATTAATGCCAAATGAACTCATCATAAGTGAGCCCATGTCACTGCATATACACTGAAGGGAGTAGTTCACAGTCATGGGCCCCAATAGCTCCAGAAAAGCTAGGCAAGCCAGATCCCAGTCTAAGGAGCAAACAGCACACATACCAACAGTAACATTCCTCAGAATTGGTAGGCCAAGGATTAACAATTTCATCATGTCAGAGGCTAGTAGGATCACAGCATCATAAATTTATGGCTGGAAAGGACCTTAGAGATAATCCAGCCCACTCTCTCATTGTACAAATAAGAAAACCAAGCCCCAGAGAGGTTACATGACTTGCCCAAAGTCACTGAGAAAGACAGTATGAATAATATAAGTAAAGCATGTTGAAAAACTGAATTATCTACTTTAAAATGCCAGTTATTTCTAGGAGTATTTTAAGCAACAAAATGAGGATTCAAACCCACATGCAATCTCTATTCAAATGCATTTCACTGGGCCCTGAGAAATGACAGAAACTTATCCCAAAATGAGTGAGGAAGAGAGGGCCACAGGGAAACACCCATAAAAAAGTAGAAGAGGGAATATCACAGTGGAAAAACCGCAAAACCTTGGATTTATAAATAATAAGATCTTGAATCTACTTGCTTAAAAGGACCTAAGATACTCTAACTTGTAGGATGCTAACATTATGGATCCTTCCGGCTGGAAATATACAAAATTTGGCATCTTTATGGATGTCAAGGGGCAGCTAATGAGTATTTCTTCTTGTAAGATAAGGAGAAGCAGTAGAGAAAGGAAATTCTTTCTGGGATGAAAATCAGAGTCAGGATTTCCTAAAGAGAAGAAGAAAATACTTACAGTGAAGCCTAAGAATTCCCTGCCACTGCTGAGGTGTTCTTTTTCCTTCTACTTACCTCCTCTACAAGCCTGGATTATAAAGATTTTTGGTTTCTTTTGAAGTGCTGGACAGTTTTTATTGTTGAACATTTCAAAGATGTCTGATAAGTTGATTCTTTCATCCAGTACTGTTTTTATAACACCTTTTCCTCCATGGGCCATGAGAGTAACAAGGCAGCAGCTCACATCATCTTTTCTTTTATTTATGTCATCTCGAAACTCTCGTAATTTCTCCATTAACCCCTGTGGCAAATAGCATTGCAAAACCGATTTATCAAAGGGTGGACTTAGAACCATTTGTATTATCTACAGTAATTCTCAGAATTCCCTCATTTTAGAGGCAGCAAGGTGACGCAGTGAATAGAGTACTGGCCTTGGAATCAGGACAACGCGAGTTCAAATCCAGCCTGAGACACATAACACTCACTAACTGCGTGACTCTGGGCAAGTCACTTAACTCCAAATGCCTCACCAAAAAAAAAAAAGGAATTCCCCCATTTTGCCCAGGTTGTGACATTAATTGCTTAGCTTCTAACATGAAATATTGACTGTTAAAAGGAAGTGAAGGTCTAAGATGGCATCATCATCATCACCTTTGTAGACAGTTTTGAAAAGAAACCTGGTCCTCAGGAAGACAGAAAGTTTAAGAAGGAAAAGTAAAACACTTCATTTTTATTACAACTGTGGGACTCTGGGATCATTTTATATGATTACATAGAGCACCTCATGCAAATTTCATCTTGAATCTTCAAGTTACATGTGAGAAATCCAATCTCCAAATTCTGTAGACAAAGATAAAATTGAATGAATGAATGAATGAATGAATGAATGAATGAATGAATGAATGGACTAAAATCCAATACTAATCATTGTTGGGAGAGTGGGACCAGTGATGGCCCCCAGGGCAAGGGGATTGACATCCCTGGGCTGTTTTTCCCAGTCGGGAAGGGTATCAGCCAGGGTCATGGGCAACAAGACAGAGACGACAGGAGGGGGGACGCTGTAGGGGCCCGTCCACCTGGCCATAGATCTCAAATTTGTTTTCATTTAATAGTATTTGGTTTCAATTACGTGCAATGATAGGTTTGAACATTCACTTATGAGACTTTGAGTTCCAGTTTTTTGTTCCTTCCTGGACTCCTCCCGAATTGGTAGGCAATCTGATATAGCTTATACATGTGTAATCATATTAAACATATCTGCATACTGGTCATGTTGTGGAAGAAGAATAAGAACAAAAGGGGAAAAGCACGAGAAAGAAAACACAGAAAAAAGAAAATAGTATGCTTTCATCTGCATTCAAACTCCAGTTTTTCTGTGCATGTGGATAGCATTTTCCAAAATAAACCTTTTGGAATTGTCGTAGATTCCTGCATTGCTGACAAGAGCTAAGTCTATCATAGTTGATCATCACATAATGTGGCTGCTACTGTGTACAATATTCTCCTGTTTCTGCTCACTTCACTCAGCATCGGTTCTTGTAAGTCTTTCCAGGTGTTGCTGAAATCAGCCTGCTCATCATTTCTGTTTTTTCCTTGGTTTCTTTGCTTTTGGCTTGGCGATGGGGTTAAGTGACTTGTCCAGGGTCACACAGCTAGTAAGTGTCAAGTGTCAGAGGCTGGATTTGAACTGAAGTTGTCCTGACTCCAGGGCTGGTGATCTATCCACTAGGCCACCTAGTGGCCCCCTGGCTCATCATTTCTGATAGCACAACAGTATTCCACTACATAAACATAACACAACTTGTTCAGCCATTTCCCCAACTGATGGGCATCCCTCAGTTTCCAATTCTTCACCACCACAAAAAGAGCTGCTATAAATATTTGTCTACATGTGGGTCATTTCCATTTTTTTATGAGCTCTTTGGAATACAGACCTAGTAGTGGCATTGCTGGATCAATGAGTATGCACAGTTTTGCAGCCTTTTGGGTATAATTCCAAATTGCTCTCCAGAATGGTTGGATCGGTTCACAACTCCACCAACAAAGCATAAGAGTTCTAATTTTCCCACATCTTCTCCAACATTTATCATTTTCCTTTTCCATCATATTATCCAATCTGATATATGGGAGATGGTAACTCACAACTGTTTTAATTTGCATTTCTCTAATCAACAGTGATTTAGAGCATTTTTTTATAGGAGTACAGATAGCTTCAATTTCTTTATCTGAAAACTGCCTGTTCATCTTCCTTGACCATTCGTGAATTGGGCAATGACTTGTACTGAATCTCAAATCCTACTCAGCTCTGAAAAACACATAGAATCAAAGCAACTAATGGAGCATTCACGCTCTTGAAACATAAAAAGGCTTTCCTTTACAGGAGAAGAATTCATTAATTCCCTGACACTTGTCCCTTGAGAGAAGTACCAAGATTCTTTTATCAGGGTTTAGAAAGGAAGAAGACCTTGCTGCTCAGATTGTATTCATGATGACCTCATCAGAAAGAAAGCAGGCTATAAAAGTCAGTTACCAATGCTGTTGTCTCAACGCTTACCTTTTCATCAGGATTGATGCAAGATGTACATTCAAACTTGCACGCTTTAAGCCAGTTTCTCATTCTCTTCATATCCTGTTAGCCCCTGGTCTGCCTGTCTTCACACACATCACAAAAGCCTTACGAGGTTTTTCCATGTTATAGCGTTCCTGTTTGTAAGTAAAATTAATAAGCACAATGTATTCCCATGTATCAGAAAATATAACACCCTAGACATATTGGCCCATATGCTGCCTGCGAACCTCCTGGGGTCCGGGATGGGGTTTATCTGAGAGCTCAAAGCTGACCATCTCTCTTTGGGGGAGGGGTGTGTGTGCATGTGTGTAGAAATAGATTTCTTTCATCTATAAGTTCCTGACAATCTCCATTTCAGAGTAGTTCTAACAATACAAATCACTCCTTCTGAAATACTTAGAACCAGCAAAGTAGGGCTATTGTAACAAAACTGGCAGCATGGTGTCACTACCACATACAAAACACCACCAGTTAAAATCATACCACTCTGAGGTAAGGCAGGGCTTGGGTTTGAGTTTATCTGGGGAACAGGTAACCCTGTGAGGGAACAGGAATGAGAGCAGCATGGATTCCCCAGGGGCTGGAGCCTTCTCATCCTTTCTACAAGTCAGGAACTTCAACAGATTTCAGTGGATTACACATAGACTACAAAGTCCCCCAAATCTCCCCAACCCAGAGCTATGGCCCCAAGAATTCCAATGAGAACATGACACTTAAGTCCCCAGACAGGTGTGGCCCTATTCTTTCCTGCTCCCAGGAGTTAGTCCAGAGGCTCCCACCACCAAAAGGAAGAGATGCAGAAACAGCTGGAGGGGCACAAGACAGCAATCTGGCATTCCTTGACGTTTTATCTTTGGGAGCTGAGTGGGGAGCAGGAGAGACCCTTCCTTCCATAAAGCACCAGCAAGCCCCTCAGCCCTGTGCTAGGAGGACAAATATGGCCCAACTGGTTAGGTCTTAGGGGCTGGGTGTTGGTTGCCCTACCATAAAGTAGCTGGTTTAGCACCACCTCTTGGATTCTTGGGGGCAGGGAGCCATTTTTACTGCCTCTAAGATGATCTGGGTGACTGACACTGAGGAGGACACACTCTTTAGAGATACCATGCCTCGGATCCACCAGTCTCTTCCATTTTGTTCCCTAAGTTTTCCCTCAGCCTCTTTCTGGAATGCAGCAGGGATTCCCCAATCCTTCCCCTTTCCTAGGAGCTCTGGTGGGATGTGGGTGCCTTGCTTCCACATGGGGGAGATAACAAAGTAGTAATGAGGGGACAAAGAAGGTAAAGGTAGAAATGAGGGTGGTTCTAGGAAAACAGAAAGACAACAGGATTTGGATTCAACAGAACTGGGTTTAGCTCTGGGGTCTAGCACTTCCTAACTGCGTCCTTGATCAAATCAGGTAACTTCTCAACCTGTTTTCTCAGCTATAAAAGGGGTACAGGAATGTTGACATCTAATACTTAAATAGCATTGTAAGATTTGCACAGTACTTAAAGAGGCCGTCTTATTTGATCACTGCAAAAACTCAGAAAGGTAGGTGTTATTATCATCATTTGACACATGAAGGGCCTGAGGCATAGAGAGATTTGAATGCCCAAGAGTCATGTAGCTAGCAAGTGTCTGAGAATGGATTTGAACTCTGGTCTTCCCTAGGTCTTCAGGTCCAGCATTCTGTCCTAGGCACCACCTAGCTGCCTGCAGGAGGAATGGGAATACTAACTGTTCTTCCTCTCTCTCCCAGTTTAAGTAGCTAATGAGATAAATGGATTGAACAAGCATTTATTAAGTCCTTACTCTACTTTAGGCACTGTGCCGGACACTGTACATACAAAGACCAAAACATCACAGTCTTTGCCACCCATGGAGTTTATGTTATACTGGGACAGCTCCAACCACTGGGGTGAAGGGGGTGGCCTTAGGTACAAAGTGGCAGCTAAGCTGAGTTTTGAATGAAATCCAGGGATTCCTTGAGGTGCAGGTGAAGAGAGAGAGTACTCCAGGAATGGGAGACAGTCTGGTGGAATTCTGCTGATTCTGTAGAACATCTAGCAGGGGAATTGACTTAACTAGAAAATGTATGAAGGGGTGGGACATGAAATCAGTTTGAAGAGTTAGATCGGAGGCAGATTTCAAATTGGCTCCAAATGCCAAACAGGGAAGTCTATGTTATCTCAAAGGGAATAAACAGATAGTGGAGTTTTTTTGAACAAGGGAGTGAAACAACATACAAATCTCCCTTTTTACACCTACAGGAAGGAGCCAGTTGCCTGAATGAGAAGCCATGTGGTCGTTAGTTACATTATCAAGGCTTAGATAAAAAGTTACCATTTTAGGGCCATCATTTTCATACTGTCTCTTCAAAGTCATTGTCAAAACGCTCAGTATTTTCGGGGAAAATGGACCACCAAAAAAGAACAAAGAATAGGGTTATTTATTTATTGCTTTCCCACAACTTCTTTCTCTATCTCTCACCACATTTCCTTAACTCCATTCCCTCCAATGTTCTCCTACAATCATTAATCCTCCTCTGTCCTCTAACCTCTTCCTATCTGTGGGTTCCTTCCCTATAGTCTATAAATAGGCCCCACCTTCCACAGATCTCCACCTTCCCTGCTAGCTATTGTGCTCTCATTCTCTCTCTCTCTCTCTCTCTCTCTCTCTCTCTCTCTCTCTCTCTCTCTCTTTCTCTCTCTCTCTCTTTCCTTTTTTTTTCAGCCACACAGTTTTCTTCAATCATCCTCTCTACTTTCTCTCCTCTCTCACTAACTCTTCAACCCCTTGTAATCTGGCTTTGGGCCTCATCATTCAACAAAAACTGTTCTCTACAGATTTGCCAGTGACCTCTTCATTGCCAAATAGGATGGCATTTTCTCAATCCTCACCTTTTTTATCTCTCTGCAATATCTGATCCTGGGAATTGCGAAGAATCCATCCACACCAACGTAGTATGTCCAACATGATGTTTTGTAATACTGGAGAAAAGGAAAAAGTATTTAAATAGTGCCTACTCTATGCTAGGCACTTTTTACAAATATTACTCCTCGATCCTCTCAAAAAACGCAGGAAGGGAGCTGCTATTTTATCCCCATCTTTCAGTTGACAAAATTGAGGTAAAACAGGTTAAATAACTTCCCCAGGGTCACACAACTAGTAAGTGTCTCAAGCTGGATTTGAACTCCAGGCTCAAGGCTCTATCTACTGTGTCACTAGCTGCCTGTCTTGGTTCTCCTCTCTCTGGCTGCTCTTTCTCAGCATCCTTTGCTTCACCATCATCTATATTCATGTTTCCTTAAAGTTGGGATACCCCAAGGCTCTGTCCTGGAGCAGCTTCTCTGCTCTCCCTCTGCAATTGGTAGACTGGCCCAGCTACTATTCTCTTATTTGGTAGCTTCATTAGCCTCTATGGATTTAATCATGGGACTGGTGCAGATGACTCCCAGACCTACTTATATGGCCCTGGCCTCTCTCCTCACCTCCAGTCCCATATCACCAATTGCTTCTGAACTGGACATACCACAGACATCTCCTAAGAGGCTACTATGTGCCAGGCAGGGGGAAGCTCTGAGGATACAAAGAAAGGTAGGTAAAAGACAATCCCTGCCTTCAAGGAGCTCACATCTAATACAGGAGGCAACATGCAAACAGCTGGGAACAAATCAGGCTACATTAAAGCTCTGATCAAAGAGAAAGCACTAGGATTAAGGGGATAGGCAGGGGCTTCTTGTAGAAGAGGAGACTTGAGCTGACACTTAAAGGAAGCCAGGAGGTAGAGATGAGGAGGGAGAACTGGAGGTTGGAAACACAATCCAGCTGGGCTCACCCATAACTGTCTGTGCTGCCATGACACATACTGATTACAGTTCCTCAGATGGGAAATGTTTCTTGTTACAGAGTCTACAGGGATCACCCCCTCCCTAGAAAAGTGGGTGGGGGGAAAATTAAAGCATAAATCAGGAGGGAAAAGGGAAAATAAGGTTCCTGTTAAGAGGTTTTCTACTCCTCTGTAGTCCTAGTTTGATTTAGCGTTAAAGCTCTGAGCCTAATATTCACTTGACTCTTTTCTCATATGCCCACCAGGCACTTAGCCTACAGCAGCTAAAAAGCTCTCTACTACAATCCTAACCTGAGTAAGAATCTCCTTCTACAATATCACTCATAGGAGGCTAGTCTCCCACTGAAGATGCTGCCCCCACACACACACATACTGCCCCCCCAGTGAGGAGAAGCCTCATTGAGGACATTCATGACACTTCTGGACAGCTCTAATTGCTAGGAAATTTCCCCTTACATCAAGCCTAACTTTTCCTTTTGGGACCCTCCCCCCCACCCCACCGATAGTCTTGTTTGCCCCCGGGACCAAGCAGAATGAGGATTGGCTCCTCTCCCACAAGTATTCTGATGAAGTTGAGTTTACTAAGTCTACTTATACTGCTGCATCTCCAACCTGAGAAAGTCAGCTGTGGAAAGGGCATGTTTGGAATTAAAAGATCTGAATTTAAGTGGCATACTGGGAAATATGAACCAGCTTGGGGAGGTGGTATAGAGTGGGTGGGATGATTATACCTGCACTCCTATATAACTTCTATATAATCAGAATTACTAATATGTTCTCCATCACTTTCTTAACTCTAGACAACCAACAAACCATAAATGAAGCCCCATTTGAAGTGTAAACATTTGTACTGACAACGTAACAAATCCCCACCAAGGGAGCAGGCTCTGCTATTTAGCATTATTGACCCTGGGCTAGTGACTTGAACCCTGAGATGCTCAGGGGTCAAATGGAAATGACAATATTTGTATCATCGGGGTTGCTGTGAGAAAAGCCCTTTGTAAATGAGGAAGTGCTTTGAACACACGCTGCTGAATGTGGGCACAAAGCTCCTCTGACTTTTTCATCAAGCTGGACTCCAGGATCCCACAGTCCTGAGGGCTAATGACAGGTCCCTGAAACAGTCTCCCTTAGACCCTGCAACCCTGACTGACCTTGCTCAGACAGCTCAGCAGCATGTCCTCAAACAAAATGTTTCTGCCCAGACCTGTTGATAACTCCAAAAGGGAAACCCCTTCAAAAACAGAGTCCACCAACACTAATCTGAGTTTTGAGACACAATCCTCTTCCACAATCTGGCCCCTTTCCAGCTCCAGCTCCTGGCTCTGGGGTTGGACCCTGCATCACACACTCATTGGGCCATTCTCTGCAAACCCTGCTACACTCTACCACCTCCATGCTTTTGTTCATGCTGTTACCTAAACCTGAGACATCTTCCCACCTGCTCCTCTTCTACTCGGTTTCTATCTTTTGAAGCCCAACCCAAATGCTTACCCAACTGGTGGCATGGTACATTGTCTAGAGTATTGGACTTGGAGTCAGGACAAACTCACTTTCAATCCCACCAGTAGAAGTTATTAGCTGGATGATCACACGCAAGTCCCTTCCCCTGAGACTCAGTTTCTTCCCATATAAAATGAAGACAATAACCCCTTTAGCACGTCCTACTCTGCTACAGCCATTCTAGCCTGCTTGGCCTTTATATGTGATTCCATCTCCTCTCTGGGTCTTTGCACAGGCTTTTCCCCAGCCTATGGAGCCCTTCTACTTAATAGAATCCCTGCCTTGCTTAGCTGACCAAAGTGAATCTCATTTATTGCTCTGTAAGTGAGGGAGAAGGAGGGAAAAGTCCCTGAATAACACCACCCCTCCCTATCCTGATCTCCCAGTTGCCAGTGTCACCTCAGAAATGACTCTGTATATATTGTTATTTAATTTTCTGTGTATATGTTGTTTTCCCTAGAACGTAAACTCCTAGAAAGCAAGAGCTAAATTGGTTTTAGCTTTGTATCCCCAGCACCTAGCATATAGTAAGTGCATACTGAATGAATGAAGCAAGCTGGCAGGGACCACTTATTTTGTCAAAGTCCTTCCTTATGGTCAGCAAGCAGGAAGCCCTTCCCTAGTGCCAAGCCCTGTGCTAAGCACCCAAGACATAAAGGAAGGCAAAAACAGAATCCCTGCCTGCCCTCAACAAGCTCCCATTCTAACAGGGGACACAACATACAAACAACAATATGCAGTGCTGGAATTCATATTACATGCCAAATGCATGTAATATATGCCACACACTTGACCTGTCTCACCAGCATGTAAATATTGTTGGAGATCTTTCATGCTAATGATCTCAAAAGATTAGGGATAAACTCCAAGGATCAGATAGATTATAAAGTCCTTCGGGTATCTAGCACCCTGCCTAGCATGTAGCTCAACAAAAGGAATCTCACTAAATACCTGTTGGTTTGGAATGGAAAGGGGGGGGGATGTCCCCTGAATAATCTCTTATAGAGTTATCAAAATGAATCTTCAATCTATTGATGTTTTGGGGCCCAGCACTTGGGAGTCATGGTATTCTAAAAAGGGCCCTGGTTTAGAAGTCAGAAGGCCCCATTTATTAGCTAAGTGACCTTGGACAAGTCTAGTACTCTGTATAATAAATAGCAGTTTCCCATTCTGGCTTCCTGTTTATCTCCTGGTTATTTCAAGTCCTCATCTTTTCAACTGAAGATCCAAACGCCCATCTGGGCCCCTGATCTTTTTAAACTCTCTCCATCTTTTCCACGTGGGTGACAGGTGGGGGCAGCAAGGTGATGGGGGACATGTAAAGCTCTAGCATCCAGCACTGCATCTGACTCTCACTACCTGTGCAAATTACGTTGCTTGGTAGCTCACTAGCCGGGTGACCAAACATAGGGAAGTCACCCTCTAAGCCTCGGTTTGTTCCTCTGTAAAACGGAGCTAAGAATACCTGGAGCAGTAGCTTAGCTTACCAGGGGTCTCGTGGGACACACCCATGAGATGATCTGAAGAGCTTGGGGACGGTCAAACCTGATGATTCTTCAGGGGGTGGGGAGTGGAGGTGGGAGTAGGAGGGCTTCGGCGCGAGATAAACCCAGAGATGAACCCAGAGGGCGGGAACCGCCCCCGCCCCCCCTTAGGAGAGCCCCGAGCTTGCACCCCACCTTACCCCACTCGGCTACCAGGTCGTTCCGGCGCATCCGCTGGAACACCCGGACCAAGACCCTGGGGGTCCCGGACACGACGTAGCGCTTGACAGCAGATCGGCCAGAGCCGAGGTCGTGGGGGCCGTGTCCAGGTCCTCCATCGGGATCCTAGGCTTCTTCCCGGAGCTCCTCAGGTAAAACTTGAACTCTTGCAGCTCGGGTGGGCTCAGGCGGTCCAGCGTGCTCACCACCCGGGCTCTGAGCGCCTCCATGGCCGCGGAGGGAGCGCCGGGGGCTGTGGGGGAAGGCTGCGGGGCGGGGAGGGGACACAGCCCGAGCTAGGGGGCGGCGAAGGCGAAAGTGAAAACAGATGTCCGCAGACTCGGGAACGGCGCTCGCTAGCCCCACCAAGACCCGGGCGTGGCGGTCCGGGGGCGGGGAGGAGGAGCGCGCCCGCGCGGACCCCGCCCCGGGATGGGGATGGGCTGCTAGGAGTCCTTTTCCTTCTGGCCTCTGCTTTCCTGGGAGGGTCTAGCCTTGTGTCCTGCGCCTCTGCTTCCCATGCGGGTCTGGCTCTCTGTCTGTCTCTGTCTGTGTCTCTGTCTCCATCTCTCTCCCTCCCCTCCCTTCTCTCCTCCTTCTCTTTCTCCTCTTTTCTCCCCATCCTCTCCTCTCTCCCTCTTCCACTCCTGTCTCCTCCATTCTTCTCTCCCTTTCCTCTCCTCTCCTCTCTCCCCTTCTTCATCTTTCCATCCCTTTTCCTTCCCTACCTCCTCTCTCCCCCTCCACTCTCCTCCTCTAAACCCACCCCGCTGTCTCTCATTCTAAAGTCCAGTGTTTCTAACCCTTTATTGCACTGAGGGTTTGAGACAAAGCTGCAGAATGAATCTCTGTCACTGAGCGGGCCGTTCAGTAATTCCCCGATGCCTCAGAATATCCCAATTTTACCCACTCTTCAAATCCTAACTACTCACTTGCCGTGATTTTTCTCAGCTTGCTTTACCCTTGTGGTCACAGAGCATTTTGAAAAAAATTTTTACTGACATCTTCAGCGTCTTACATCATCAGAGTTGTCCCAAACAACCATCTCTCTGAAACGCCTCCCATTTTTTAATTGGAAAAGAAATTGCATTGTGGAAGAACTCACAACACAAGGTGACAATTCCAAAATCAATGAGTGGCAGAGGAAATGAACAAATATCATGAAGTGAGGCAGAAAACAGGGAACTGGTGCTCACCAGCATCATCAAGGGGTGCTCTGTGCAAAGGAGATCCAGACTTATGAGATGACATCTCAGATCCCTTACCCTCTGGGATGGTCACTTTCAGGAATTTGGAAAGGATCCTAGGTTTGAATTCTCAGTTCAAAAGAATGCCTATGGGCTGGTAAGTGGCACAGAAGATGGAGCTCCAGCCTTGGTGTCAGAAGCACCTGAGTTCAAATTTGGCCTCAGACACTTCACACTTCCTAGCTATGTGATCCTGGGCAAGTCACTTAATCCCATTGTCTAGCCAAAAAAAGAAAAAAATGCCGAAGGGACAGCTACTCAGCCCAGTGGATGTAAGCACCTGCCTTCCAGTCAAGAGGACCTCAGTTCAAATCAGACCTGAGACACTTACTGGCTATGTGACCCTGGATAAGTCACTTAACCCTGATTGCTTTCTGTCCCCCCCCCAAAAAAAAAACCCGGTTTGACCCAGGGCAAGTCATTTAATCTCTTTGGGTTTCGTCTACAAAATTGGTTTAAAAAAATGTGAGGGTAGGACTATTCTGTGATCCCTAATAACCATCCCATGGCTCATAGAATAGAGTCTAAACTCCCCAATCTGGCTTCGAAGGCCTTCTATAATACGGGTACCTCCTACCTGTTCAACCTCATCTTTCATCAATCTGAGTCAGATCCTTTTTCTGTGGACAGTTAGCAAGTGATTACCTGTTGTTCCTGCCTGCACCATTCAATGAGGTCCCCACCTAGGTTCTTGAGTTTCTATTCTAGTGGGATATAGGCTGTGGAAGGTTCTACCCACTCAGAAAGGCCCTGAGTATGGGCAGGGAGATGGGGCTGTAAGATGCCGATTTGATGAGGACAGGATTAAGTTTGCAGAGGCTCATATGCAGGTTGGCTGCCAGGTGATGGACTTTCTGGCCACAATACCTCCCAAAAACCTTTCAAGGGGGCTGTGATCTGTGAGAGAAGAGGGATTATAAAGTGGGAGGGAATTATAGACCCTTGAAATAATGGCTTACAGAGCACTTTCCTCACTATAACCCTCTGATGCCGGTAGTGGGGGGTTATTATCCACTTTTTGTGATCTCCTTGAGGGAGCCAGGGGAGCACCTGGGAAAGATCATCAGCTCTGGAATCAGAGGATTCGTGTTTAAATCTAAGCTATGTCATATGTTACCTTGGAGGCCTTGGACCAGGGGTGGGGAACCTGCAGTCTTACGGTCACATGTGGCCTTCTAGGGCCTTAAGTGTGGCCATTTGACTGAATCCAAACTTTACAGAACAAATCACTTAATTAAAAGGATTTTATTTTTAAAAAAAAGTTGCTCTGTAAAATTTGGATTCAGTCAAAAGGCCACACTTAAGGGCCTAGAAGGCCACATGTGACCATAAGGCTGCAGGCTCCTGACCCATGCCTAGGGCAAAGTTACTTGAACTTCCTTATCCTCAGTTTCCCCATCTGTAAAATGAATGGGCTGGACTATAGTACCTTTTAACACGAAATCTATGGTCCCAGAAACAGTACTCTACTCACGGTTTCCTGACTGCATAGACATGGCCCTTTCCCTTTTTAACCAGCCCCCTCTCCCTTAGGGCATTTGGGAGGGCAAAACCAGATGTTTAAAAAACTCTCTTTGCATAACATCAAATTCTGACTGGTATTATTGGGCCCCCAAGTACCCCTCATCCTTGCACTGCCCATCCCATTAGCCCTCCACATTCCATGGATAGAAGCAGCTGAATGAGAAATTAAGGTTATGTTTCATATTCCTAGATGTCTTAATAACAGACTATCCCTTGAGATTACCCGTCCTTCATCCAAATATTGGTGTGCTTCCAAACATAACGTTCCTTCCAATCATAGCCATGTTCTTCATGAATTGTCTTCCTACAACAATGTACAATGCTGTCAGAAATAGAAACAGTTAAATTAAATTAGCAATTAAATCTGAGCTGGAAGGTGAAGGATACACTGGGACTCCCAGCTAGCCTCAGTTTGGAAAGCAGAAAGGGAGCAGAATCATGTAGTTGAGAAGGAGTCTAATTCTGGCTAGAGCCTGGATTATTAGGGGAGAGGAAAAACATGGCAAGATGGGTGGTAGCAGCTCAGCCCTTTACCTGTTGCCTGACTCCTAGATCCAGAGTGAACTCTCCAAAGAGGCAAAATATTGCTGATGCATCTGCTAATCATTTCTCCTTTCCTTTCCCTAGAAGCCTTCTCCCCCTAGTGACAGCCCTCTCTTCTGACTGATGAAGTCCTGGCCTTGACCACCAGGCCATTCCCAATCCCATTCCTTGTTCTCCACAATTTTCTCCCTTCCAGCCCCTTGGTATGGATTGTCTTTCCTCTTCCCCAACTCCATTAGGATGGAAGCTCTTTGAAGGTAGGGATTGTCTTCATTTTTTTTTCTTTGCTTCTACTAATATCCTGGACACTTATCACAGTGCCTGGCACACAGTAAGTACTAAATAAGTATTTTGTCTATCTATCCACCTGGCCACATGCCCTTACCAATAGAGGGATCTTCTATAACAACAAGGCTGTATTACCAATCCACAATGGGCTCAGAATTGAGGAGCATAGAACAGGAATCGAGGTTATTACAAAAGAAATGCATCCATTTTCCTGCCCTCAAGAAGTTTAACATCTCCTCAGGGAAACCAGGCACAAAGGTGGAACAGGTGATCTGAGACAATGAGCATGATTAAGGACCAAAATGATTTGTACAGGAGGAATATGAGAAGGAAGAGATACCTGGGTTGGGTTGGAAGGAGTTGGCTGAAGAGCGGGCCACTGAAGGCTGGCCTGGTGCTGGATAGCTGGGGTGGGGAGTGGAGACTGAGTCTAAGCTTAGAGGGGGCATGGTGTGAGGATGAGACCAGTCTGGCTGGAAGGAGAGGTTCAATGAGAACGGGAGTAAATCAGATGAAATGTGCTAGGCAGAGACCAGATTTCAGACTATAGAATACAATTGTAGAATTATAGAATCTCAGAGATGGAAGGGACTTTTCAGATCATCTAGTCCAGTCTCTTCTCTTTATAAACAGAGAGTTATTTCAACAAGGACAAGTGGCCAGAAAGTTGGGACTAGAGCCCAGGACCCCTAAGCCCTGACCAATGTGCTTTCCTCTTAATGCCTTAAATGTGATGTAATAGAAAGAGCACTGGATTTAGAGTCAAGATCTGAGTACAAATCCTGGCTTTGTTGCTCACTGATCATGTGATTTTGGTCAAGTTATTCTTTCAGAGCCGTGGTTTTATCTTATGTAAAGGGGATAGGGGGAGTTGGACTGAACTCTCTCTGGTTCAGAACCTCTGATCCTTGGGCTGCAAACTCCCTTGAGGGGTATGACATAACAGGGGTACTTTCCAAAGGTCGAACACAGGGCCAGTGACTGGAAGGCAGACCAGGACGTAAGGCCATTGGGATCATCCAGGTGCACCATGGGAAGGGCCACACTACAGTGAGATCTGGGGGAATATCTTCAATCACATCCTCCCTTAAAACTGGTAAAGTGCATTACTTCCATTACCTTCCTTTGACTCTGACAACCCTATGCTATAAGTACTATAGCTGTTACTGTTTCCATTTTACAGATGATCTAGGAGATAGGAGTCAAATTCAGGCCTTCCTCCTGACTTCGTGTCCATCACTCTTTCTAACCATATGGCACACACTCTTTAAGGAAAGGAAAGGATTGATGTGAGAAATGAGAGACAGGAGTTAATGACTGATCAAATGAGACAGAAAATATAGAAAAGCCAAGGATGGCTGAGGATTTGAGTGTAGGTGACTGGAAGGTAGAAATAGGCACAGTGAAAGGCAAACTGTTTTCCAACAAGGTTGGTTTGGGGCAGTAGAGGGGCCCAGGGCAGACAGCTCCAGGCTTGGAATGAGAAAGACCTGAGTGACCTCAGCTGTTGATGATTCTTAAAAGGGATCATTCTTGCACTGCCTACCTAAGAGGTTCTTTTCAGGATCAGATGAGATAATGGAAGCCTTTTTTAAGCTGGGTTGCCCTAGGTGATGAACTCCTTGAAACTTAGGGTGTATTCATGTCCAGAGGTGAATCTTCTGGGATGGAGAGGATTAGGGCACACATACTGAGGGCAGCCTGTGCAAGCATCCTAAATCTCTAAGTAGGAAAAAAATGCTACAGATGTGGGTAAGGAATATGAGAGAGAGAAGAGAATCAATGACAGAAACAACCCACCAGCCCTTTCCTATGTGACTGAATAAGTAGATATTAAAAGACCTGTGTTATCATTATTATAATGAGGATGTGTCATCTCCAAACATCCACAACCTGTCCGGGAATTTATTTATCAGGAACTTTACTCCTGTTTCATCTACCTAACGAAGCCTATTTCATACAAAGGCCTGGCATTGATGATAGCAGCCAAGGGAGAAGGTTCTGCTGTCAGAAGCTCCTTATGAGCCAGCACTGTGTTGAGCAGTCAAGGAAGGTAACTAACACTGTGCCCTAGGAGAGGCAGAGCTTGAGGGATAATTTGAGATTCCCATTAACTCCTTTGGTCAGGCTGCTCTGGAGTATCATGGTCAGCTCTGGGAGGCACATTTCAGAAAGGAAATTGATAAACTGGAGTGTGCAGGAAGGCAATGAGGATGGTGAGAGAGTTTCAAGTTCAGGCCATAGGAACTTTGGGATCAGGAATGCTTCGGGAGACATTGGGCATGGTCAGGGAGAAGGCACATCTAAAAAGCTGTCAAGGGGCCAGGCGATTCCTATGTTTAGGGTTGGCCCCTGGGGGAAGAATTAGGTGCAAAGGGTGCAATTGCAAAAAGGGAATTTGAGACTTCACAGAAGTCTATTTTCTGGCTTTTCACATTGAGCTCTGCTCCTGGAGCACAGCGGGCACTGTCCCAAGCTTCTAGTGCTGGGAACCTGGGGCCTGGTCACTGGCTTTGTGCTCTGGGGCCTCAGGTGCAGGTGGTTTGCTTGCTGCACTGGGTTGTAGGCTGGGTTCTGGGGCTGCAGGCCTGACAGCTGGCCTGCTGTGCCACTGGCCTGCTGAGCCAGGAACAAGGGGCCTTGCTTGCTGATCTCTGCTGTGGCTCAGAGCCTCCTGCTGGCTCCCAGACACTGGGTGTGCTGGGCTGTACTTCCCTTTTACCCAAGTGAGACAGAGCTTTCCTGAAATCCTTCTAAATTAGCTTCAGCTGGAAAACTGTTTGACTCCATCCTTTTGTGGGTTCTGTCCCTCCAGAATCTGCTTTGGGGTTTGATTTAACATTGTTTCCTAGGGAAACTGGGAAGAGCTCCAGCAGCTTCCTGACTTCTCTTCACCACCTCAGCTCCATGCCTGAATCTACTTTTCTACATAAATGCTGTATTTCCTTAGTAGAATGTAAGCTCCCAGAAGGGAAGAATTAGTTTGTTGTTTTTCTATCTGCTAAGTAGTATGCTTAACAAATTATTACTAAATTGGTCTTAAAACTATAATAGACAATTAGGTCTATTACAGATGCACAACTTCTATTTCCAAATCCAGCTTGTCACAGGCTAATGGCCAAGTCTGATTTTTTTCAGTATCTACCTGTTCCATGAAAATCGTGGTTAGGTTTTATTCCCTCAAGACTGAGTCTGAAGTATGGAAGAAGTGAAGAGCTGACATTTTCTGCCTACCCTTCAGGTACAGTCCCTTGATACCAAGTCAAGTCTGCTTTCTAGAGCAGACATCCTGGGGCCTAAGTACTTTTAACACATTTTTTTTTGATAACTGTATTTTGGTAGAATTGGTTTCCTTTGTAATCCTACATGTTTTATTTCATGCATTGAATAAACATGATTCTGAGGAGAAGCCCATGGGTCTCAGCAGCCTACCTAAGAGATCTGTGACACCAATAAAGGTGAAGTCACTGTCCCATCCCAATAGATCTCTCCCAAGCCACCCTTCCCCCAACTCTTTCACTATTTCTTTCCCTTATCTTTTTGGCCACAGGACTCCACAAGCTACCTCTGGAATGACCTGAACCCTTCTGAACCGTGTTCCTGTTTCTTGACAGAAACTCTTAATTCCTTCCTAATTTCCCCACACTCTAGCCATGTCTTGTCCTGCTTTACAACTGGCTTCTTCTTTCCTGGGGCTAATCAATCCATTTTTGAACACTGTCACTAAACCTCTGACTCAGTATAAAATTAACATCCCCAAATTTCACATTCCAGATAATAGTGCAGCGGGGTAGATGTGCACAGCAAATGAGTATAATAACATTACATTCCCTCCCTGGCAAGAGAGGTTGTGGGGAGGGGGAAGTGTTACATGCTGAGGGTGTGCAGAGGCCATCAGATACTGGGACAGTCTCCAACGGCAGCCAAGGGCTCGGGGAGATGACAGTGATGGCTAATCTTGGACCAGCACTGGGAGGAGGGAGAGAGATGTTAAATTTGTCAACCAGATTTCTTCTGAGACTCAAGTGCTGCTCAACTGAAAAGAATTTAAAAAGGCTCCAGGTAGGAGCACAGGGCTAGGGAGAAGGCAGAAGAGATTAAGAACAAGCAGGCTCCCTACCCACAGCTCCACACTCCCTCTCCTCTGTTAAATGTGTCTGATGACACTTGTACTACCACCGCCCAAAGCTGTTTCAAGAGTCATGTTGCAGGAGATATCATAGAAAGCCTGCTCCAGAATCACAAAGCCCCACGTAATTGTTGTTACCTCTATTAAAACTATTGTTATTAAAATATTATAATTCTTAAAACTATTGTTATTATTTAGATTGTAAAGTTTTCCAGAAGGATGTGAGCAACATAGGGGCAGCTAGGTGGCACAGTTGATACAGCACTGGCCTTGGAGTCAGGAAGACCTGAGTTCAAATCCAGCCTCAGACACTTCCTAGCTGTGAGACCTTGGACAAGTCACTTAATCCCGACTGCCTCACCAAAAAAGCATAAAACCAAAAAGAATGTGAGCAAATTGAGGGTAGGCCCTGTTTTGCCTCTGTATCCCCAGTGCATGGCATCAAGTAGGCACATACCAAGTACGGTTGATTCCATACATCATGTCAAGCTCTGAAGGTAAGCATGGGATAGGGAAGTTTATGGAAACTCAGCTAAGTCCTACCATGCTGGCTACTCATGTACCCAGGAATTGACCATATAACTTCTGCCTGAGAAGCAGCCTAGCCAGCTTTGGAGAGGCTCCTCCCTCAAGGATTTCCAGTCACAGTAACTCATGAAGCTGTCTAGCAAAGGAGGGATGGAGATCTGCATTGGTGGAAGAAGCCGCCACGTTAACAAAATCACAGCTCCAGAAGAGCTGCCTGAAACCATGAAGGGAGATTTGAGAGCTGACTGCCATCATCATCATCATCTTCATCATCGTGTCCTTTCCTACCTCCATATCCAACTGGTCACTAAATCCTCTCAATCTCATATTGCTTCCTTCCTTTCTGGTACAGTCTCCCCAATCACTACCACTATAGAATAGTCCTGGTTAGAATTTCTGCATAATATTTTAACTCTCAGAACGTGTCTTTCTCCATTTGCCCAGATGCTCAATAACTCTGTGGCCCTGGAGAGCCTCATCACATTGGTTAGCGAGTTTTCTCATTCCTAAAATCCAGATATGGTAATAGCACCTAACTCACACGTTGGCTGTAAAGATTAAATGAGCTACTGTATCGAAAAGGTTTTGCAAACCATTGCAAAAGCTACGATTTACATAGTTTTTACTATGTGCCAGGCAGTGTGCTAAGCTCTTTACAAACATCATCTCATTTGAGCCTTCCATCAACCCTGGAAGGTAGGTGCCACTAGTATACCCATTTTACAGATGAGCAAACTGAGGCAAACACAGATTTGTTTTTTTTTTAAGTGACTTGCCCATGATCACACAGCTAGGAAGTATCTGAGGGCAGATGGGAACTCAGATCTTTCTGACTCCAGGCCTGGTGCTCTATTCACTACTCCACCTCACTGTCCAACAAAGTGCCATATCAATGTTACCTATTAGGCTTTCCACCCCCTCATTAGTGCTCTTCCTCTAAGATTACATTCCATTTACCTTCTCCCCTAGTCTTTCCCTCTCTCTCCTTCCCTCCCTTTCTCCCTCTCTCCTTCACTCCTCCCTCCTTCCCCTTCATTCTGTCTCCTCATTCTCCATTACCCAAATATGTGTGGGTCTACACACACACACGCACACACACACACACACAGCAGGGTATCCCAAAAGTATTGGTGCAGTTTTAAGGTTCCATACCTGAAATTCCCTGTGTGGATATATGTGCATGTGTTTAAAAATATGTGTGTGTGTATACATATATACATATACACATACACATGTCTATACAAACATAGTCATTTCCTTGTCCTTCCTATTAGACTATCGGTTCCTTGACTTCAGGGACTGTCTTTGCCCTTCCCTGTAGCTCTGTGGCTGCTAGAATCTGAAATGACTGAGGGACCAAAGCTTTGTCAAAGGTAGAGGAACAGATCTCTAACCTGTGGGTGGCTGGAGCCAAATGAAGCAGGTAGAGACAGAAGAGTCAGGAATCAAACAAAAGTTTATTTTCAGAGTGAGGAAAACAGGTTTGCAAATCAATGTCCTGCTGAAGACAGCTTGTGATTTGTGGCAGGGTGAGGGTTGTTAAGCATGAAACCCACAAAAAGGCAGGACCCAACACAATCCTTCTTCGGTGTTGAGTAAACAGTTCCCACAGCAGGGTGACATGTACGGGTGTCTTTAGCACAACACAGGAGTTCTTGGGTCCTGTGGGAACAGTCTCTAACTTTGCAGGGTCTTTGAGGCTTGTGAGCATTTAGCAGGGTACAGAACCAGAGTCAGTGTGGTGGGAACAGGAGTGCAGCACCTGCTTCAGTTCACTTAGTAATGACAAGTGCAGGGATTGTCCAGAGTGTCAGGATATAAGACTGACTGCTTTGTGCTGCAGTTTCTGATGAAACCTTCACAACACATTACATCCAACATACATAAGAGCCAGTATTTGATACAATGTAAAGCACAGTGCTAATGCATAAACAAATTATTCTGTACTGAAAATCTTCCACCTCCTCCACCTCTGCCTCCACCAAGCGTCAAAAGTACACAGCTTTGGTGAGAGTGGACTCCATGACCGGCACCACTTTGACAGGATCCTCATCCATGTAAAAGTCTGTGTGCACCACTCTGTTGTTCACCTACAAGATAAAAGGCCCAAATTACACAAGGAAATGAATAAAATTCAATTCCACAATTAGATAGCTGAGCAGGGCTGTCTTTAGCCTCTTTTTGTATCTCCAAAGTTTAGTTAGATGTCTGGCATGTAGGAGGTGCTTAAGAAATGTTTCATGATTATTAAACAAGTATTTATTAGGCACTCAGGGTGCTCTAAGCCACATTCTAGGTGAGGAAGAAACAAAGACCAAGGAGTTAACTTTTTAAGGCCACATACAATACCTACATCAATAAGCAATAAGTATATGCAAAATACAGACAAGGTAATGGGGAAGGGAGAGAGTAAAGCAGAGTTCTCAGAACCCAGTAGATGAGGCAAAAACCTTTGTATAGGAAGTAACCCAGAGCTAAAATTAGTAGAAGAGCTAGAGATTCCAAGAGGCAGACGTGAGGAGAGAGTGAAATCCAGGCATTAGACAAAGACAGGGTCTGAGTCTGCAGAACCAGAGAGTAGGCCAGTTTCACTGAAATGCAGAGTTGGGGGTGGGGTGCAGACAGTAGAGGATTTTAAATGTCAAAAAAAGCAATAGGGAGTCATTGAAACTTCTTGAGCAGGGGCCTGACATGGTGAAATCTGGGACATGTGAATGTCTGGGACAGGACAACTCTCTTGTAAAGTGCAATAGCAATGTACAGTATTATTATAACAATGATGATGAAGAAGATATCTGTAATAAACTTGACACTGATTTCTCTTCATTCAGCCCAAAGAGCATGGGGGCTGTGAGTTGTTCCTACTTCCAGGCTGATCCATTCTCATTACTGGACCATAACTTAGAACTGATGGGATAGAGAGGGATGAGAGAGAGAAACAGAGAAAATGACTATTTAAATGAACACCTCAGCCCCTTGTTTGCTAACAACACTGATAGCAGCACAATCCTGCCCTAAGAGCTTACAATCTACTGAGGAAGGGCAACAACCATGAGAGAAGAGTTCAAAGAAAGAAGGAAGACATCATCTCAGGAGGAGAAAGACTGCAGGTAAGAGTGCAGGCACCCGGCCTACATGCACACACACATGCACAAATGCTGCCCAGGGAATTCCAGGCAATGTGCTGACAGGAAGAAATAGATGCTTGTTAACTAGTGGAGGAAAAATAGCAGAACATGGAGCATGAATCCATTTATTGATAACTCACTTGAGTAAAAAAATCCACAATATGCAACTTCTTGCCATGTTTCTGAAAGACTTCATCCATTGCTTGAATCATCACAGAACCATCTTCTGGGTGGCGTAAAGCAATGTGACTACCAGTGGAGAAATGAGAATATTGTTTAAATTTTTGACTAAAGTGTTCTAAAAACGCACACACACACATGTGGAATCTAGAAAAACACTTACTAAGCAAGATATCCCTTTATTCGGTGCAACAGTAGGACATGTCTACATTTTGATTAAGCTGTCCAGTATTTACACTTGTGCTACTTCCCAAATCTGTTCCTTGGGCCCTTAACTCTACCAGTACACTAACTAGGCAGTCTAAATGCACAGCCCATAAAGAATCCATGGCAGATGAGGTCAGTAACTAATTTACAGTGGGCCATGAACCAGGAAAAGCCTCTGTCTGCCCAGCAAACTCATATGAAGGACACGAGATATTATCTGAAGCCAAGGCTATGTTTTCCCAGTGATGCTTTACTCAAGAACCTACAACTTTCAGTCTCCAATACACCGTGTAAAGTAGCTGGCCAGTCCCTAGAGCATTCTGCTCATAATCAGAAGGGAATCCATACCCAAAGAACGTTCCATACAACATTCTCAAGGATATGGTCAGTTTCCTTTGACCTAAAGACTTTAAGTAAGGGAACACTTACCATCTATCAAGATGCCAATTACACTTTGGACAGCTATAATTATTTGTTGGGCTTTACTGACAGGAAGCCCAAATATGCCTCTCTGCACTTTATACCTTATTCTATTGGTCCTAGTGAGGGTCTAGTAGACCAAGCACAGTATCTGAATTGCAGAGGTTCAAAGGACATCATAACCATCTACTCCCACCCATGCCTGAACAACAATCTACTCTACAATATGGCCAACAATTCAATGGTCATTGGGGCTTTGCTCCAACCAATTCCCAAACCAGTCTACTCTGCAAATGGCTCTAAATATGGGGAAATTTTCCCCATCATTAAACCTATACCTTCTCCTCTGCAGCTTTCACCCACTCTTCCTATTTCTCAACTTTAGGGCAAGCCAAATAAATGGCCTCACCCTTAAATCTGGTAGTCCTTCAGATACTTGACAACAGTTATCACCTCCCTCCTAATCTTCTCTTGTCCAAACCAAACATTCTCAAACAATCTCCAAAACACCATCCAACATCACCATTCTAGTCACCCTACTCCTACGTGTTCCAGTTTATATCTGTCTTTCCTAAAATAAAGCGGTTGTTGAATTGTTCTAGAACTATCTAGACCCTACTGGGGTTTTCTTGGCAAAGACAGTGGAGTGACTTTCCATTTCCTTCTCCAGCTCATCTTACAGATGAGGAAACTGAGGTAAACATGGTGGCATGACCTGCCCAGAGTCACATAGCTAAAAAGGTTCCGAGGCTACATTTGAACTCAGGAAGATGACTTGCCTGGCACTCTATCCATGGCACCAAGCAGCTGCTTTTTGAGGTATTCAACACTGAATACAATATTCCAGGGGTGGCCTCAGCCTGGCAGAGGACGGTGAGATGATCAGCCAATTTCTGAACATATTCTCTTAATGCATTTTCTACTACCACATCGCCCAATGCTGATTTATGTTTGGCCTCTAGCTCCTTAACAACCCCCAGATATTTTTCAAATGTATTGTTCTCTAGCCATCTCTCCCCTATATTTAAATTGAGCACTTGAATTAAGACTTAGTATTTATCCTCATTAAATTACATCTTACTACATTTTGACAAAAATTCTGGCCTGCTGAGAGCTTTCTAGATTATGATTCTGACATCCAAATTTCTAGCTCTCTCAGTTTGGTGACTTCTGAAAATTTTAGAATCATGCTATCTCTGCTTTCCTCTAAATAAGGGATTGAGATGTTAAACATAGAGCCAATGGGAGTCTGCCTAACTGCAAATGGCTGACCAGAAGGCCAAAACCCTGCTGGGTTGAACAAATTCTGCCTTAGGAAAAAATATTGTATGGAATTAGTCATTTTAGTTTTTGGTGATCTATGTTTACAGGGTGATGCACAAGAAGAGTTTTACTACAAATCTGAAACGTAAATAATCAGAACTGGATTTTGAACAGTCATTATCACTTTCATTCAATATGCCTTGACAACGCATAAATTCACTGCCTTACCTTCATGGGTGGATAGAGGATAAAGTAATCACTGAATGTGGGAAGTCGCTTTTTCTCTGAATCATTCTTCCATTGGTTCACCATCGGCTTGAACAACACCACCATCTCTTCGACTGTTTTTGTGGGAGAAGATGTGAACAGCCAGTGAGATAAACAATTTCCAGCAATCTGATGTTAATGCCAAATGAACCTATCATAAGTGAGCCCATGTCACTGCATATACACTGAAGGGAGTAGTTCACAGTCATGGGCCCCAATAGCTCCAGAAAAGCTAGGCAAGCCAGATCCCAGTCTAAGGAGCAAACAGCACACATACCAACAGTAACATTCCTCAGAATTGGTAGGCCAAGGATTAACAATTTCATCATGTCAGAGGCTAGTAGGATCACAGCATCATAAATTTATGGCTGGAAAGGACCTTAGAGATAATCCAGCCCACTCTCTCATTGTACAAATAAGAAAACCAAGCCCCAGAGAGGTTACATGACTTGCCCAAAGTCACTGAGAAAACAGTAGAATAATATAAGTAAAGCATGTTGAAAAACTGAATTATCTACTTTAAAATGCCAGTTATTTCTAGGAGTATTTTAAGCAACAAAATGAGGATTCAAACCCAAATGCAATCTCTATTCAAATGCATTTCACTGGGCCCTGAGAAATGACAGAAACTTATCCCAAAATGAGTGAGGAAGAGAGGGCCACAGGGAAACACCCATAAAAAAGTAGAAGAGGGAATATCACAGTGGAAAAACCGCAAAACCTTGGATTTATAAATAATAAGATCTTGAATCTACTTGCTTAAAAGGACCTAAGATACTCTAACTTGTAGGATGCTAACATTATGGTCCTCCGGCTGGAAATATACAAAATTTGGCATCTTTATGGATGTCAAGGGCAGCTAATGAGTATTTCTTCTTGTAAGATAAGGAGAAGCAGTAGAGAAAGGAAATTCTTTCTGGGATGAAAATCAGAGTCAGGATTTCCTAAAGAGAAGAAGAAAATACTTACAGTGAAGCCTAAGAATTCCCTGCCACTGCTGAGGTGTTCTTTTTCCTTCTACTTACCTCCTCTACAAGCCTGGATTATAAAGATTTTTGGTTTCTTTTGAAGTGCTGGACAGTTTTTATTGTTGAACATTTCAAAGATGTCTGATAAGTTGATTCTTTCATCCAGTACTGTTTTTATAACGCTTTTCCTCCATGGGCCATGAGAGTAACAAGGCAGCAGCTCACATCATCTTTTCTTTTATTTATTCCATCTCGAAACTCTCGTAATTTCTCCATTAACCCCTGTGGCAAATAGCATTGCAAAACCGATTTATCAAAGGGTGGACTTAGAACCATTTGTATTATCTACAGTAATTCTCAGAATTCCCTCATTTTAGAGGCAGCGAGGTGACGCAGTGAATAGAGTACTGGCCTTGGAATCAGGACAACGCGAGTTCAAATCCAGCCTGAGACACATAACACTCACTAACTGCGTGACTCTGGGCAAGTCACTTAACTCCAAATGCCTCACCAAAAAAAAAAGAGGAAATCCCCCATTTTACCCAGGTTGTGATATTAATTGCTTAGCTTCTAACATGAAATATTGACTGTTAAAAGGAAGTGAAGGTCTAAGATGGCATCATCATCATCACCTTTGTAGACAGTTTTGAAAAGAAACCTGGTCCTCAGGAAGACAGAAAGTTTAAGAAGGAAAAGTAAAACACTTCATTTTTATTACAACTGTGGGACTCTGGGATCATTTTATATGATTACATAGAGCACCTCATGCAAATTTCATCTTGAATCTTCAAGTTACATGTGAGAAATCCAATCTCCAAATTCTGTAGACAAAGATAAAATTGAATAATGAATGAATGAATGAATGAATGAATGGACTAAAATCCAATACTAATCATTGTTGGGAGAGTGGGACCAGTGATGGCCCCCAGGGCAAGGGCATTGACATCCCTGGGCTGTTTTTCCCAGTCGGAAGGGTATCAGCCAGGGTCATGGGCAACAAACAAGACAGAGACGACAGGAGGGGGACGCTGTAGGGGCCCGTCCACCTGGCCATAGATCTCAAATTTGTTTTCATTTAATAGTATTTGGTTTCAATTACGTGCAATGATAGGTTTGAATATTCACTTATGAGACTTTGAGTTCCAGTTTTTTGTTCCTTCCTGGACTCCTCCCGAATTGGTAGGCAATCTGATATAGCTTATACATGTGTAATCATATTAAACATATCTGCATACTGGTCATGTTGTGGAAGAAGAATAAGAACAAAAGGGGAAAAGCACGAGAAAGAAAACACAGAAAAAAGAAAATAGTATGCTTTCATCTGCATTCAAACTCCAGTTTTCTGTGCATGTGGATAGCATTTTCCAAAATAAACCTTTTGGAATTGTCGTAGATTCCTGCATTGCTGACAAGAGCTAAGTCTATCATAGTTGATCATCACATAATGTGGCTGCTACTGTGTACAATATTCTCCTGTTTCTGCTCACTTCACTCAGCATCGGTTCTTGTAAGTCTTTCCAGGTGTTGTTGAAATCAGCCTGCTCATCATTTCTGTTTTTTCCTTGGTTTCTTTGCTTTTGGCTTGGCGATGGGGTTAAGTGACTTGTCCAGGGTGACACAGCTAGTAAGTGCCAAGTGTCAGAGGCTGGATTTGAACTGAAGTTGTCCTGACTCCAGGGCTGGTGCTCTATCCACTAGGCCACCTAGTGGCCCCCTGGCTCATCATTTCTGATAGCACAACAGTATTCCACTACATAAACATAACACAACTTGTTCAGCCATTTCCCCAACTGATGGGCATCCCCTCAGTTTCCAATTCTTCACCACCACAAAAAGAGCTGCTATAAATATTTGTCTACATGTGGGTCATTTCCATTTTTTTATGAGCTCTTTGGAATACAGACCTAGTAGTGGCATTGCTGGATCAATGAGTATGCACAGTTTTGCAGCCTTTTGGGTATAATTCCAAATTGCTCTCCAGAATGGTTGGATCGGTTCACAACTCCACCAACAAAGCATAAGAGTTCTAATTTTCCCACATCTTCTCCAACATTTATCATTTTCCTTTTCCGTCATATTATCCAATCTGATATATGGGAGATGGTAACTCACAATTGTTTTAATTTGCATTTCTCTAATCAATAGTGATTTAGAGCATTTTTTCATAGGAGTACAGATAGCTTCAATTTCTTTATCTGAAAACTGCCTGTTCATCTTCCTTGACCATTTGTGAATTGGGCAATGACTTGTACTGAATCTCAAATCCTACTCAGCTCTGAAAAACACATAGACTCAAAGCAACTAATGGAGCATTCACACTCTTGAAACATAAAAAGGCTTTCCTTTACAGGAGAAGAATTCATTAATTCCCTGACACTTGTCCCTTGAGAGAAGTACCAAGATTCTTTTATCAGGGTTTAGAAAGGAAGAAGACCTTGCTGCTCAGATTGTATTCATGATGACCTCATCAGAAAGAAAGCAGGCTATAAAAGTCAGTTACCAATGCTGTTGTCTCAACGCTTACCTTTTCATCAGGATTGATGCAAGATGTACATTCAAACTTGCACGCTTTAAGCCAGTTTCTCATTCTCTTCATATCCTGCTTAGCCCCTGGTCTGCCTGTCTTCACACACATCACAAAAGCCTTACGAGGTTTTTCCATGTTATAGCGTTCCTGTTTGTAAGTAAAATTAATAAGCCAATGTATTCCCATGTATCAGAAAATATAACACCCTAGACATATTGGCCCATATGCTGCCTGCGAACCTCCTGGGGTCCGGGATGGGGTTTATCTGAGAGCTCAAAGCTGACCATCTCTCTTTGGGGGAGGGGTGTGTGTGCATGTGTGTAGAAATAGATTTCTTTCATCTATAAGTTCCTGACAATCTCCATTTCAGAGTAGTTCTAACAATACAAATCACTCCTTCTGAAATACTTAGAACCAGCAAAGTAGGGCTATTGTAACAAAACTGGCAGCATGGTGTCACTACCACATACAAAACACCACCAGTTAAAATCATACCACTCTGAGGTAAGGCAGGGCTTGGGTTTGAGTTTATCTGGGGAACAGGTAACCCTGTGAGGGAACAGGAATGAGAGCAGCATGGATTCCCCAGGGGCTGGAGCCTTCTCATCCTTTCTACAAGTCAGGAACTTCAACAGATTTCAGTGGATTACACATAGACTACAAAGTCCCCCAAATCTCCCCAACCCAGAGCTATGGCCCCAAGAATTCCAATGAGAACATGACACTTAAGTCCCCGGACAGGTGTGGCCCTATTCTTTCCTGCTCCCAGGAGTTAGTCCAGAGGCTCCCACCACCAAAAGGAAGAGATGCAGAAACAGCTGGAGGGGCACAAGACAGCAATCTGGCATTCCTTGACGTTTTATCTTTGGGAGCTGAGTGGGGAGCAGGAGAGACCCTTCCTCCCATAAAGCACCAGCAAGCCCCTCAGCACTTTGCTAAGAGGACAAATATGGCCCAACTGGTTAGGTCTTAGGGGCTGGGTGTTGGTTGCCCTACCATAAAGTAGCTGGTTTAGCACCACCTCTTGGATTCTTGGGGGCAGGGAGCCATTTTTACTGCCTCTAAGATGATCTGGGTGACTGACACTGAGGAGGACACACTCTTTAGAGATACCATGCCTCGGATCCACCAGTGTCTTCCATTTTGTTCCCTAAGTTTTCCCTCAGCCTCTTTCTGCAATGCAGCAGGGATTCCCCAATCCTTCCCCTTTCCTAGGAGCTCTGGTGGGATGTGGCTCTTGCTTCCACATGGGGGAGATAACAAAGTAGTAATGAGGGGACAAAGAAGGTAAAGGTAGAAATGAGGGTGGTTCTAGGAAAACAGAAAGACCACAGGATTTGGATTCAACAGAACTGGGTTTAGCTCTGGGGTCTAGCACTTCCTAACTGCGTCCTTGATCAAATCAGGTAACTTCTCAACCTGTTTTCTCAGCTATAAAAGGGGTACAGGAATGTTGACATCTAATACTTATATAGCATTGTAAGATTTGCACAGTACTTAAAGAGGCCATCTTATTTGATCATTGCAAAAACTCAGAAAGGTAGGTGTTATTATCATCATTTTACACATGAAAGGCCTGAGGCATAGACAGATTTGAATGCCCAAGGGTCATGTAGCTAGCAAGTGTTTAAGAATGGATTTGAACTCTGGTCTTCCTTGGGTCTTCAGGTCCAGCATTCTGTCCTAGGCACCACCTAGCTGCCTGCAGGAGGAATGGGAATACTAACTGTTCTTCCTCCCTCCCTCTCCCAGTTTAAGTAGCTAATGAGATAAATGGATTGAACAAGCATTTATTAAGTCCTTATTCTACATTAGGCACTGTGCTAGACACTGTACATACAAAGACCAAAACATCACAGTCTTTGCCACCCATGGAGTTTACGTTATACTGGGAGAGCTCCAACCACTGGGGTGAAGGGGGTGGCCTTAGGTACAAGGTGGCAGCTAAGCTGAGTTTTGAATGAAATCCAGGGATTCCTTGAGGTGCAGGTGAAGAGAGAGAGTACTCCAGGAATGGGAGACAGTCTGGTGGAATTCTGCTGATTCTGTAGAACATCTAGCAGCGGAATTGACTTAACTAGAGAATGTATGAAGGGGTGGGACATGAAATCAGTTTGAAGAGTTAGATCGGAGGCAGATTTCAAAGGGCTCCAAATGCCAAACAGGGAAGTCTATGTTATCTCAAAGGGAATAAACAGATAGTGGAGTTTTTTAAGAACAAGGGAGTGAAACAACATACAAATCTCCCTTTTTACACCTACAGGAAGGAGCCAGTTGCCTGAATGAGAAGCCATGTGGTCGTTAGTTACATTATCAAGGCTTAGATAAAAAGTTACCATTTTAGGGCCATCATTTTCATACTGTCTCTTCAAAGTCATTGTCAAAACGCTCAGTATTTTCGGGGAAAATGGACCACCAAAAAAGAACAAAGAATAGGGTTATTTATTTATTGCTTTCCCACATCTTCTTTCTCTATCTCTCACCACATTTCCTTAACTCCATTCCCTCCAATGTTCTCCTACAATCATTAATCCTCCTCTGTCCTCTAACCTCTTCCTATCTGTGGGTTCCTTCCCTATAGTCTATAAATAGGCCCCACCTTCCACAGATCTCCACCTTCCCTGCTACCTATTGTGCTCTCATTCTCTCTCTCTCTCTCTCTTTCTCTCTCTCTCTCTCTTTCCTTTTTTTTTCAGCCACACAGTTGTCTTCAATCATCCTCTCTACTTTCTCTCCTCTCTCACTAACTCTTCAACCCCTTGTAATCTGGCTTTGGGCCTCATCATTCAACAAAAACTGTTCTCTACAGATTTGCCAGTGACCTCTTCATTGCCAAATAGGATGGCATTTTCTCAATCCTTACCTTTTTTATCTCTCTGCAATATCTGATGCTGGGAATTGCGAAGAATCCATCCACACCAACGTAGTATGTCCAACATGATGTTTTGCAATACTGGAGAAAAGGAAAAAGTATTTATATAGTGACTACTGTATGCTAGGCACTTTTTACAAATATTACTCCTCGATCCTCTCAAAAAACCTGGCAAGGGAGCTGCTATTTTATCCCCATCTTTCAGTTGACAAAATTGAGGTAAAACAGGTTAAATAACTTCCCCAGGGTCACACAACTAGTAAGTGTCTCAAGCTGGATTTGAACTCCAGGCTCAAGGCTCTATCTACTGTGTCACTAGCTGCCTGTCTTGGTTCTCCTCTCTCTGGCTGCTCTTTCTCAGCATCCTTTGCTTCACCATCATCTATATTCATGTTTCCTTAAAGTTGGGATACCCCAAGGCTCTGTCCTGGAGGAGCTTCTCTGCTCTCCCTCTGCAATTGGTAGACTGGCCCAGCTACTATTCTCTCATTTGGTAACTTCATTAGCCTCTATGGATTTAATCATGGGACTGGTGCAGATGACTCCCAGACCTACATATATGGCCCTGGCCTCTCTCCTCACCTCCAGTCCCATATCACCAATTGCTTCTGAACTGGACATACCACAGACATCTCCTAAGAGGCTACTATGTGCCAGGCAGGGGGAAGCTCTGAGGATACAAAGAAAGGTAGGTAAAAGACAATCCCTGCCTTCAAGGAGCTCACATCTAATACAGGAGGCAACATGCAAACAGCTGGGAACAAATCAGGCTACATTAAGCTCTGATCAAAGAGAAAGCACTAGGATTAAGGGGGATAGGCAGGGGCTTCTTGTAGAAGAGGAGACTTGAGCTGACACTTAAAGGAAGCCAGGAGGTAGAGATGAGGAGGGAGAACTGGAGGTTGGAAACACAATCCAGCTGGGCTCACCCATAACTGTCTGTGCTGCCATGACACATACTGATTACAGTTCCTCAAGATGGGAAATGTTTCTTGTTACAGAGTCTACAGGGATCACCCCCTCCCTAGAAAAGTGGGGTGGGGGGAAAATTAAAGGCATAAATCAGGAGGGAAAAGGGAAAATAAGGTTCCTGTTAAGAGGTTTTCTACTCCTCTGTAGTCCTAGTTTGATTTAGCGTTAAAGCTCTGAGCCTAATATTCACTTGACTCTTTTCTCATATGCCCACCAGGCACTTAGCCTACAGCAGCTAAAAAGCTCTCTACTACAATCCTAACCTGAGTAAGAATCTCCTTCTACAATATCACTCATAGGAGGCTACTCTCCCACTGAAGATGCTGCCCCACACACACACATACTGCCCCCCAGTGAGGAGAAGCCTCATTGAGGACATTCATGACACTTCTGGACAGCTCTAATTGCTAGGAAATTTCCCCTTACATCAAGCCTAACTTTTCCTTTTGGGACCCTCCCCCCCCCCCCCCCGATAGTCTTGTTTGCCCCCTGGGACCAAGCAGAATGAGGATTGGCTCCTCTCCCACAAGTATTCTGATGAAGTTGAGTTTACTAAGTCTACTTATACTGCTGCATCTCCAACCTGAGAAAGTCAGCTGTGGAAAGGGCATGTTTGGAATTAAAAGATCTGAATTTAAGTGGCATACTGGGAAATATGAACCAGCTTGGGGAGGTGGTATAGAGTGGGTGGGATGATTATACCCTGCACTCCTATATAACTTCTATATAATCAGAATTACTAATGTTCTCCATCACTTTCTTAACTCTAGACAACCAACAAACCATAAATGAAGTCCCCATTTGAAGTGTAAACATTTGTACTGACAATGTAACAAATCCCCACCAAGGGAGCAGGTTCTGCTACTTAGCATTATTGACCCTGGGCTAGTGACTTGAACCCTGAGATGCTCAGGGGTCAAATGGAAATGACAATATTTGTATCATCGGGGTTGCTGTGAGAAAAGCCCTTTGTAAATGAGGAAGTGCTTTGAACACAACGGCTGCTGAATGTGGGCACAAAGCTCCTCTGACTTCTTTCATCAAGCTGGGACTCCAGGATCCCACAGTCCTGAGGGCTAATGACAGGTCCCTGAAACAGTCTCCCTTAGACCCTGCAACCCTGACTGACCTTGCTCAGACAGCTCAGCAGCATGTCCTCAAACAAAATGTTTCTGCCCAGACCTGTTGATAACTCCAAAAGGGAAACCCCTTCAAAAACAGAGTCCACCAACACTAATCTGAGTTTTGAGACACAATCCTCTTCCACAATCTGGCCCCTTTCCAGCTCCATCTCCTGGCTCTGGGGTTGGACCCTGCATCACACACTCATTGGGCCATTCTCTGCAAACCCTGCTACACTCTACCACCTCCATGCTTTTGTTCATGCTGTTACCTAAACCTGAGACATCTTCCCACCTGCTCCTCTTCTACTCGGTTTCTATCTTTTGAAGCCCAACCCAAATGCTTACCCAAGTGGTGGCATGGTACATTGTCTAGACTATTGGACTTGGAGTCAGGACAAACTCACCTTCAATCCCACCAGTAGAAGTTATTAGCTGGATGATCACACGCAAGTCCCTTCCCCTGAGACTCAGTTTCTTCCCATATAAAATGAAGACAATAACCCCTTTAGCACGTCCTACTCTGCTACAGCCATTCTAGCCTGCTTGGCCTTTATATGTGATTCCATCTCCTCTCTGGGTCTTTGCACAGGCTTTTTCCCCATGCCTATGGAGCCCTTCTACTTAATAGAATCCCTGCCTTGCTTAGCTGACCAAAGTGAATCTCATTTATTGCTCTGTAAGTGAGGGAGAAGGAGGGAAAAGTCCCCTGAATAACACCACCCCTCCCTATCCTGATCTCCCAGTTGCCAGTGTCACCTCAGAAATGACTCTGTATATATTGTTATTTAATTTTCTGTGTATATGTTGTTTTCCCTAGAACGTAAACTCCTAGAAAGCAAGAGCTAAATTGGTTTTAGCTTTGTATCCCCAGCACCTAGCATATAGTAAGTGCATACTGAATGAATGAAGCAAGCTGGCAGGGACCACTTATTTTGTCAAAGTCCTTCCTTATGGTCAGCAAGCAGGAAGCCCTTCCCTAGTGCCAAGCCCTGTGCTAAGCACCCAAGACATAAAGGAAGGCAAAAACAGAATCCCTGCCTGCCCTCAACAAGCTCCCATTCTAACAGGGGACACAACATACAAACAACAATATGCAGTGCTGGAATTCATATTACATGCCAAATGCATGTAATATATGCCACACACTTGACCTGTCTCACCAGCACTGTAAATATTGTTGGAGATCTTTCATGCTAATGATCTCAAAAGATTAGGGATAAACTCCAAGGATCAGATAGATTATAAAGTCCTTTGGGTATCTAGCACCCTGCCTAGCATGTAGCTCAACAAAAGGAATCTCACTAAATACCTGTTGGTTTGGAATGGAAAGGGGGGGGGGATGTCCCCTGAATAATCTCTTATAGAGTTATCAAAATGAATCTTCAATCTATTGATGTTTTGGGGCCCAGCACTTGGGAGTCATGGTATTCTAAAAAGGGCCCTGGTTTAGAAGTCAGAAGGCCCCATTTATTAGCTAAGTGACCTTGGACAAGTCTAGTACTCTGTATAATAAATAGCAGTTTCCCATTCTGGCTTCCTGTTTATCTCCTGGTTATTTCAAGTCCTCATCTTTTCAACTGAAGATCCAAACGCCCATCTGGGCCCCTGATCTTTTTAAACTCTCTCCATCTTTTCCACCTGGGTGACAGGTGGGGGGCAGCAAGGTGATGGGGGACATGTAAAGCTCTAGCATCCAGCACTGCATCTGACTCTCACTACCTGTGCAAATTACGTTGCTTGGTAGCTCACTAGCCGGGTGACCAAACATAGGGAAGTCACTTACCCTCTAAGCCTCGGTTTGTTCCTCTGTAAAACGGAGCTAAGAATACCTGGAGCAGTAGCTTAGCTTACCAGGGATCTCGTGGGACGCACCCATGAGATGATCTGAAGAGCTTAGGGACGGTCAAAGCTGATGATTCTTCAGGGGGTGGGGAGTGGAGGTGGGAGTAGGAGGGCTTCGGCGCGAGATAAACCCAGAGATGAACCCAGAGGGCGGGACCCCCCGCCCCCGCCCCGCCCACGCCCCCAGGAGAGCCCCGAGCTTGCACCCCACCTTACCCCACTCGGCTACCAGGTCGTTCCGGCGCATCCGCTGGAACACCCGGACCAAGACCCTGGGGGTCCCGGACACGACGTAGCGCTTGACCAGCAGATCGGCCAGAGCCGAGGTCGTGGGGGCCGTGTCCAGGTCCTCCATCGGGATCCTAGGCTTCTTCCCGGAGCTCCTCAGGTAAAACTTGAACTCTTCCAGCTCGGGTGGGCTCAGGCGGTCCAGCGTGCTCACCACCCGGGCTCTGAGCGCCTCCATGGCCGCGGAGGGAGCGCCGGGGGCTGTGGGGGAAGGCTGCGGGGTGGGGAGGGGACACAGCCCGAGCTAGGGGGCGGCGAAGGCGAAAGTGAAAACAGATGTCCGCAGACTCGGGAACCGCTCTCGCTAGCCCCACCAAGACCCAGGCGTGGCGGTCCGGGGGCGGGGAGGAGGAGCGCGCCCGCGCGGACCCCGCCCCGAGGTGGGGATGGGCTGCGAGGAGTCCTTTTCCTTCTGGCCTCTGCTTTCCTGGGAGGGTCTAGCCTTCTGTCCTGCGCCCCTGCTTCCCATGCGGGTCTGGCTCTCTGTCTGTCTCTGTCTGTGTCTCTGTCTCCATCTCTCTCCCTCCCCTCCCTTCTCTCCTCCTTCTCTTTCTCCTCTTTTCTCCCCATCCTCTCCTCTCTCCCTCTTCCACTCCTGTCTCCTCCATTCTTCTCTCCCTTTCCTCTCCTCTCCTCTCTCCCCTTCTTCATCTTTCCATCCCTTTTCCTTCCCTACCTCCTCTCTCCCCCTCCACTCTCCTCCTCTAAACCCACCCCGCTGTCTCTCATTCTAAAGTCCAGTGTTTCTAACCCTTTATTGCACTGAGGGTTTGAGACAAAGCTGCAGAATGAATCTCTGTCACTGAGCGGGCCGTTCAGTAATTCCCCGATGCCTCAGAATATCCCAATTTTACCCACTCTTCAAATCCTAACTACTCACTTGCCGTGATTTTTCTCAGCTTGCTTTACCCTTGTGGTCACAGAGCATTTTGAAAAATAAATTTTTACTGACATCTTCAGCGTCTTACATCATCAGAGTTGTCCCAAACAACCATCTCTCTGAAACGCCTCCCATTTTTTTAATTGGAAAAGAAATTGCATTGTGGAAGAACTCACAACACAAGGTGACAATTCCAAAATCAATGATGTGGCAGAGGAAATGAACAAATATCATGAAGTGAGGCAGAAAACAGGGAACTGGTGCTCACCAGCATCATCAAGGGGTGCTCTGTGCAAAGGAGATCCAGACTTATGAGATGACATCTCAGATCCCTTACCCTCTGGGATGGTCACTTTCAGGAATTTGGAAAGGATCCTAGGTTTGAATTCTCAGTTCAAAAGAATGCCTATGGGCTGGTAAGTGGCACAGAAGATGGAGCTCCAGCCTTGGTGTCAGAAGCACCTGAGTTCAAATTTGGCCTCAGACACTTCACACTTCCTAGCTATGTGATCCTGGGCAAGTCACTTAATCCCATTGTCTAGCCAAAAAAAGAAAAAAATGCCTGAAGGGACAGCTACTCAGCCCAGTGGATGTAAGCACCTGCCTTCCAGTCAAGAGGACCTCAGTTCAAATCAGACCTGAGACACTTACTGGCTATGTGACCCTGGATAAGTCACTTAACCCTGATTGCTTTCTGTCCCCCCCCAAAAAAAAAACCCGGTTTGACCCAGGGCAAGTCATTTAATCTCTTTGGGTTTCGTCTACAAAATTGGTTTAAAAAAATGTGAGGGTAGGACTATTCTGTGATCCCTAATAACCATCCCATGGCTCATAGAATAGAGTCTAAACTCCCCAATCTGGCTTCGAAGGCCTTCTATAATACGGGTACTCCCTACCTGTTCAACCTCATCTTTCATCAATCTGAGTCAGATCCTTTTTCTGTGGACAGTTAGCAAGTGATTACCTGTTGTTCCTGCCTGCACCATTCAATGAGGTCCCCACCTAGGTTCTTGAGTTTCTATTCTAGTGGGATATAGGCTGTGGAAGGTTCTACCCACTCAGAAAGGCCCTGAGTATGGGCAGGGAGATGGGGCTGTAAGATGCCGATTTGATGAGGACAGGATTAAGTTTGCAGAGGCTCATATGCAGGTTGGCTGCCAGGTGATGGACTTTCTGGCCACAATACCTCCCAAAAACCTTTCAAGGGGGCTGTGATCTGTGAGAGAAGAGGGATTATAAAGTGGGAGGGAATTATAGACCCTTGAAATAATGGCTTACAGAGCACTTTCCTCACTATAACCCTCTGATGCCGGTAGTGGGGGGTTATTATCCACTTTTTGTGATCTCCTTGAGGGAGCCAGGGGAGCACCTGGGAAAGATCATCAGCTCTGGAATCAGAGGATTCGTGTTTAAATCTAAGCTATGTCATATGTTACCTTGGAGGCCTTGGACCAGGGGTGGGGAACCTGCAGTCTTACGGTCACATGTGGCCTTCTAGGGCCTTAAGTGTGGCCATTTGACTGAATCCAAACTTTACAGAACAAATCACTTAATTAAAAGGATTTTATTTTTAAAAAAAAGTTGCTCTGTAAAATTTGGATTCAGTCAAAAGGCCACACTTAAGGGCCTAGAAGGCCACATGTGACCATAAGGCTGCAGGCTCCTGACCCATGCCTAGGGCAAAGTTACTTGAACTTCCTTATCCTCAGTTTCCCCATCTGTAAAATGAATGGGCTGGACTATAGTACCTTTTAACACGAAATCTATGGTCCCAGAAACAGTACTCTACTCACGGTTTCCTGACTGCATAGACATGGCCCTTTCCCTTTTTAACCAGCCCCCTCTCCCTTAGGGCATTTGGGAGGGCAAAACCAGATGTTTAAAAAACTCTCTTTGCATAACATCAAATTCTGACTGGTATTATTGGGCCCCCAAGTACCCCTCATCCTTGCACTGCCCATCCCATTAGCCCTCCACATTCCATGGATAGAAGCAGCTGAATGAGAAATTAAGGTTATGTTTCATATTCCTAGATGTCTTAATAACAGACTATCCCTTGAGATTACCCGTCCTTCATCCAAATATTGGTGTGCTTCCAAACATAACGTTCCTTCCAATCATAGCCATGTTCTTCATGAATTGTCTTCCTACACAACGTACAACAACGTACAATGCTGTCAGAAATAGAAACAGTTAAATTAAATTAGCAATTAAATCTGAGCTGGAAGGTGAAGGATACACTGGGACTCCCAGCTAGCCTCAGTTTGGAAAGCAGAAAGGGAGCAGAATCATGTAGTTGAGAAGGAGTCTAATTCTGGCTAGAGCCTGGATTATTAGGGGAGAGGAAAAACATGGCAAGATGGGTGGTAGCAGCTCAGCCCTTTACCTGTTGCCTGACTCCTAGATCCAGAGTGAACTCTCCAAAGAGGCAAAATATTGCTGATGCATCTGCTAATCATTTCTCCTTTCCTTTCCCTAGAAGCCTTCTCCCCCTAGTGACAGCCCTCTCTTCTGACTGATGAAGTCCTGGCCTTGACCACCAGGCCATTCCCAATCCCATTCCTTGTTCTCCACAATTTTCTCCCTTCCAGCCCCTTGGTATGGATTGTCTTTCCTCTTCCCCAACTCCATTAGGATGGAAGCTCTTTGAAGGTAGGGATTGTCTTCATTTTTTTTTCTTTGCTTCTACTAATATCCTGGACACTTATCACAGTGCCTGGCACACAGTAAGTACTAAATAAGTATTTTGTCTATCTATCCACCTGGCCACATGCCCTTACCAATAGAGGGATCTTCTATAACAACAAGGCTGTATTACCAATCCACAATGGGCTCAGAATTGAGGAGCATAAGAACAGGAATCGAGGTTATTACAAAAGAAATGCATCCATTTTCCTGCCCTCAAGAAGTTTAACATCTCCTCAGGGAAACCAGGCACAAAGGTGGAACAGGTGATCTGAGACAATGAGCATGATTAAGGGCCAAAATGATTTGTACAGGAGGAATATGAGAAGGAAGAGATACCTGGGTTGGGTTGGAAGGAGTTGGCTGAAGAAGTGGGCCACTGAAGGCTGGCCTGGTGCTGGATAGCTGGGGTGGGGAGTGGAGACTGAGTCTAAGCTTAGAGGGGGCATGGTGTGAGGATGAGACCAGTCTGGCTGGAAGGAGAGGTTCCCAATGAGAACGGGAGTAAATCAGATGAAATGTGCTAGGCAGAGTGAGACCAGATTTCAGACTATAGAATACAATTGTAGAATTATAGAATCTTAGAGATGGAAGGGACTTTTCAGATCACCTAGTCCAGTCTCTTCTCTTTATAAACAGAGAGTTATTTTAACAAGGACAAGTGGCCAGAAAGTTGGGACTAGAGCCCAGGACCCCTAAGCCCTGACCAATGTGCTTTCCTCTTAATGCCTTAAATGTGATGTAATAGAAAGAGCACTGGATTTAGAGTCAAGATCTGAGTACAAATCCTGGCTTTGTTGCTCACTGATCATGTGATTTTGGTCAAGTTATTCTTTCAGAGCCGTGGTTTTATCTTATGTAAAGGGGATAGGGGGAGTTGGACTGAACTCTCTCCTGGTTCAGAACCTCTGATCCTTTGGGCTGCAAACTCCCTTGAGGGGTATGACATAACAGGGGTACTTTCCAAAGGTCGAACACAGGGCCAGTGACTGGAAGGCAGACCAGGACGTAAGGCCATTGGGATCATCCAGGTGCACCATGGGAAGGGGCCACACTACAGTGAGATCTGGGGGAATATCTTCAATCACATCCTCCCTTAAAACTGGTAAAGTGCATTACTTCCATTACCTTCCTTTGACTCTGACAACCCTATGCTATAAGTACTATAGCTGTTACTGTTTCCATTTTACAGATGATCTAGGAGATAGGAGTCAAATTCAGGCCTTCCTCCTGACTTCGTGTCCATCACTCTTTCCTAACCATATGGCACCATACTCTTTAAGGAAAGGAAAGGATTGATGTGAGAAATGAGAGACAGGAGTTAATGACTGATCAAATGAGACAGAAAATATAGAAAAGCCAAGGATGGCTGAGGATTTGAGTGTAGGTGACTGGAAGGTAGAAATAGGCACAGTGAAAGGCAAACTGTTTTCCAACAAGGTTGGTTTGGGGCAGTAGAGGGGCCCAGGGCAGACAGCTCCAGGCTTGGAATGAGAAAGACCTGAGTGACCTCAGCTGTTGATGATTCTTAAAAGGGATCATTCTTGCACTGCCTACCTAAGAGGTTCTTTTCAGGATCAGATGAGATAATGGAAGCCTTTTTTAAGCTGGGTTGCCCTAGGTGATGAACTCCTTGAAACTTAGGGTGTATTCATGTCCAGAGGTGAATCTTCTGGGATGGAGAGGATTAGGGCACACATACTGA